AAGAGTGTCGAGGCGACGGAGTAGGGCTAGGAGTGTAGTATGGGTGGTCCTCGGGATAACCACGCCTCGAGTATGGAGAATAGCTGCCAGACATTCTCGGTGGGGTATTCTGTCGCGTGGGCGACGCAAGGAAAAAGATATCTATGGAGATATTGGAGGAGTGTTTCGTCTGATCGTGTCGTAATCTTTTCGTCTGCTTGAGGTGTCGAATGCACCAATTTTTCAAGCCAAATGGTCGCGCCTAGGGTGGGAGGAAGCGCGAAAGGTCGGTGAATCAAGTCACCGTTGTACGTGGTCGGAGGGAGGAGGGAAACGTGGTGTTCCGAATGCGAACATGTCAAAAGACTGTGTAAAAGTAGTCCTGAAATGGACAAAGATCGTCGAGCTCGTTTGGACGGAGTCGACGAAGATTGTGGAAGATACTGGAGACTTCGAGGTCCAGTATCGAATTTTGATTGCGTAAGAGACGGCGAAAGGCACGAAAGCCGATTCAAGCCAGAAATGTTGTTGATATTGAGGAGATAATCGAGTCAATTGGCAAAGGCCAAGGGGACATAGAAAGAGGGAAGAAAAGAAGAGGCAGGTTTGTGTGTGTGTGTGGGAAGTTCAGGTAGTTATAAATGGGAGGGGAGAAAATGGGAAGGGGCGTGGGAACACGGGTACGAACAGGCGACTGTCAACCCTGACCAAGGTCGCAAGTACCGCTACTTGGTGAAGGGCGAGTTGGACCCAAGGTTACATCGTAAGTCGAGCCCTCACACCCCCTGTAGCCCTTCAACCCTGGGCAAACGCACCCCTGCACGTCCATGGGTGTGCCAGGGGAGGCTTAATTTGGCATGGTTCGCCTAATATCTTGGAAATCAGAGGGGGGGTGAACGTAATTAGGGTAGGCACCCAGTTAGTACACACGCCTTGAGTCAAGATGTTCCCCAGCCACCTATCAGGGACCTTGGTCCTTCTTTGCTCCTCCTTTCCATCGTTCACTGCCCTCTGGACGGCACAGTGCGTGAGGAATATATTCATACCCGTTTACTTGAAGGGCTGCCGCTGCACTTGTACCCTAACGAGAGAGCCAGTGAGCACGGAGAGCGAGAGCGAGTGGGAAAGACGACTCAAATGTATGACTATTCAAAGTTGACTCAGGGGGTCAGCCGAGTTGATGATATCCAATGTGCACATCCCAACTCTCCAGCGTCCTCATCCCGAGAATCATTGATAGGAAGAATGAGGCATGATTGACTGTCATATCAGAGGCTGTGCAAGGTCTGGATCGTCCTAAAGCAAGGAAGGTGTTTCTCATGGGCCTCCATTCCATGGGTCCAGGTTTACTTGGTGTGGGAATTGCGGGAAATTGCAAACGAAAATGAGAAATTCACCTGAAAAATCTACCCCTGTTCGGTGAGTCTTTCTCTTTCTCGACGGACCAGGGTTCACAACTCGTCATCCATCAATATTACCTCGCTCGTACTTCAGAATTTTCTGCCACTTCCACTCGTGTCTCAAGGGACGAGACAGTTCCCACAAAGGGTCCGGTGTTATGGGAGTATGAAGTACGAAGTAATACACTCACCTTGGATCGAAGAAGTCGGCGTATCTCACAAGCGAGATGACTCTTTGGCCTGAAAAGTTTTCGGCTACTTTACGAAGTGTCCCGGCTCCGACTTGAGATGGAAAAGGGCGCGGTGAAAGTGGTTGACCAAGTCCTACTGCGGACCACAGAAGCCCCATGCCTCTCCCCTTGCGCCGTAGGCTCCTCCGCTTCGCAAACCAACACTCACTCAAATCCAGCCTTTTTTCTTCAAGTCAGAGGCGAATATCCATGGCCACCACGCGTCCTTGTTGTGTTGTTTCCGGTCTACGCGGCAGACCCACGAGGAGGGCTTTGCGACACTTGATTTTCATTCCGTGTCCTGCCCAAGGCCTCCCGTGTTAGATGTACACTTCCCAGCAATAACTTCGTACCAACTCGTAGAAGCCGGAAGAACAAACGAAAAAATTTTCCTTTTTTTTTTCCCACTGTATTTCTCAGCGGCCTCGAATCTCAGATCGACCGGGGTGCTTAAAGTGGCAGGTTAAAGTCCACGCCTCCGAGGTGACATCGACGTTATTTCACGGACTGAAGCACTCCAGATACAAGTACCTCAATTTACATTCCCAGCCGTGCGCGGGCAACTTTACTAGGATGATGCTAGTTTATCAAGGTGAGCCTTCGGGGAGGAGGGTTACCAGATGCCGTTGACCGAGGTGAGAGGAGGCTGGAGAATGTTATGTTGTGTTTTCCGCCATCATCCCAAGCAATCGACACAGAGGATCAACACACAAAACTACGCAGGCATGCGACCCCTTCTCAGGTGAGAGGTCGAAGATTCCTGTCTAGTGGTATTAATTATGTGAGAAATGAAAATCGGAAAGAGGTGTCTTGCTCGTGTCCGCAGGAAAAGCTCGCTTGTTTGTCTAGACGTCCTGTTTTGATGCGAACACCACACACGGCTCACCTCAGGTCATCCAGCGGCGTCCTCGAGGACTTCATTTCCGGCTGGTGCGACCTTTGGTCCTCCGAGCCGTGGTTAGCAGAGAACTACACTAACACCTCGACCATGAAGTACGGAGCAGAGAGTAGCTAACCGTCCAATGTATTACGAGGCATGTCAATCAGTCACTGCCACAGAGTAAACTAGTACTGAGTAGTTACCAATGTTCACGATGTTGGCCGGAGTGAGCACAGGAATTTGCTCCATCTCTTAAGGCACCCCTCAGGTCCCCCGGATCCGGTCGAAGATCAATGTAACAAATATGAATTCCGGAAGCTGCATCTACTAGTAAATCGGAATATAAATCGCACCCAGAAACCATCGACAAACGGCAGTTGCAAAGTTACACGTAAAGTTTACTGGAGATGATGCAGGAGATCATGTCCCCGCGCTGGGATGGGAAAGTGCTTGCAGTGATTGCATCAATATTGACGTTCATGTGGTCAGTGTAAATGGTTCACCACAGTCACATGCAGGGCCGGTCGGATCAGACCTGCCCCATGTTCCATCAAGAGATTGATCAATCAAATATTAATTGCCCCTCCCGGAGGCGCCCAGCCAAGATCATCCTATTTACTGCATTGATCGAGCCGTTCAAGGAATATTAAGAATATTATTAACTACAAGGCGAATTTGAGGACGAACAATTTATCTACGGTCGAGTAAATGAGGAGCAGCGAGATAAAGTATTCGATATCCCATCGATTGCAAGGGACGGAATCGATCGACCTGTTATCAAAGAGCGAAGAGCAATAAGCGATGAGCGTGATCTTGAGGGTGGGTTTTAAACAACTCCGTACTTGGGCATCTGGACTTGAGCCCAAGTCTCACCACTCTCTGAACGTTTGGGCCACTCGGCCGTATCGCGTGTCTCCGGTGAGCGTGGGGACCGCCATACCTGTCCCGTCTTCAGTACAAGTACACCGCCTGATATTTGGATGCGAGGAAGTTTGTTGCATATCCTGCTTCTCACAGGATCCAGGTACACCTGATCGATGAGATCAGCGGCCACCTGATGTTGGTGAAGATTCTCTCTCGTCCGAAAAAGAAAAAAGAAAGAAAAAAAGGATCGACCCTGGAGAGACAAGATGTTGCAGTTGGCCCTTTCCCTCATTCGGGAATCCCAGTGATTCGGAATGGGCTTCACTTGATCAATGATACTTGCGCTACAGTGGCTGAGAGAGGTTTAGTGCGTCCCAAGTCGGTTCGGGAGCCCCTGTGCTCAAGGCTCAAACTCAATGCAATGGAATGGTTCCAGCGCATCTCCAGCAGGCTTCCCACGTTTTCCAGCAATGTTCTCCAAAGCTTCCAGCGGCCCGACCACCAAGGCACAAAAGTGGTTAGCGCCTCAGGCTACTTGTGGTTTGGCCTCCTCCGGAGTCGACGGCGTATCACCCCATCACCCCATTCGCAGGACCCAACAAACGCCCTACCAGATGTGCGGGAACTTGGCGAGACTGGCTCACCTTTCTCACAGTCTATCCCTCCCCCAATCGGGAGATTTGCCCCCCTCACCGAGATCCCATGCTCGCCAAAAGATTCTGGTTAGGCTCGTCCTGCAAAACGACACACTTGACATTGCCTCGCATGGCACACAAACTGCCAGTGGTGTACACGGTCTGCTGATTCTCATTTGATCTTTCCATCTCACTGTATTCTCTCCAAAGGTCGGCAAGTCCTACTCCGTACTTCATGCTTCGGACATATTGATGTGCCTTGTGCAGGTCTCTCACCTCTGAAGGAGAGTCAAGGGCAGTTCCGTCTCCCGCCGACCCGCTCCTTATACTAGGTTCGGTTGTACTGGACCTTGGACGCTGCGAAGTGCACTAATATTAACACCACACTTGATCCCTCACCCTGGCCTGTTTCTCCGAGTCTAAGGACTGCTTTGTTTTTGCGTCCGTGTTTAGTGGGTGCAATCCCGAAACTTCCTGTCCGCACTGTATTCCTCTTTGCCAGCCTAAGGCTCTTCTCGTTAAGACTCGCCCTTCTCTCCCAGTTTACTTCGTAGGGCCTGCTTCGTGCAGATGAAGGAAGACACTTCCTGCCGATAAATCGAAAGTGCAGAAGAGAAGATCAGAGAGGAGTCGCCTGGGGGCAGAGACGACACCGAACCCATGACAATTTACCAAAGCAGACCCCCTCCCTTGGCACTTACAGATACTTTGGAGTACGGAGTACACCCCCGGCCTGGCCCTGCGGCTTGCGTCGTCGCCGTTACGGCGAGCCAAGAAGAAGTGCAGTCAGTGTTTGTTGTACAATAGCGAGTGCACCGTCGGCAAGATTTTCATTCGGTAGCCTTGTGAGAATGCAACGTGGTGATTTCATCTCCTTCGTAGGAGATCCCGACTGCGACGATGGAGCGTCCTTTGTATGGTTGCGTGCTTGCGAGAGTTCGGGCTTATACCTTGTACGATCCCTTAACCCTTGGGATGCTCGTATCTCTTTCTCCCTGTGTATGTAGTATTATCACCTTCCCTTAGCGCGTCCCTTCGCCTCCGGGTCATGGTGCAGTCCGTTTCCGGGGACAGGGGCACCTAACCCTAGCATCCCGGGCTGGGACGGGCCAACCTAGTTTAATACTACCAATATGCTGCTCCTACTCCGAGGTAGTACTCCAAACTTGCACAAAGGACGAAGTAGTGTACTCTACATTTACTTCGTACTTCCGTAGCTGAACTCGACACGAAGAAAAATTTTCCACCTCAACATTCGTAGTGTAGTGTACACTCACTCCTCCTTAATCTCCCAAGCTGTTGGATCCAAACCCTTGAACCAGACCCTCTTCCTCAACGCCCACAAAGTCACAAACCTCACACCCCTTCTCGAAAAATTCCTGGTGCGATTTTTTTTTTTTTTTTTTTTTTTTCCTTTTTTTTTTTTTTTTTTTCTCGCTGCTTGTATGTCTGTTGATGAAGGGGGAGTATTCCTGCACGTACCATCAAGTGTTCCAGCTGGAGAGTGCCCGCAGGCATGTCGTGGCTCTTGCACCATTCCTCAATGCGAGTTATGTTGTAGTTGATTTGCAAACCGCGCTTCCAAGAAAGGAAGTTTCTTCGCATGAGAAGATCGTTGAATGCTGTGACACCAACGAGATGAAGAAGCTCAGTGATTGTCTGAGTAATGATCGAGTCCTCCAAATAATACGCCTTCATGGCTCTAAAGACACCGTTGAGAAGGCTGAGGAGATTATCCATGTTGTACGCAGGTGTCGAGTTAGACTGGAGAAGTTTGCCCAGGAACCGGTTGCTCTCGTTCGTGACGAAACCCGGAAGGGATTGAGACTCGATAATGGCGGGGATGATCATTTTCTGAAGCTTCTTCTTGAGAACCTTCATCCACGTATGGTAAATGTTGAACTCCAAGCTTTCCAGATCGTGCTTCACGATATCCAGTAGGCGATCGTACTCGTAGTTGTCCGTCTTCTGAGCTTCGTACCAGTCCTCCGCGAGGAATACAAATGACAACATTTCGTGCACATTGGACAGCCAGAACGCACCAGGGCTGATTGCCTCATCGCCGTCATGCTGCATCACCTCCTGTTGAATTGACTGCATGACATTCGCAAGGAAGCGCTCCGATTCCTTGACGAAACCGTTGTTCCACATCTCTGATGTAACGAGATTGATGAGATATGAAGGGAACAGCACCTCCTTATCAGACGGGGGAGGGTTGGTGTTAGGCGAGGGGATCTTGAGATTCCGTATAAGGCCCATGGTAACCTCCTCATTGAGACCTTCTTCGTCTGCGAGTAGAGATTCGAGCTCAAGTTCAATGTTGTCGACGCCGGGGATAAACGTCGCCCCCGGCAAGTTCTGACCACGGGTACCAGACGCTACGGCCATCGAGACGGGGCGAGGATTATATGCTGCGCTGAATCGATCGACTTCCCGGGGCTCGGCTCCCGCACTCCTGCGCTTTGGTGTCTTTGATGACACGAAATTGATCAACCCGCTAGCGGCCGACGGGAAATTCGCGACTCCATTGGTCACTTCCCCGTTCACTGAGGGAGCACGCTTTGCCATCTCGAGCTGGTCTCGCAATTCCGTCAACTGCTGCCTCAGCGATAGCTTCTCATCTTCGACGTGCAGTTTTTCTTCACGGGCTTGGTCCAGTTCAATGTTGGCGTCTCGCAGCGACTGGCGAAGCGTCCTCTCCTCCTCCTGCAATCGCTTGATGTTTGACGTTGATTCTTCAAAACTCTGCTGAAGCTTCTTCATCTCATCTTCCATGGCCTGCAAGCGCGCCACTGCGATACCTGCTTGGTTGGCCTCTGCCTGGAGCTCTTTGGAACGGGCTTCTAGGGCGTTATGTCGCGCCTTCCAAGACTTGAGTTGGCTTTCATAGCTGTCCACCTGCGCAAGCAGGGTCTTATTTTGCGTTTTCATGGTGCCCAAGGTTTGAGTGAGCTCCACGACCTTGTTTTCGAGCTTGTAAGAGATCTGCTTCAGATCTCGGGCCTCCTCTCGCATCTTCTTGTACTCACGGCGTGCACTCCTGCCTCGCCACAAACTTTGGATGAGAACAACCTTCTTCCTATATTGCCTGAATGCCCGCATTTGTCGCCTGGAACGCCAAACCCGCTGAATAATGAGCGCCGCATTTCCAATGCGCGTTTCCATAATTTCTTTCCTTCGAAGGTAGCCCTTCGCTGCTGCTTGGGCAAGGACAACATTATTTCGGATGCGAACAAACTCTTTGCGTTGTTTCTGGCCCCTCCACACTCGCTGAATGGTAGTTGCTGCCTTGACTGTCCTGAGCTGCCGGGCTTGATTCCTGGCGGCACTCGCCCGGGCAAGCGATTGACAGCGAATGATGGATTCACGAGCCCACAGATAGCGGCGTCGGTAGTACTTCGCCTTCAGGTTCTTTTGAATGAGGACGGCGCACTCGTTTAGGCGATTTGTGCGCAGGTTTTCTAGGAAAGCAAGCATGCCAGCACGGAAGAAGATTTTCGTTAACCCGAGCTGGTATTTATCGGAACCTTGTCTAGAGCCTCCGCCTAGGGCTTTGGTGAGGATTGCGTTGGCCATTTCACGGATTTCCGAGGTCCATTGAGTTGAGTGGACCAACATGTAGTAGCGCAGGGCGAACTCCTCGTATGTCCACCGGGTTGGGTAACCAGCACAGCTAATGCGGACCGTCTCGAGGACACCGCACGCGCGCAGCTGGCTGAGGACCATGGGTCCCTCAAATTGCCACGATTCTTTGGCCTCGTTGGGCTTGATGCATCTGATATAATGGACGTCGGTATTGTTGATGGTGTTCATCAACTCGATTAATGAGGACCGGAAAATGCCACCAAGTGTAGGCTTCCGGTTGACTGCAACACCAATCTTCCTTCCACCGGCAGGCCTTACGGCGTTTGAGGTGGAGGAGGCCAGATCCTTCTCACGCACTGCCAGGGCCGCATCGAGGACCTGACGGAGGAATGTGTTGCTCGTCGCACGTAGAATATTCATGTGTTCATCAGGGACGGTATCTCGGTTCTTCTCAATGAATCCTTCCGACTCGTAGGTGACATCGATGGCATAGTGGCAGACCGTAAATGCCGATTTTCCAAACCTGGGCTTCTTGAAAAACTTGTGCTTATCCGCGGCGTAGTTGTGGTGTAGTTTCGTCACGAACTGATCATCCGTTCCCATGGGAAGTCGAGACTCTTCGTCTAAAAGGGACAAAATACCCATCTTCCCTTCTATCAGATCAATACAAGGTTGATTATCAGAGAAGTCGATGAAGGTCCAGTCTATCTGCTCTCTTAGGTACTCTTCTTGTTCCAGCTTGAAGACATGTTGATTGAATTCCTGCTGGAGCTTCTCATTGGCGTAGTTGATGCAGAACTGCTCGAACGAGTTTTTGGCAAAGTGTTCGAAGCCGTAGATGTCAAGAACGCCGATAAAGGAGGACACACGGTTAAGGACCTCGTCGGTGGCAAGGCTTCGGTTTATGGTCTCGACGAGCCAGTCGAATAGGCTTGAATAGATGAATTTGGCAACAGAGTCCCGAACAACGATTGCCTGGGCCTGGCTAAGATTTGATATAATCTTTTCTCCCCTGGTAGTCAGCTGCTTCTTCACGATCCATTTTGCAAATTCCGCGGCGTTGACTCCAAGCAGCGCACAGGCCTGTTGGAGCGATGGCTCGGTTGGTGAAAGGACGCTCTCAGTGCGAGACGCCGTAATCTTGACGTTCCCCAAGTGCAACAAGCCAGCCAGCAGCTGGAAAATGGCTACTTGCTGGTCATCCTTGACCCCAACAGTTTTCAGCGACTGCCTCGTCGCTTCAAATTCGGCCTTGTCATCAATTCCGTCGATAGAGGGACAATTGCCTTGGTTCAAGTAATCGAACTGTTCGACTGGCAAGATGTTGAGTTCCTGACGCATCTTGTCCGAGGCACCGGCAACTAGTTGATAAAAGATGTGGTAATTTCTCTCCTTGAGGGGCTGGAAGACAAGTCGAGATCTTTCCAGAAGATATGTCCGAATTTTAGCGCCAATAATGTTTGTCTGCTTGTCAAACATGATCTCGATATATTTGCCGAACCTCGATGAATTATCATTCCGGGTGGTCTTTGCATTCCCGAAAGCTTCCATGATTGGGTTCGTAGCAAGGATTTGTTCCTCGGTTTCACTCATCGCCTCAGATCCCTTCTTGAAGCGTGTTCCGGGATTCTCAGGCGGCTCTCTCGTTGCAAAATATCGCATGATGTACTTTGCGCTGACTGTCTTGCCAGCACCAGACTCGCCCGACACAACAATAGTCTGATTCTTTCCACTCCGTAGCATATCCCTGAACTTCTATTAGCAAGGCACCAAAATCGCCAACAGCCGACGCGGCATGCAATCTCCGGGCTCTTCCAGTCTTACATAAAGGCCTCTTCTGCGATGGCGAACAAATGTGGCGCCTGGGTGGCTCTCTGCTTGCCGGCGTAGACTTGAACCATGCCAGGGACATATAGCGAGTCGACTCTTGCAAAGGGATTTGTCGCGATTAACACGATGCCGCTATACGTATAGATTTCCTTCTGGGCATATCGTAAACGAATAGCTTGGAGCACTAGCGCGTGTAAAAAGTGTATGTTAGTCTCAGTTCCAAGACCTCTTTTGAAATTAAAGTGAGTTGGTTTGGCGACGCAGAAGTGCCCCGGGCCGTGAGGAATACACACCTGCTGGTTCGTTCAAGTGGGACAGGTTGGTTAAGTCATCGCTTGCTTCGAGCATGGCTGGGTTCATGAGAGGTGGGAGAGAAGGATCAGAGCCAGCTGCGAGCGCATCGACGGCGACATGGAGCGTTCTTGTCTGCGAAAAATATGTCAGACGCATCAATCTTGGCAGAGCACTGGGGACATCGAAAGTGGTGATAAGCTGCATACTTCGCCATTTTCTAGCTGGAATATCAAAGTCGCCTTCGTGTCGTTGATCGTCTTACTCGTGAGTTCCGAGGCTACCCAGCCCTCCGTTGGGTCGGGCTGCCATGCCCTGGTTCCGACCTCATAACTATGCGCCATGGGGGCGTCGAGGAGGGTGATGACGGGGTTCCGAGGATATAGGATGGATTTCTAGCTGCAAAAATATGTGCGGATCACTCTAGGGAAGAGAACTCATTAATAAACCCAGCTCTAGAAAGACGTCCCTCGCGGACGCAGAGATATTCGTCTGTTCCTCCAATCTAAAGGTGCGTCCAGCTTTGGGCGTGTCCTCGTCGTCGATGATCGCTCGGTCTAGGGAAAAGGTATGCCGTGGTAAGGAAGTGAGATAGGCTAGGCTGATGGCGATGACGGCCGGATGGAGCTGACACCGAGCCAAGCTTCGAGATGGTGGAAGGGGAATGACAGCGCTTGAGCAGGGACGTCCCACTTATGTTAGCTATTTTCCTTTGAAGAAGTTGTCTCGAGGACGACGGACTAGTCCCTCAATCAAATGAGTAAGGGGTAAAAGGAAAAAAAGAAAAGGGAAGGAAAAAAAAAACCACTCCTGTATAAAACAACCTGAGCTGGGGTGGTTTATTGGATGGATGGAAAGGGGTGTCGACGCACTGACTACAAGTTCTCTACGCGTCTAGATATTCGTCTTCGCCAGTTGAACCCGTTTTGTCGTTTCGTATAAGAATATATTGTTAGCCCATGAAACACCTTCCGTTAAGCATTTCGGGGGCTGGGGTTGAGAATGGGCAGAGGGCGAGGTGCACATATCCTTAATTGCATAATACATTCTAATTTTTATATCCTGGATGCCCATGCCATTACACGAGTGGATGTGCATATGAACTAGTCTATGATTGGCTCATCTCGCTGAAACGTCGAGCGAATCCTTCCTCAAAAGTCTATCCTAAGAACAACGTCGGGTTCCCATAATTGCTACCCAGCCTGCATCCATCCAACATGCTTGTTCACCATGGCCCACCAGACGAAATCCCGTGGATTTATGTCACCCAAGCCCAGCAAGGCCAAGCCCGCTTGGGCTTATATTTAATACTTACTGTCGCCAGGTAGGATTTGTTGGTACGGCAGAACTGGGGATCATTTGTGATGGCTTGATGAATTTCCTGCCATACCGACTCCAAATATCCTCAATTGGCTTACACGGTGGTGCGTGTGAGAGTTTGAGGGATACTTAATTAGTACAGAATCCTTGTAAGGATGCGAGCTATTCGACAGTGGGCAGTTAGCCGCTGAGATCCGGCGAAGATGCGAATGCACCAGGGGGCCGGCGGGGATGAAATAAGTTGCTGGCGGGTAATAATACATACAACTCAGGGCATCGAGCTGCTCTGATATCTCCTTCAGGTCTTCGACCTTGACATCGCTGATGTCCGCCATAAGATAAGCAGTCTATTCAAGTTCCATGATTAGTTTAGGTGTCTGGCCCAACATCGCGGCGCCGACGTGCCGCAGGATTGACGGAGACCGACCTCGCCTTTGCTGTCGCTGATCTGCTTATCGACGTTATGGTTGCCGAGGATAGCATTGACTATAGGGTACTGGTCAGCAAAAATTTTACGCCCAGCTGCGAACAACCTTCTCGGTCTCCGGATCTTTTACCTTTCCTCAGTACGCCGGGGACATTATGGTGGATATATATAACCTAGCCGAGGCGAGCACGCGTAAGTATCTTAACCCGGGCACTATTTAAATCAGGGGATATCAAAAACTGTCATTACCCTAGCGTGGTCAGGCTCGTCGGAGGTCAGTGACCTCAAGCTGGCCTCCGGAAGGTTCACACTTCCGAGAGTCGTACCCTCATTGATATACCGAACAAGGGCCTCTCCAACTATGTACCAACAGAGATTCCGTTAGTATGACAAGGGAATGACATCAGGTACAGGAAGTGGTGAGGCGGGAGGTTCATTAGGTCGTCGAGATGGAGGATTGGAGGCGGAATTACCTTCAACGCCGATCGCACGCTGCGCCTCCTCGGTGCTTCCACCGATATGGGGAGTGAGGATGAGATTGTTAAGGGCGCGCAACTGCTCGCCCCATTGGTTAAGATTGTTGTTGAAGTACTCGCCATTAGCTGCGGGCTCATTTGGATATACGTCCAGCGCGGCCCCGGCAATCTTGCCAGATGACATCGCCTCGATAAGGGCGGGGATATCGACAACGGTACCGCGACTGGCATTGATCAGGTACGAACCCGTCTTCATCTTGGAGAACTGGGCATGGGAAATCATGTTCCTGGTTTCCGGCAAATCCGGGACGTGGAGGGTCACAAAATCGGCCTCCTCTAGGAGCGCGTCTAGAGTTGGAACTTGGCGTGCGATACCCATCGCCATCAGGCTTACAATGTCGTAGTAGATTACCTTCATGCCCATGGCCTCGGCCAAGACTGACAACTGGGAGCCGATATGGCCATAGCCAACGATACCTTCAAGGCACATAAGTATATCAGTTTGGGTGGAACCGCCGTACCCCGGAGATGAGGCAGCAACGTACCCAGAGTCTTTCCCCTAATTTCCCAGCAGTTTTGGCTGACCTTGTTCCAAAACCCTCGGTGTATCTCCATAGAGCGATCACAGAGCTGACGAGCCAGAGCGATGATCTCTGCGATGACCAACTCAGCCACACTGCGGGAGTTGGCGAACGGGGAATTGAAGACGGCAATGCCTTGCTTGGCCGCGTAATCAAGATCAACTTGGTTCGTCCCGATACAGAAGCAACCTATAACGAGGAGGTTCTTCGCCTCGCGGAGGACATTCTGGGAGAGTTTCGTCTTTGACCGGATGCCGATGACATGGATATCACTAAGTAGAATCGTTAGTGCCGACTGAGGTAGTCTCCCCCGTCGGGATTGGGTAGACGTTGACTCACCGGATCTTCTCTATAAGCTCTGCCTCTGGGAGCGAAGTCTTGAGAGCTTCTACCTGGTATCCCTGGGCAGTGAGAATATCCCTTCCTGTCTGGTTCACATTTTCTAAGAGGAGGATCTTGATGTTTTGAGAATTGAAGGGCGTCAGCTGCTTCAAAGCTCTCCCGCTCAAGTTCGCCCCCAAAGAACCAGCCGGAGGGGAATGGAAGCTCATTGTGGGCGAGTTGGAGAAGCTGAGGCTGTAGGAGACCCTCCGGGCCCCTTCGATATCACGAGCTTGAGTAGCGGACATGGTTTTCCACGAGCTGTATCGTCCTGGGTCTTAGTCGATCTCACTGTGTGTCAAGTCCAACGAGCCGAGAAGGATTGAAGTTATCCGTGTGTTCGGAGATGACGGTGCAAGCGAGGATCAGGAGGGGCACATCCAGGCTTTAACTAATATTCTACTCGTAGGACGTGTAAAGCTTGACCTGGCGGGGCGCAGAGGGCCAAAAAAACAAGAAAAAAAAGTTTTAAGTTTTTTCTTTTTTTCGGGGCTTTTTGAGTCATAACAGCATTAATGCAATCCATCGATTTCGCAATTGTCGAGCTTGCTCAATATTGCTTCCACTACGACCACAGCCTAAAAACCTTGCACTATTCCTCAGTACGACATCCATAAATATACATTGAGGAATGTTTGGTACTTCTTGTTGTTTGCATGTGTTGCGCGTTAATACATCATGTCCGTTTGAGGCCAAGGTAGAGGTACATCATGTTGTTCACACTTTTACCCCACACCCCCTCCCCCCACCCCTCCCCCGATTGTCGGGTCTAAACGACGAGGGGCGCGGGAGAGAGAAAAAGTCAGAGAAAATGAAAAAAAAAAAGAAAAGAAAACAGAAAGGAGCAAAGAAATAGACAAAAGGGGGGAAAAGAAGGAGAGAGAGCGGAGAGAGAGGGGAGAAAGAGGGGAGGGAGAGACCTGTCTTTGTGCTAGGTGGGGTGAGACTTTGGACATAGCAATGGCATCAGCGGCCCCAAAACTCGTTCGGATTCGCCAACTGCAGATGGCTACCAAACGAACTCATGGTCGCATCCAATTCCAAGTGTCCAATGCCAGAATCAAGTCTGCACATGCTCACGCAGGCGACCGGAATCACCAAGCCAACGCTTGGAAGCCCAAGTCTCAACATGTGTCGTCATCATCAATAGCTGAACGTAACTGCGGCACACAATATGGACTTGGCCTCTCTCGCAACACTTGCTAGGTATAAAGCCTACTAGTTTAGATAGGTAATTACTATCTCATCAAGTGTCCCCTGTAGCATGCATATCATTATCAGAATGGTTAAGAGTCATGCTATTGACACTAGGGCGATGTGGCTGGCCATCGCGAGTGTCATACCCGGTTTGCGCGCTAACTTGACGAATGCGAGCTTGACAAGGCTTGACCCAGGCTTGAACCGGGGGAGGTGCTCTTCATTCTGCGGTACCTCACATTGGGCCGGGCGCATGGAGCAATTGGTGGTCGAAAGACGTCTACCTGAACAAGTGCTACTAGACCTTCACACAGCCTGGCAAGAATGGACTGGACCACCCGGGTGGTAAGAGCGAAAGAAGCCTATATAGGCTGGACCCGAAATAGATGAATTATTTTTGTCTACCAGACATTGCCTTCACATCTTCACCTCCCTTCATCTGCAACAAGAACGCCGCCAATGCGGCGGCCATCATTAACGCACCCCCCTCGTATTGAGCAGTCTCCTTGAGGGGTCGCGACAGCATTCTTCAAGGCCACATCAATGACGCTTCGGGCCTCCCGCTCAACTTTGCTTGCACTCGGCAGCCTCTTTGTTAGGCTTGCCGGCATCGTCCTAGGATGTATTAGCAGTGCCAACGGAATACGGGCTCCATGGGGAAGTTAGTTTACCTCATCGTCGGAATCATCCTCGTCGTCCTGGTCGTCACTCAGATCGTCTTCGTCATCATCGTCGTCATCGTCATATTGAATGCCTTCCAAGTCCTCCTCATCCATCTCTTCATACTGGAGAGCTTCACCAGTGAACCAATCGATCGCGCGAGGAATTAGCTTCTCCTTGATATCCTCGCCCAACTGGTAGTCTAATTCCAACCGGATCTCAATATCGGGATCGGTCTCCTCGTCATCATCGTCCGGGGCGATAGGAGGAGAGAAGAAGTTGAAAAAGGATTCGGTCGGGACGGTTTTCTTGACAACCCGAGTCTGCTTCGTGTCTGTTCAAGAAGAAGCAACAAATGGAGGCGATTAGTCACGGTTGCAGAGTTCGATTGCAAACAGCGAATGGTTTGGGCTGATGACTTAGCATACTCTTGTTTCGTTGTTTCTTGCTCTCTGTGCGCACAGTTAGATCCTTGCCAGCCTTCCAATCGATCTTGTCGCCTTCGGCATGGTCGTAGATGAAATCGCCACCGTATCCGCTCTCGGTCTGGTAGAAGTAGGTTTTCGTAATCGTCTTATTGGTGAAGAAGTCGTTCTCCGAAAACTCAAAAATGAGCCGGAATCCGGGCTTATCGAGGTACTCCATTCGAATGTCGACGAGGTGCTTGAGGGCCGCCTCGTCACGGTCCGTTATCATTTCTGCGAGTGAGATTTGGTTCTTCATGGCCGAGAGCCAGAATTCGGGAATTCCCGACACCACTTCGGAAGACTCGGCCGATTTTTCGGTGGTCTTGGGGGACTGATCGGCGTTTTCCTCATCATCGTTGGCCTTCTCACCTTGCTCGACTTCCGCATCGGTCGGTTCCGCCTTTCCGTTGACGATCGAGGCCCTCTTTTCATACAGAGGGGTAAACTTGGCAAAATACTTCTTCTCTAGTTGAAGGACCTCTTCCTGGAATTCTGCCTCGAGCTTGGCGTGTTCTGTCTGAATTCCCTTCAGGCCGGCTACTCGACGGCGAACCGAGGGGGGTAGAGACTCGATGTAGCCCGAAGACCGACCAACCAAGCTTCCTAGCCGTCCCTGGATCATTTGGATAATCCTCGGGTCTTGGGCAAAAATTGAGGCGGCGGCGCGGTCGAGATCCTCTAGTGGGCAAAATGTGCGGCGTTAGAGGTGCAAGGCGAAGCGGCAGGAAATGTACACAACAGCACGACTCACCTTCCTTAATGCTAGCTACGCCGGGTTGTTGGGCGTGCGACGAAATGGGAGCGTTGTTGGCAGGCGTGTTCTGGGGCGTCCTAGATAAACATACAGATGAGTCGCGATCCTAGACAAGGAGGGAGAGGTGGCGAAGCGTAATGTTGGCGTCGATGGAGGGGCACAAGAAATGCGAAGGGCTCTGGTAGCAAGGAAGGAATAGCACCTACGGTGCGGCGCCCGATTCGGGACGTTTATTGGGAATGGGCTCAGCCATGTTGAGGAATGTTGCTGGATATTGCGAAGTTTTCAGGGTTTGGCGGGGAAGTTTGAAGGTGGAGGAGGGAAGATTAGAGATGATGGGAGTATTTGGGGTGCAAGATGATAGATTTTTGCGAAGATTACTACTAGTCGGTAAGGACTATTAAGGAGGGTTTTTTTCCTTTTCCTCTTTTTTTTTTTTTTTTTTTTGTCCACCACCGTCAGGTACCATCGAGTCAAAGTTTTGAATGGGTTCCTTCCAGCTCCTCAACAACCACTGTCAACCAGTGACAGGACTTTTTGGGACCCGACATAATAATATTGATGAACTCCATAAAGTCAGTTTTCTCTGAGTTAGACCCACCTCAATAGTGTGCCAGTTTCTCAGCAAAAGAAATTGAACTCTTCAACGTTCATTTTTAATGCAACCAGACCTGGCTTCAATGAGAACATCAAATATGCAATCAGGAAAAATCAGTCTACTACCCGAATGTGAGGAGAATTCGGCACAAAGCAAAGACGAAGGAACACTCTGGATTCTTTTGAACTAGGCCTTTCTTTCTCTCTCTCTCTCTCTCTCTTTTTTTTTTTTTTTTTTTTTTTTTTTTTTTTTTTCCCGATCGTCAAACCCTCGGTATTTCTCAATGGCTATTCCTGTATTTTGCCTCTGCAGCCTGGCGAGCCTGGCCTAGCTCTAAGCTCTAAGCATGTAAACGTAATCTACTTGGAAGGCTACTTCATAAGTTCAATTAAATGTCGATTTCAGGGTATCTAAAAATCTATTTCTCCTGCTAAATATATCGACCTCTATTCTACCTTATATACCCCAGCTCCATTGATTTATCCCTTAGGCTGTTCTTTTCTTCAGAGCTCTTGTTGAGGGAAACAACTTCGCTGTGTGCATGAAGTGTGTGCAATGGTACGAAGTACACATTACCATTATATAAGGCTCTGTTAAATGCATAGGCTAGCTTGGATCTCGAGAGCTTTGCCCAAATTCGGTTGGCCGCAGGATCAGATACTCGAACTTGCAGCGTGATAACAACTAAGGCCTTTCTTCCTTAACCAACACTTAAACAGCATTCAAAGGGCTTGAACCATCGAGCAAAAGAAGAAAGGTGAGGATGACAAGTTCATCACACATTGCTTCTTCAAACATTTGAAACTTTTATCTGGTGGTGGTGTTGTCTCTGTGTCTACCCATTACTTGCGACGTGACCTATCAGACGGCGTTCATCTTCTCTGTACCCTACGACTTGCAATTGGCAATGCTACGCGACTTCGACCGGACCGTATTGCCTGTTCCAGTGGTATCAGTCCGGGCGAGAGCTTGGGGGTGATTACAGTAATGGACACCAAGGCCGGTCACACTCCCGCAGTCGGGCCCGGGAGCAGAGCGGATATTCCTGGACCTCGATCCCGTCGCAACTCGAACCAAAGCAGCTCAAGTATATTTGAAGATGTGGAAATGGCACAGAATGAGGTGTGGTTTCTCAAAGATGATGCATCCCCCAAGAATTTTATCTAGCTTCTTACACTGGCTTATAGGTGTTCGCGGGACCCATTGCAGAAAGCCTTCCCACGAGCGTCTCTGCATTTTCCCATCGGCGGTCACGGTCCGACTCCATCGCGAGCTTCACGTATCACTTAGATGAGGAAGATTCCATCCTTCCTCCCGAAATAGATGGTCGCTCGAGCGTCGAACAGTTCCGCTTAAGTTACGAGAACGAGGGGGACAATGACTCTGTCTTCTTCGAACCAGGCGACGAAGACCTTGGAAGATATAGTTCGACTCGGCGCCGATCGTCGACTCTCTCCAGGGCTTCGGTCCATGCTCGATTGCTTCGCCAAACTAGCGCGACTTCAATTTGCTCCAGTCGAGCCGCTCGACGAGTCAGTCAGAAGACGTACTTATTGAATGAAGACCTAACGATCGCGATCGCTGGCTTCGAAACTAGCCGAACAGGCTACCTGGCATACTTGCTAATATGCGCCGGTACCCTTGGACTGGGATATCTATTCTTCCGATGGCTACCACGTTGGTACGTCCGGCTCGTGGGTCAAGTATGCCCTTTGAGTGATTGCGACTGGGTTGTTGTCGAGGTACGTTGAGCCTTCTAAGATCCTGCCAAAGCCCAGTGTTTGCCTGACAGCGACGCGCGATAGAATCAATGGGGCGAAATCAACATTCTCGAGGTTGAAGATAGACCTTACGGTCAGCCGCTATCCACTGTATTCGGCCCACCTGGTAAGGCGATGTCATTTGACGGAGACGACGACGATGATCCGTTATTGCCCACTCTTCGCATGCTTAACTATCGCTACGTGCGTCTATTCTTTCATCCGACTCAGGACATGTTTGTGCTTTTCCATGGTTGGAAAGACCCAGCCTGGACTGATGTGTGGTCGGCACGCACTGGCATTGATGAGGAGGAGCGCAGTATTCGTGAAACAGTCTTCGGCTTAAACCTCATCGATATAGAGCAAAAGTCAATCCCGAAGCTTCTCGTTGATGAAGTAAGAGTTTAGCAGCCGACCTCGTGAGGAACGAATGTTCGCTGACTACAATCCCACCAGGTTTTCCATCCGTTCTACGTCTTCCAGATTGCCAGTCTGATCCTCTGGTCTTTGGACGAATATTATTACTATGCCGCGTGCATCTTTCTAATGTCCGTAGGGAGTATAACTACCACACTGATTGAAACGCGAGCCGTAAGTCGTCGCACCAGAGTCTGGGCTTCTTCTCTATCCGATCGGCCTAACACGCACGTTACTATTAGACAATGCGCCGCCTCAGAGATATATCACGTTTCGAATGTGATGTTCGCGTGCTAAGAAACGGCTTTTGTGGGTGCAGCAAAGCATTTTGTGTTCTCTGAAGACCTCTGCGCTAATTGCACAACAATAGGGCGGTATATTTCCTCTGGCGATATGGTTCCAGGCGATGTGTATGAAGTCAGCGATCCAGCCCTCGCACAATTTCCGGCGGATAGCGTTCTGCTAAGCGGCGATTGTATTGTCAACGAGAGCATGTTAACAGGTATGTAGTTGTGGGAGATCGTCGTTGTCAGCCCGACAGACCTCGTGAGGAACTAACCAGTTCACTGGACTAGGCGAGTCAGTCCCTGTTTCAAAATTCCCTGCAACAAATGAATCTTTACGGCAACTGGACCTCGCTGCCTCTACCATGACACCTGCAATGGTTAGACATTTTCTTTTTTGCGGGACAAGGATCATCCGTGCTCGGCGGCCTCAGGAAGACCGTCACGGAGAGGCCGTTGCCCTTGGTCTCGTGGTGAGGACCGGCTTCAACACAACCAAAGGGGCTTTGGTCCGTTCTATGCTCTTCCCAAAACCATCGGGCTTCAAATTTTATAGGGATTCCTTCCGGTATATCAGTGTCATGGCTGTCGTCGCCATGTTTGGATTCATTGCTTCTTTAATCAACTTCATCAGGCTGCGGATCGAATGGCACGAGATCATTGTTCGGGCGCTAGATCTAGTTACGATTGTTGTTCCACCAGCTCTTCCCGCAACCCTAGCCATCGGGACGAATTTCGCAATTTCTCGATTGAAGCGGAAACAGATCTTTTGCATAAGTCCCCAACGAGTCAACGTCGGCGGAAAGTTGGACATCATGTGCTTTGACAAAACAGGAACTCTAACCGAGGATGGCCTTGATGTCCTTGGCATTCGAATTGTGTCACGGACGGAAAACAAGTTTTGCGAAACTGTATCGCGACCGGAGCACCTACGTGAATTTGCTCTTGAGCGTGACCCAGACCAAATCGCGTCCCAAACCTATCGGTCTGCTCTTTTTACGATGGCAACGTGTCACTCACTTCGCTCCGTCGATGGGGAACTTGTCGGGGATCCTCTTGACCTGAAGATGTTTGAATTTACCGGGTGGAACTTTGAAGAGGGTGATCAAGGCACCGGCGAGCATGATGACGAGGACCAAGGCGGTATCTCGCCTTCTATTGCCAGGCCTCCTCAACAACCTCCGCTCGGCACGTCAGATAGCGGATCTGATCCAAGAGTCAGGCATCATCCTCCTTGTCCGGTTATATATATGACTTACTAACTGCTCAACATAGAGTGCTCTTGAACTTGGTATTCTCAAATCGTTCGAGTTCGTGTCCCAGCTCCGAAGGAGTAGTGTGATTGTGCGGCATTTTGGTCAACAGAGTGGCGACGTGTATGTCAAAGGCGCCCCTGAGTGCCTGAAGGAAATTTGCCGGGAAGAGACATGTATGGCCCCTCCGATGCGCTGACGGACGCCCAGGATTGTAATACCACCCGCGGTTAAGATCCTGATACTAACAACCACCCTAGTTCCCGAAGATTACGATGAGCTTCTGTCTTACTATACACACCAGGGGTACAGGGTCATCGGCTGCGCCACGAGGCATATCCGGAAATTAAGCTGGCTGAAAGCTCAAAAAATGAAAAGAGAGGAAGCCGAGTCAGACCTGGAGTTTATCGGATTCATAGTCTTCGAAAATAAGCTAAAGCCAACAACTGAGGCGGTGCTCGCGGAGATCGGAGACGCAAACATTGCAACAGTTATGGTAACAGGAGACAACATCTTGACGGCCATCAGTGTCGCCCGTAAAAGCGGGTTGATGGACCGAAGTGCCCACTGCTTCGTCCCACGATTTGTTGAGGGTGAGTTGTGTTTCTAGGATCCTCACCACAGCGTGTCATCGCCGGTCAACTCTCTGCTGATCTCTTCCGGCTGCTCCCAGGTACCTTCCAGGATCCCAACGCCCGTCTTCAGTGGGAAAGTATCGATAATCACCAATATCAATTGAATAGTGAGACCCTAGCAGTAAGTCTGCATTCCACAATAAGCACCCAAGCAGAAGTATCTGGAGCTTAACATCACATGTAACTTCGCACAGCTTTGCCCTTTGCCTCCCCAAGTCGACGCTTCTTTACCATACGACATCATAAATCTTCGGAACTACTCGCTTGCAGTTAGCGGTGAAGTGTTCCGTTGGGTTGTGGATTTCGCGCCACCGCTCGTCTTGCAACGTGTCCGTGTACCCACATGCCTGCCTACAAGACAAACGTTTGGAAGCTAACTCCGATGTCTCTGGGCAGCTTCTCGTGCGAGGAAAGGTGTATGCCCGAATGTCACCAGATGAAAAACATGAACTGGTGGAGAAACTCCAGAGCATTGGTTACTCATGCGGTTTTTGCGGCGATGGCGCAAATGATTGTGGAGCACTAAAGGCCGCCGATGTTGGAATCTCGCTGTCTGAGGCGGAGGCATCTGTAGCAGCGCCTTTTACATCCAGGGTCTTCGATATCCGCTGCGTACCAGAGATCATACGGTGAGTGCCAGGTCCTGTCTTGTCGTTCTCGGGCATTGGCGAGCTGGTTCGTGTCCAACCCCCACTAATCAGACTTGTAGCGAGGGGCGCGCATCACTTGTCACGAGCTTTAGTTGCTTCAAGTACATGAGCTTATACTCAGCAATCCAGTTCACCACGGTGAGCTTTCTCTACGCTGCGGCTTCTAATCTGGGTGATTTCCAAGTGAGTAATAGGGTCCCCAGGAAACGGATTGGGAGAACACAACAAGAGAGAGGAAGCAGATATCGCCAACTAGCAGACATAACTGACCGGGCCCAATAGTTTCTCTTCATTGACCTCTTCTTGATTTTGCCCATTGCCATTTTTAGTAAGACCATAGCGAGCCTCGTGCCGTCCCCAGAGATGTGTTGTTACATTTTTGAGCTAACCTCCGATGTCACTAGTGAGCTGGGGAGGTCCCCATCCCGTGCTCTGTAAGAAGAGACCAACGGCAAACCTTGTCTCCAGGAAAGTTCTTGTTCCTCTTTTGGGGCACATGGCTCTAGCCATCGCTATACAGACAGCGAGTTACATTACTGTAAAGGCACAGCCTTGGTATGTGATGTCCGCTTACTCCTGAGAAATAAGCCAGATCCTAACACTTAGAGTTTACAGGTACATTCCTCCAAAGGTCAGGCACAGGAAATCCAATATAAAGAATTCGGAGAATACGGCCCTTTTCCTAGTCTCTTGCTTTGAATACATACTTTCGGGTGTTGTGCTCAACGCAGGTCCACCATTTCGAGCATCGTCCAAACAAAATTGTGAGACTCGGACCTTTCTTCTATTTTTAAAGTTGACTTGCTAACCTACTCCAGGGCCATTCTTGGTCACCGTTTTCACGACGCTACTTGTTACGCTCTACATGATCATCAGCCCCGCGGCGCCGGTGAAGAGGCTGATGCAGTTAACTAAAACCCGCTGGGACTTCCAACTGTTCACGATCTTCCTTGGAGCGCTCTATGTCCTTCTGGCCTGGGTATCAGATAGAATACTCTTTCCGCGGCTAGCACGCCTGTTTGGCGCTCTAAAACTCCGCATCACTAAGACGCCGAAGAAAAGGAAGGAATACAAGGTTATCCTAGAGGCTATACCTTCCTAATCCTTGGGGATCCTATCTTGTATCATCAAAGACAGTAATTTCCACACACACTTTCGTGTGTGACTCCGCCAGGCATCTCTGTTCTATAGGTTTGTCATAGTGACAATACATCTGATGTACATGCAGTTTGTCGGGCGGTAAAACGTGGTAATGATTGTAATTAGGGGAAGTCGCACGTTCTATACATGTCCCCGTTAGGCTTTCTTTTGTTCCCTTTCTTCTTTCACTCTCTTTTTCCCCTCTCTGTTTCTTTTTGTTTCTTTCCTTATCCGAAGCTATAGGCAGCATGCTAGCCGACTCGCCACACACCCGATCCCGCTGCTATACGATGAGCCGTGCTTGATCAATGTCCGGCGCCCACCGAATAGAATAAAACCCATATGTTAGGTAGCAATAGGAGAACATCGTCATCTACGGTCGCCTTCTCGGTCTGGCCTGTGGTTGACGCCTTGCAAAGAGATCTGCCTAAGGATGTAAGGATGAGTGATAAACAAGCCTACGTCGTAGCTCACTTATCTCGGCAACAGCCCATCCACATCTTTACATTCGAGAGATGAGCTCCATGAAGAGGCTCTGTGAATGTTAGTGAAGGCGGCATCATATCCCCCGCCCAGTGTTGGCCTCGAGTCAATCAGCGGTGAAAGGGGGTTCAAACTCTCGTTATCGAACCTGCCATAAAAGCATTGGGTCTATGGCAAACCATGCATTTACAAATATACATAGGTGATATGCAAATGTCATATGGTTGTCGTGGTGGATGAAAGCAGCCGGTGCAATATCGCAGCGGCAAGAACAACGAAAAGAAAGAAAATGAGCTGGTCGAGCCAGCGGGGAACACCGACGTTCTGGGGTTGGGGTTGGGGTTGGGGTTGTGACTGCGCTGTTCTTGTTGATAAAGCAGGACCAGGGGCGGAAGACTGCGTCCTCGGGCTGGTCGCCTGCTCTGCTGGTTTGATCTGCTCCGTACTATCAACAGAGGCGTCGGGGCGGTGGTCGGTTATAATCGGTTGCGCGGTCGACTGATCTCGCTGTGTCTGGGTCCCCGGGCCCGGGGCTAACTCGTCCTTCCAACTCATCCTCAAATCCGAGGGCACGTCGATTTCTTTATTACCCGCCGATGTATCCGGGTTGGCTTCCGATTGTTCACTGCATTCGCGGATTATGTCGGCGTTGGACTTTCCACACGCCGGACATAGGTAAGAGAGCGATTCAGTCGCAAGCCGCTTTCGTACCTCGTCCGTGGTATCAAGGCCTCCCAGTTGGCCTTTAGGGTCTGTTTCCATGAAGCTCCGCAACCTAGGTGTGGAATACGTTAGAGCGAAACGAAAATGACACACTCTCGGGATGCCGAGGAGGCGGCCTTACGCGACAAGGGCGGTGCGAACACCCCAAGCCGGCTGCCACGTCTCTTCATGGTGGCCGCTGATGCTCAAACAGATTTCGCGATTGGTCTCGAATCGGCCGCTCGGTGTCATGAATCTGAAGCTAGGTGGGCGGAGCGGGTATGCAGGGGGTAGTATGATGCGCCCATGATAGATGCCTTCACCGTAAACCGAATTCGGGGGCCCTTTGAAAGTAAAATGCCATTCAAAAAGGTCGGACTCTAAAGGGGTCGCAGTGTAGTCGGGCGAGGGTGTATTTGCAAGCTCCTGGGCCTCTTTTACTATTGAGGAAGGCGGCGAGGTTAGTTCTACACTAATGACCTTGGATGGATCCATGCTACGGGGGCTGCTCACATATACGTCGGATGGTTGGTGACTTGGTATTGAGTTTCATGGATGCCATGATTGAAAAGAGTGAATTGCGGTATGTTCGATTTTGTGGGTTGTGAGGTGCTGCTGCGGTGAAGTTGAGCTATCGCTTTCAAGATGGAACAATTGATGGGTGCGGGATGACGTGCCCCGTTGCCAGGTGTCCTTGCTGGTCGCTCAAATCAAATGTTCCCAGTTGCCACTTTCCATTTGAGCTTTGTCCGTGTCTAAACTTCCGAAGGTCCTTGCACAACAATTATTATTAGTATACCGAGGTACAAAGGCACCATGTCTGACAAAGAGATTGAGCGACATTTTGGAAAAAACAATCGAAGCAAGAGCAATGAGCCTGTTCGAGGCGCCTTCGGAACATTCCGTGATTATGTAATCTGTCAAGTCTTCAATTCCCAGTCCACCTCAGACGACCGTTTTCTCCAATCGTGATTTACCTTCCGACACCTCAACGTCCGAGCATTCGAAGGCGTCGTAAAACCAGAGTAGGTTCTCCAATCGCCGCTCCCTACATTCGATTCCCGAATTGACAGTATTCTCGAGCAGAGTGAAGCCGGCACATCCCCAACCCCAACAGCTTTTTCGGTCGCACAAACATGTTTCCCCCAGGCCGAGCGCCGCCTGTCCCCCATGCCGGATTCATCTATCGATTTACGGCTAAGGCCCTCGGGGCGGGCATGTGGTTTTTCGTACGATGTCCCAGCCTCCTTTCCGTTCTATTAACCGAACCTACATGCTAACCGCTCTCTCGTTTAGCTCATGTACCGCGCGAAGAAGGATGGTAGGCCGACCCCTGCGCAAGCTCCATCCGCTTCGAAGAGAAGGATGCTAACTTGTAATTGACATATAGGGCCAGTACTACTAGGCTGGAAACATCCTTGGGAGCATTAAACAGAAAATGGATTTACACCTGGGTGTTAGTTTTGGTTCCAATCGCATTCCCGAGCTAGACTTTGCGGCACATTCACCGATGTACGATGGCGATGTTTTGCAAGGAGCTGCCACTTCGACACTGGTGCTTATAATACTGCGTCTATCCTATCCCTAACGCGCACTCAGACTGCGGTACCATTAGAAGGCTTGATAAACAGACAATGAGCAACACCCCATGTATCACCACCTTGATACGCAAAGAGTTCAGAGCATGCCATATAGAAGATTTGCCATCGATTATACCACGTCCTTGCATTTTCTTTACCATAGGTCTCGCACAAGTGCGGCCATATCTCTTGCTTGTTCCCGATCATTTTCGCCAACCAATCCTGGGCAGAATGTCAATCTCCTTTCTCCACTTCATACTGCCCGGACTTGTCCTGAGGAATGGGCCGCGGTGCCATTCACGTCATGGTTATAACTCACCTCACAGGTCCTTGAATAATGCTTGCCGTTGACCCACCACTGATGCTGTATTTTGAGATCCCTTTGGAAATATAGGAGGAGATCCGCAGATGGCATGGTGCCCCCAGTGAAGAAGTGAGTCGACATCCAGCCCTCTTCATAGTCATAGGCAGTGGATCTGTGAGCGAATATATGCACGAATAGCTTACCCTCGGGCTTCAGCGCCCTGGAGATCTTCGCCATAAGCTGTTCGTAATTCTTCATGTGCTCAAACAACTGCGAATCTGTCAACTCTAGTGGCATATATCCGCGAACTGATGTCATGGTTGTCAGTGTTCGCGATGCCTCGGGGTGATTCACGTTACCTCGATAGACACAACCCGGTCAAAAGATTCGGATTCGAACTCATAGTCGACGATGTTCCCGGTGATGACGTTAAGATTGGTAAGACCTAGTTCTTTCGCTTTTGAGTCGATATACTCCTTCTGCGTCCTGGAGTTGGAAATCGCCGTAATTTTGGATCCGGGGAAGATTTCCGAGAAATAGAGCGCACAGGAGCCCCAGCCGCAGCTGCTCGTTCCAGTTAGCCAATACGTACTAATTAGCATACACGGATGTTCGTAGAAACAGTTATACAATACGCTAGCTGCTTCTTGCACATACCCAAGGTCGAGGATGCTCATGCCATCCTTGAGCTCGGCCTTCTCGACATACGAGTTTAGCATGGCCACCTCAGCTTCCGCCAGCGTTTCGGTTCCCTTGGGGTAAAGACAACACGAATACTTCATCCGCGGTCCTAGACACGCCGTCAAAACACCAGTTCCAACTTCATAATGCTGCTTGTTGGCGGCCTCCGTCTCAACAGCTATGGGCCTGCTGTGGAGCTTATTGATATAGGCCCATTTTCTTTCCGTTGCTACCGAAAGAGAGGCGCTGGCAATGGAGTTCAATCTTCCCCGACAGTTTCGCCGAATGCCCATTCTTATGATCGGATGAGGGACGTAACCCCCATCCAGAAGCCAGTCTAGTCAAGGGCAGTTCGTCAATTAGCGCTGCTCTGGTCGTTGTCTCGCATGAATATGGAGATGAGTGCCAACCGATGTTAACCATAGCTATGCAGAACAAGTAGTAGTTCACGACTCAAGGCCTCCGCCAACTCCGTTGCTATTTCGGTCGATGCTTGTAAAACCTGATTTTGACTGATTGTTGCTATGAGGGTCGATGGTAAGTAGGGTGGCTTCTTGACAGATAAAAGAGGACGAGGACTAGATATACGCTGGGTGGGTGATTACCATTTTCGCGGGGAGTTGGTTTTGGTCGACTTGAAACATCGGGGCTCGGGCATGTCAAAGCGACAAGGGATGAAGCATGGACGATCACAAAGCACCATGGAGCGAGCTGAATCCTGCCCCCTCCTTCTCTGCTTCCCGACGCCTCGTGGACTATGGAATCTATCGAAGGAAGCCGTCTGCATACGATAGACTAAAACAGGCACAGGTATCGTGCTGAGATCTCGATGGCAGTACGATTATTTTCTGCCATATCCCGATCTAAGTTGGCCACGGATGAGTACTCCACCATATGGGCGAAAGCCACCGTAATGTGCAGAGTGAAGAGACGATGCAATGTATTTCTGGTGTATTGTCTAGATCTATATATTGGGAGAGAGGAACGGGAGGCGGGGTGGTTCCTCGAGATGGATAGAAGAAGTAAATGATGCGCCGCAGCACACCTATTATCTTGACGACTTGGAATGATTCACATCCAGATGTGGTGAATAAATGGTGAAATTTTCAATCTTTCCGATCCGCCGTATCAAAGTATCTATATTAACAGAGTATAAATGATTATATGGATTCACCAAGACCCTGTGGCACAGTCGTGTCTCGAGAAAAGTCGATCTCCGGCTAGTCCTATCCTACAAGCCCACAGTAACGGTCATATTGTTACTCAGGATAAGCAGAACGGGTGGTAGGTCATTGCATAAGACTTCAACGTCTGATAGATATTTCAAGGTCATGTTCTCATCTAGGCAGGTGCCATCTTTCGGAATCGGGAGAGTGGTGAAAAGAATAGCTGTGTCTGCGCTGTTCTTCCGCATCAGCTCATTCAGTATAAGATGCTGAGCGCGGCTCGGAAGATCGTTGAACGAGAGTGAGAGGCTTTGGGTGGAATAGGACGACCCGTCATCATTCTTGTCCGGAGTCGTCTCAGACCTGTAGCTGTCTAGTAAACCTGGGATGTTGATCCTTTGGTCGAGGCTGAGTTCGGAACGTGCTGTCCCACGACGACTGTGATGCAAGGGTTCTGAGAATGAAACCCTCGAGTTATCTACCTCACCCGGCATCTTCGGTAGTCTGGGTTCCATTGCCAGCCGGCTCGAGAACCGGCCCGTTGATGACTGCCGCGAAAGCGAAGGTCTCTCCGTGAATAATGGCGCAGATGGGGGTGCCGGGTCAGCAAACATGATCGTGGGCCCCGAATGGCCCTCTACATCGGTCTTCGTCTCCGGCAGAGGCTTGCTAGTGAATCTCATAGCCGAGGACTGGCGAGAGAGTGTCGCAGGGGCATGGGCCGAAGAAGAGCTCTCGCCAGCCTGGGACCGACGATCAGTTAGCGTGTCACCATCTAGACCGCGGACGAGAGTAGGAGGCCGATCGGAGACTGCGCGCGGGAGTCGTGGGTGTCTATCGGGAGACCGTACTCTCGTTCTCTCGGTCGGCAATTGTTTTGGCCTCCCCTGCACGCCTTCGGCCACTCCTTGCAAGCTCGCTGGGCTCTGCTTATCTGGATCTGGCGGTTTGTCACCACCGGATTGACTCGATGGAGGCAGCTTATCCTGGCTCTCCAATCCGCCTGTCGGTGCTTTCCCCTCTGGGGGTCGAGAGGAACTAGAACCATATGGAGATGGCTGTCCTGGGGGAGCGGCGGCCACGAGTGTGCCATAGGATACCGAGCTCGCCTCCCCAGTGTTGCTCATCAATTCACGCCGCTGGCTGGGCGGTCCATACCTTCTTCGCTTTGGTGAGTCGTGATCGCGTAACGCATCACCAAAGCTCCTACGACGGAGTATCGATCCCAGCAACGGTCGTCGGGAGGGGTCTGTCGCTTCTTCTTCTTCTTCATCGCTTGCAGCATCGGGTGAGCTATTCTCAAGATCCGAATCTGACAGTTCGTGGCTGGGATCGATGTCGCTATTTTCTCCGTCGCTATCCAAATGATCCAGCCGGTCGATCTGGTCATCAAACACATCGTCTCCCAAATGATGGGTGTGAATGCCGACCTCGACACCAAGTCGGGCGAGTTTCGACACACTTGGTTTCGACCTCAAATCACGTAGGTCCGCCATACTAGCGCGGCGCTTTTTGAGGTCGATATCATCGATCCGAGGATTTGGGGTGCTCGGCCTTCCCATGGGAGCATCAAGGATGGCCGCCAAAGAATCCATCTCCTGTGAGGCTGTCATGGAATCCCGTCTTCCCCTTAGGTACCGTAGCTCCTCCCACCAATCCTCGTCTCTGAGGATGTCATTCACCATGGCTTCAGAGTCAACATCTCCGGAACGTCCGTTGACAATTGTTTCGTAGGTATGTAGCTCTCCAGAAGCTAGCCAGAAAACACGAGTTACCGCCTCGATCCGCAGCTTGTCAAGTAGCGCTTTTACACGCATCACTTCCTCGGCCACTTCGTTCTCGTACTCAACGAACACAAGGACACGCAGTTTGAACGCCTTCCTCCATGCCGGGACGCTATTCAAGATATATCCGAGCTGGAGAATCAACGTATCTGGGCGTCCACATGACAACGTGTTAGCAAGTCGTCAAGTTGGATAGTTTGGGGCCGATTCCGCGACGCAGGCAGAACTTACACGTATCGAAATTGGTAGTTAGGATGCTTTTACCGTCGGACACTATCTCGGCGGACATCTGGATTGGCCAGAGATCAATATATTTCTTGGTATTGGAGCCGTCGTGCCTGGGCAGCTCCAGCTTCTCACATCCCTTACCCACGGCAACGTTAAGCCGATACCGCAGCGCTAAGTCCTCAAGGATGGTCATGTAGTCAGTCACAGATATCATATCTTCTCTCCGGATGACGTCCGTTGGTAGGAAGCCTTCGAGGAGACGGGCCGCGGTATCTCCTCGACGGCGATTGACTGCCTTAGCACCGGGTCGCTTAGCTTTGGAGGTTGGGGATGTCGGGGCACTGGGCACGGGGACAAGGGGGCGTGAGCGCCTTAGTTCGTCCATATTATAGAAGCCTAGAACGGCGATGTTCGGCCGCATACCTCCCAGCCCAGCTGAGAGAATGAGGTTTCTAATGCCCCAGGTGATTGAGGGGGACATTGATAACTGGACGAATGCCTTTAAGCGGGGAATTTCGGAGATGAAGCTCGCCCAGGCATGTTGCTGGAGCTTGGCTTCATGAACGCCAGTGTTAAAATCATCCGTGACGATTACGTGGCCTAAGATATAAAGCGAACCCTTTTTCATGGAGTTGCACAGCTGGATGAGTCTTGTTTGGTGCCTCGGATTGTTGACCAACAGAATTATCTGAGGCCGCCAGAATTTGATATGCTCTGGTTTGAGTCTCAGTAAATACTTGCGAACTTGATGGTAGATGAGGTTTTGTGAAACATCCCCCCAACGTTTAGGTGGGCAAAGGTAGTGTATCAGCGAGAAAAGGAAGATTACGAGGCAGACCGCGGCGGCGGCATAGGTTTCGTCCGTAAAGAACATGGCGGCGGCAGACATGAAGGAGCCAGCCAAAGCGGTCTGCCAGCTAAAGAACTTGAACCCAGGACGGAAGTTCGGGGCTGATCCAACCTTGAGCAGAAAGCAGGCCAAGTTCATCACGAAGAAGGTCATCTAGGGGAAGAAGAAGGGGGCGAGATCAGCAGACAAGTTACGGCACGCAGGGCAACGGGAAGCGGGAGCGGACAAACCTGATATCCCATTGAGATGAAAGTTGCAATCTGGTTCAAATCAGCCAACAGCGCGAACTGAGCAATGGCATAAGTCAACAACATGGCGAGGATGGGCTCGTCTCCCTGGCTAGTTCCCCGGCCGAAAACATCGAGGCCCGGCAGCAGTCGGTCCCTCGACAAAGCCTGAAGAAGCTTCGCGGATCCTATCACGCCCATAAGCGCTGAAAATACGGTCACTGCACATTCACCGGCAAATATGATGAGTGGTGATAGGTTGGTTTCTGCAATGATATTTGCGTTCCTGAGAAACGATTCATGGGTGGTGCTGGCTGCCATTGAAAGAGCAACAACCAGGTACGCAATCCAGGTTGTTAGCATTGCCCAGAGAGTACCTCGGGGTATAGCCTGGCTGGGGTTCCTCAAATCACCAGACATAGAGGCCCCAGCAAATATTCCCGATGTAGCAGGGAAGAGGATACCAAACAGGTCACGATATATCGAGAGATTGAACGAGAATGCCGAGAGACCCTTGAACGACTCTTTCCCTAGACGTGGCATCAAGTTACTTCGTAGAGTCTGTAGACTCAGGCCTGTGAACTCAATGCCAAGATTCTCGTCGCGAAACGGCTGCAGAAGTACAGCTGAGGCAGGTATTGAGAAAATGGCAACGAACAAGACGACAGTCAAGACATTGCTAGCTCTGGCAAAGATGGCACTGCCGGCCATGCAAAGGGAGGTGCATGCAACAAGAACGAGGGTCTGCAGAGCGTAGCCTTGCCAATATCCCTGAGGGAAGGCCGCACCAATGTTCAGCTTGATGCAGTCAATCAGACCGACGACGTTCAGGGCCGTGTTTAGGACTTGGGACAGATAGAACAGTAGGCCGATGGAGCCGCCGAACTCAGGACCGAGAGACCTCGAAATAAGATAGTAAGCACCGCCTCCTTTGACCTCGCCGTTCGAGGCGATAGCAGAGAGGGACAGTGCCGTGATGAAGTCTACGATGTATGCTGTGATGAGGAGCCCTAGAATTTCTCACATGTTAGCGCCCGGTACAGGAGAGAAGAGCACGAAGAAGGCAGGCGCGTTTGGTGGGTTTGGTTGGCCTGATTTTTTTGGGGGGAAGCAGGCCGGAGAAGGTGGTTAAGACACGCAGGCATACCGAGAATCCCAATCAAGCCGATCTGGCCAAGGATGAGACCAAATCTGAGAAACATCAGAATGCTGAGGATACTCAGGCAGACGGGAATATAGACGCCGGACACAACGCCAAGCTTGCGCGCTTTTCGAGCATGCTCGGGTCCTCTGGAGTTCGCCATCTTTCCCTCGGTAGGCGTCGCCAATACAACATCTAGAATGCTCGCGGGAACCAGTATGGCAAGAAACTGGAGGTAGCCCCAAACACTAGCAGAAACCAAGCGAGCTGGGGTAGGCTAAGGATGAGAGCAACATTGATGAAGTGCTGACTCTGGCTGGACGCGCTGCTACGACTTGCGTGTGAATTTGAACTTGCAAAAGGTGAAAAGCCCTGGCTCGCGATAATATAACCACTGTAAGAGATTAGGACAGGGATTGACTGGGTGAAGTGAGAATTTAAACTAACGGTGCGGTATTGATGGCACATAGGCTGGAGGCCGCGTCTCGTTTCTTGTCAAGATTATTAGTAGATGCACCAGGCAACTTTGACGCAGGGAGCCCAGGGTGTCCTGGGAGCGAGAGTGCAAGATCGCTCGCCTCTGTCGAGGACTTGAGGTGGAGGTGAGCAGTTGCCGCGCCTAGCGAAGACTTGGACCCTCGATGAGACTTGTACTTCGTATAATCGGCGGGCTGGTGGCTTGGTCAAGTCAAAGGTTCAATTATTCAACTACAATGTATCAATCGGTTCAAATTCGTTTTCTCCCGTTATTAAGCAGTAGCGTACTCTGCTCGTAGAGCGTGGTGGATATTCAACGCCTGGCCTGGCTGGCCAGCCAACCGCCAGGCCAAGCGTCAAATTGATCAATTTCATCGATTGCCTGGTTTCGTACTGGACAGTGGGTAGCAGAATCAATTGATCCTTGGACTGGACTGGACTGGACTGGACTGGACTGGACGGCACCCACTCACCACTCTGTTCGACCTCATTTCCGATGGTCTGAATCTTGGTTTTATATACGAAGTACTATAGATTATTGTTCGCCACACAGAAATTCCAGACTGCTGAAATGCTTAGTGCGGAGTGTGGCAGAGGCACATCGATCATTCAATGAATTGATGCAGTTGCATTTCGAATTGATCTTTACCCATGATTGCCTTCGGCACGGCATTTAGATATCTCCAGTGTTATCTATCGATTTTATTGATATCTTCCTGTCTCGTTCACGCCCCAAGGGAATTCCCCCCGATCGCTCTGCCCCAAAAAAAACTAATGCTCGCGTAGGTACCCTTCTTTACTGAGTAGTGAAAGCTTAGTCGCCGCTGCCGTCGTCATCGTCGTCAACCCTCGTCCGCTTCGGTTTTCTCTGAGATTCCCCCTCCTGTAATCCGTACCCTCGCTTTTGAACCGAGCTTTGCTCGACTTCAGATAGGAACTTATCGACATTGAAAGGATCCGTAGTTTCCTTCTCAAATTGTACAGGTCCTTCTCGAGCCTAGTAACAAAGAAATGCAAAAGTTAGTTCTCAAGACTAGGAAGAAAAATAGGTTTTGGGGAGTTGGGGGGACAAACCTCTGCTTCCTCGGCACCCTTAAATTTGCCCCTACCCAGAACTTCTCCGAAACGGGCAGACTTCTGAATTCTTTCCATTTCCTTATCGCCAGCCTCCTCGTCCTCTTCTTCCATATTCGCTCTCGGTCGATATATACTGCTAATTGCGTCTTGCGCGGCAAACAGCGGCTTGTCATAAGGGTTATCCTCATTAAATCCAGCATGGAACCCGCTCGACTGATTGAACAGGCGAGAATCGTACATCGACTCCTTGGTTTGTGTTGGTTTCGCAAGCCCAAGCGCAATCTTTTCTGATATGTCGCGATTTTGCTCCCTGGCCATGACCTGGATACGTCTTTCGGCCCCCATGCGCGACTGTCGCAGTTTCCTCTTTTCCTCTTGCTGTCGTTCTCTCCTTGCCTCATCTCTTGCTCTCCGCCCCGAATCATCGCTAGCACTCTCACTCTCCGAGTACGACTCGCTCCCACTGACCGAAACGGACCGAGACCGTCGTGAAGGTCGAGCCCCAGTGCCTTCCTCGCGCGCCTTTGCTGCGAGCATTCGTAAATTCTCCTCTTTTTGTGCCTTTTCCTTTTCTGCGAGTCTTTGCTGCATGAGAGACCGCTGTCGTACTTCCTCGCGGGCATGTCTATCAGCCATAAACAAGGCCTCGGAAAACTGTGCAAACTTGTCATTGATCGCCACTTCCTGCAAGCCTCTACCATCGGCGGCCAATCGTTTATCCAAGGGAACGGTGAATCCCTTAGGGTTCTTCCAGTTGGATACAGGAGGAGGTATTCTCCACATTTCTTGATCCTCAGCGGTGAGTTTCCGTGGAGGCGAGTGCATCACAGGCGGTGGCGGTGATGGCGGTCCTCGGGGTATCTTCTTATGCTTAAACTTGGGTGGCTCCATGGGGTCTCTTTGTCGCTCGACAATCTTCATGATGCGATCTTGCTTCTTGGAATTATCGCCGAACTGGCTCGCCGGCGTGTATTTGACGAATGTTGTTTGGCGTTGACCGGTGTTGACAGTTTTTGGCTTCTGCGCCGCTACTGCACTGTTGACGAGCGCTGCGAGGGCGTTCTTCGTTCTTTCCGCGATTGCTTCAACCTCCTCCTGGTTCGGACGAGAGAGGTCGATCTCTCCAGCCTCCGCTCTCTGCCGTAACGGTATTAAATCCTTAAAAGAGGTGTGGATGATGCGCTTGTCCGAGTGTCCTTGCCTAGCGATCGCGTCGTATTTGACCTTTCCTTCAGAATCAACTTGCACGGTAAGTGCATTGCTCGTCGTGGCAGACTTCTTGCCCATCTCGAGGGGATACTGCGCAACGGGAATCTCGGGGAACGCGCCACCGTCGCCAAAGTCTTCGGGGTTTCGGGGTCGCCATCCTTTCCTCTGCCCGTAGGGGGGAGGTCCCGACTGCTGCAAGCGCGATATTCAGGTCAGCTAGCTCTAGGTAAAGTGCAGAACAAGGGTTTGCGGCTTACTCTTAGTACTATTTGGGACTCATCGAGTTGGCCGGGACCGACTATACGGGGACCCCGTTGCTGTGCTCGTATCGGGACCTCTTCTTCCTCCCCTGTGTATTTTGGTTTCGGTAGAGATGCAGCGAGGGAATCGGCGATGGAAGTCATCTCACTTTCACTGAAGTATGCTAAGAGTGCGAATACAAAAGCATTTGTGGAGGAGACACGTAGTTGAGGAAGTGCAGATTTGCGTAAATGAAAGAAGAAAAGAGTCTCGGGTTCGATGTATGGTCAGCCTTGCCTCCCACAGTTGACGGTTGCACAGGAATCGCTACGAAGTATACTTGCACTCTGAAAATCTTCGCATTAGGTAATCAAAGCTACCAATGGAGGACGGTGTAGATAAAATAAAAGTGCCGTTTTGGCACAGTTCTTGGCAGTAACTTACACAGGTACACTTCTCATCCCCAAAAGCAATCCGGGTGAGCGAAGTGGTGGTTCCCTCTAGGGCCGAATCGGTCGGCATGGCAAAGTAGTTGGCCAAACGGGCTGCTCTTCCCAGGATTTGCTTTACCCGCCATCCAACCCCCGCTACCTGGGGGTGTAGGCTCGAGTGTGTGTTGCCATTTTCACACTTGATGCTGTACCACGCAACTTTTAGACGTGCCCAGTCAAAGACGCGAAACCCTTGACGGCATCTAATCTGTCAGAGGTAAGATGAAGTGCGTATTTTGACTATTGCTACGTAAGTTGGTTACAGAAAACGGTGGCCATGATGCGAAATGAATTGGGGCGACGTAAAAATTTCGTGACACGGTTTTCTAAGACAAGATATAAGATAAACAAAAAGGCTAGCCGCGAAGCAGGTCCCAATGACTGCTCATTTCCCGCTCCAAGATTTTGGCATGGGGGACATATCGTTTTTCTCCAAACCCAACTATCTATATGATGTACACGACGATACATTTCGAACGCCATCGCGGAAATGATACCTCCCGGCGCCCAGCTTTATACATATCCCTTCCTCGCTCCCTACTGCTAGTTAGCATCCAACGCCTCGCGTCACGAGACCATCGGTTATAAGAGGCACTGACCTGGAAGAAGAACCTGACAATGAAAACCTGCAGGGCCCCCATGCAGACGATCAAGCAACACTGAACCAAACTGAAGTTTACAATCCTCTGCTCAGTACTGCGTACAGTACTAAAGTTTCGGTTCTCGCGAGTACGGAAGTATTTCTGGTTTCGAGAGATGGTGGAGAGCTGGCTAGAAATTTTGTAAACAGACTCCTCCAGCAGCGAGGTGTGTTCAGGCGACGTCCCTTGCTTCGAGGGAAGTTCGGCTCTCGCTTCATTTTCGACCTAGAACGCACGCGACCAATCGTCAGCAAGGAGAGTCGAATTATGGTCCCTGGGCTGCGCATGCCCAGCCTTCCCGAAGACGTACCGAAATTTCGAAGTCGACGAATTTGTCGGCGAAAGTACTCATCTCATTGCTAAAGCAGAACTCGTAGTCTCCCGGATAGTTGGCTGTGAAGACAAAGTCTCCCTGGCGTTCCTTCTCTCCGCTGAGTATCACTTTCCCACCTGGTCCTGTGACGATGTAGTCAACGTCGAAAGATCCGCCAGATTGAACCTGTCAACAATATAAATCGAATTAGTACGTGTATTCATCTCTGCGCGGAGTGCCGTGGGTGCAGAAAACGATGGGATGGATGCTTGCGCACCGCAAAATAGAAGGCGATCTTTTCAGCCTCCTTCTTGGTTACCGCGTAGAAGCATGCCTTCTCGCTCGACCCAAGCTTATATGTTAAAGCTGTCGCAGCAGCTTCGGATACGAGCAGTGACAGCAGGCTGCAAACCAACAGTGTGAACTTCATTATGCCGTGGGATTGGAGCTCCAGATCATGGGCAAACTGGGAGGTAGGAAAGTGGTGATGGTGTCGTGTGGTTTTTGGAGACAAGGGAACCCAATTTCCCAGGGGCCACGTTAAGTTTCGTCCAACACCTCCAGCCAAACAGGACACTGTACACATACAGTGCCTCTGGACTATGACCATTCGCCCATTGTCTGAGTCAGCCACTGACCAGCAATTTTGAGGATTTGAATTGAACTACTTCGTAGTACGAAGTGCGCCTTTGTACAAAGGTACCGAGGTACGAAGTACATCAATACACTTTAAACTCGTGTTTAGTGTTCCCTGTCACTGTATCAAATTACATCATTCTCTAATCCACGCGTCTTGGTCCAGTCACGTCACGCCCACCATGATCCAACATTCCGAACTCAAAAAACCAACACTTTACCAGCTATCTGGCGCGAGGGAGTCGACAGCATCTTTATGTGGTGTTAGACCTTCCTGACAGATAAAAGAGCACATCATCCTCGAAGATGCCACAGAACACCCGTTGCGATCTCTCCGTCTTTTGATCCATTACCTCTCGCCGTGGGCCAGACCCGGATGACAGACCGAATTGCTTCGTATCTTAGCAGCTATTGAGTTTTCCAATCACAAGTCTATCTTCACCGTGAATATTGGCCTCTTCGCATCCTCACGATGTCTTTTCAAGTGGCAATAGCGGGGGCGACCTCGACCGCCTTGAGAATATTATCTTACCTATTTCTTCGATGGGTATGCCCGCGATTCTCTCCTTCTCCTCATATCCTGCACTAACAGATTATCTGAGTTTTAGTTTCCTGGTCCGGTAAGCATCACCTTCACCCATCCACCAACCCGTAGTGGTCGAGCGCGTTCTGACAGGGTTTGATCATCAAGGGTGCTGTTCCGGTGACAGTCTTTACGTTGTTCGCCCTCTATGTTCCCACATTCATCAGCAGCTACTCCTCGGAGCTCCAGTATGAGATCGTGGAAGATGAGATCGATATTGTGGTCAAGACATCCGCATCGTCTCCTGAAGAAGAAGATGATGATGATATCGCGGCAGCGTCAAACGAAGCAGAAGCTACAATTGAAGAAGTCGACGTCCAGGAAACAGTTGTCGCACGGCGGAGATCAAGCCAGCCATTGCGCACGCTGCTGATGGGCATACCAAGCCCGACGAGTACATCTCTATCTCTAGCAACGTTCCTCATCAATCTCGGCCTAGTTCTCATGAGCGCCGATTTCCTCCTTAGTTCACGTCTATATTACCCCAGCAATGATCTCTCGTTTGTTCGGTTAGGGTATGTTTCGTACAACGAAGCCAACTTTTTGATACGCGAACCCGACGAGGCAAAATTGCCTGTTGCGCTTGATATCCGTATAAAGGATCCCCAGGCCCCCTTTGATAACACTCGCTGGACAAGGGGGGGCAATGTCCTGCGGATCACCAACGATACAGACTATACGGTTCCTCTAACGGTTCCTCTCGGCCATTCTCACCAACGGGTCTATGAGTGGAGGACATCCAATAATCATTCCGGGGAATTCCTAGTTCCCCCGCGACCGGGGCAGACCTCGGAGTACCATGGAGGAAATTTTACTTTCCTCGCCACTTCCTGTATCCTCCCGCGGTTTCCCTACACTCCATCTAACCCCCCGCTGGCCATTCCCGGTCTCAGATATCTTGCCGAGATCCTGCCATCCCTTGGTGCCCAGTTCATGCTTTTCATGGGCGATTTCATATACATCGACGTGCCTCTGAGGTTTGGTAAGACAAAGGAGGACTATCTTCAAAAGTACAGACAGGTTTATGCCTCGCCAGATTGGCACCCAGTCTCACAGAATTTAAGTTGGATTCACGTCCTTGATGATCACGAAATAGAAAATGACTGGTCTGCAAACACAACGGGCATTTACCACACAGCATTTGAGCCCTGGCAGATCTATAACAACGCCGTGAATCCGCCCCGGGCGAAAATCTCCGGCTCAGGCCCAAGCCGAGAAAGCGCGACGTGGTTCGAGTTTACGCAAGGTCCCGCATCGTTCTTTTTGCTTGACACCAGGAGTTACCGCTCAAGCAACGACGCGCCTGCCACTAGCACGGAGAAGACAATGCTTGGCCAGGAACAACTCGATGACTTCCTCTCCTGGCTCCGGCGCCCCGAACCCAGGGGTGTTAAATGGAAGATTATTGCTTCATCAGTTCCATTCACAAAGAATTGGCCAGTCAATAGCAAAGATACCTGGGGAGGTTTCCTCTCGGAACGATCTGTCATCCTCGAAGCCATGTGGGACGCAGGCACCCGTGGTATGGGAGTTGTAATTGTGTCAGGGGATCGTCACGAGTTTGCAGCCACCAAATTCCCCCCTCCCCGAGACTCGAAGTGGTCGGCTTCGGTAGCCCCTTATGAGTTTTCGGCCAGCCCCCTCAACCAGTTCGCATTCCCTCTTCCTACCTACAAGCAAACCGACGAGGAAGATGTCATGCTAGAGTAGGTCTCAACATCTCACCTGTTACCATTTTCTGCCATACATTCCCAGTCCTGACTAATTCATTTCCCGATAGGTACATTAACAGGGGATCCTCCAAGTTTGGATCTCTAACGATGTCAAACGTTGCAGCCGAGGAGGATCAGGCTAGTCTTCATTATCGCTTGTTCATCGATGGCCAGGAAAGGTGGAATATTACTGTGAAAACCCCACCAACACCGAGGAGGAAGAACGAAAAGAGTACCGGCTCATTCTGGGATTTCTTAAAGGGTTATGGGGCCTAGTGATATTATAGTAGAATGTTTGCAGGTTTCCGTTGGAAGGGAGTGAGGATTGGTTCTATCTAACATTTTTTTTTTATAATTGATGTCTAGTCCCGGCAACAGTGAGTATTCATTCAACTATGAGTGGGGAGCCCAGTTACACCTTCAAACAAGATAGATGATGCAGTGACGATACGCGCTAGAGACGGAAGGAAGACAGCCACCCGTGCCAACTAACAGGACGATCTAACAGCCCTCCAGAGCGATGAGCAGCGCTTATATGGGAAACGAGAAGAGCGGTTAGTTTGCGGGAGCGGGAGAAAAGGTAGCCAGTCTGCCGTTTGGCGGGGTACGGATGGAGGCCGGGAGGTTGGCGGGGAGGTTGGCGGGGAGGTTTGTGGTGAGTGAGCTCCCGGGTCCTGTTTCATATGGGCTATTGCTTGCATTTCTCTCGGCATGATGCGGGATGGTTGGCCCGGCCCCGACTTGCATGCGGGGATCAAAAAAATAATAAGGCCATCAATGCATTAAACCAGTCACATGGCTATGAAGCCCGGCCTCCTTTCCTGCGCGAGCCGTGCCATTGGTCTTGTTGTCCATGTCCAGAGGGTCCGGTACCGCGTGTTCTTCCGGATGACGGCGGTGTCATCGAGGCGCTCAGCCAGGGCCACACCGGCGGCCTCATGACTCTCCAAGCCTCTAGCTCCGAGCCCGCCTTGTTCGCCGGCGTAGAACTTCTGCCTAGGTTTCGATCGGCTTTCAGAAAACAAGGGCCGGGCCTCTCTCCCTTGCTCCACGCTGCGATCGCGGCGTGTATCCGACAAGTGGCTTACAGCGCCATCTCCAGGACACTTCAAGACCGAACACTGTACCGGGGACGCTTGCGGCAGTGGCGGCCGTGAATTCCCCACTGACGACTTCGTCTTGGCCCTTTTCAATTCTGCGGGATGATTAGGAAGCTCGGGATATCGTTACCGCGATGTATTTCCACAAATGGCTCGGGATCAACATGAACGAAAGTTCTGGGCAGAGTTTGGCGCAACCAAGGTCTTCCTTGCCATGCAGACGCGTAACTTCGGGCCCTTCCGACAGCTCAAGGCTGTTCTGTAATGGTCTAGAGAGCATTTCCATGTGCTTTGAAGACGCAAAAGAGCGCGAATAATAGAATAGAGTTAGTCAAGCATATCTCTCGGAAGATGCCACTCGTAAGTTAATTACATCTCTTACCCCTCTGATCTCGGGAAAATTAGGAATGGGATCGTTGCTGTTGATACCGTTAAGGGTTAAGGGGAAAGGGCAAAAAAGAAACCAGTTCTGCACGTGGACGAAGAGTTGATGCATCGAGTCTTTTGAGGTCTGAGGTGTTAGTTTATGTCGGCGAAAGGCAATAGACTATCAAGCTCGCATTAATCCAGAATATTTTGCGATAGTTTCCTCGCAAGAAATGTGTCGGTTCCATTCATCGGAGCCCCCATCAATTGATCAAATGGCTTGTAGGTCACGGTTCAGCAAATCTTGTCTTAAATTCGAATGCTCGTTCATTATTCAACAGGTGCGCCTAGCCGAACATGTTCTAACTTGGTACGTTAGCGCATCGGGAAATATGGAATTCAAGGAGGAGAAGAGGATGTGGAATAAACTGCCTCAACCCGGCACAGGGGAGTCCATTTCGTGATGCAAAGAGGTAGTACGTGTAGTGTGCCGATGAGTGAAGGCATGGATCGGTCGGGGATAGATTCAAGTATCAGCGATGGTTCAGCGTCGTCGGCCGTGTCCCGTTCCGCTCGTAAACTTCTTCGTTCTACGTCGAAAAATCCAAGTGTCATTGAGGTCTCAACTTCTCGATGAAGGCTATTAACGGATATTCCCTTTGGGCCCCGTTTACCAATAACATCATGCCACCCGATTGGAGACGACGTCCTTGCCGAGGTCCTGCATAATCAGATGTGCTTCCGAGATCGTTGTCCTTAAGATGAGGTGAGGTTCTCGCGAGTTCTTTGCACTTTTGAATGTTTGTCTATTGATAGTCTGTCCCGGACGCTTTAGATCTGGTTGAGGAACAGTTTAAAGCCGCTTTAGCCTCATCCACTGCACCCATACTCGCACCCATACTCAAACCCGCATACCCCGTGAGCGTGCAGCAATTTCGACATGGCCTCGCCCTTGAGAACTCTACGCGTCGCAGGAGGGTAACGATATTTTCGGAATTGCTTTCATCGTAGAAACTATCGACCATTGACTGATGTCGGTTTTTGCAGCTTGAGACGAAGCTTGGTGCATCGACCTCTGCGCACCATCTCTACCACGTCCGGTCCCCGCAAGGTTGCCATCTCTGCCTCGGGCATTGAGATCACATCCGGGTCGTCTCCCGAACCTAAGAGGGTTACCCTGTAAGAGCGAAGCGGCCTCTACGTGTCAATCTGCTCCGATGAGTCCCTGAGCTGACTGAATGGCTTCTGTGTTGGCAGTCCAAGCATCTGGCTTCGGTTCGTTTTTGCTTTTTATCCTGCCCGCAGCTCAACGCTCCGGGAACGTCGCGGGCGTGGGTGTGACACGTGCAGGAGCTGAGTTGCCAAATTATTCTCCAGGGACAACTGCCGTTGCACGTCTTGTATAAACCAAGACACCCGCCAGAGAAATTTCAACACCTTTGATGTCTGTCCGATCCGGTTTTTTTTTTCTCTCCCTCCCTCTCTTTCCCGCCAGGGTCTTCGTGATGCTTATTTGTTTGCGCAGATCCCCAAAGACATCACCCCGACAGAGCTTGTCAGCAGCCCGGATGGCCTCAGTGTTAAGTGTAATATCCACCAAGGAACTCGCTTCTTTTGCTAGCCGTCCTCGCGTGCTGACACCCTCTTCAAGGGTCTGGGGACGGTCATCAAAGCAAATATACCTGGGACTTTCTTGGGTTCTATCTCCGAAATGATCATAGAGCCGAGGAAGATGTCAGGTACGTACTTGAAACACATCTCGGAACTCTGTGTCTTCGAACAATCCGAGCTAACACACGATGCTAGCTACCGGTACTGGGGTGCGGAGATCGCCCAGGATCCTCCTACCGTCGAATACGCCGAAGTGATGGAAGAGTCTGGGGGCGAAAAGGGAGTAGGAACCCTGACCAAACTCATTGTATGTTCTCCAAAGTTCATTTAACGTCTATATAAGCAAAAGCCCTTGGACCAAATAACCGAATCCGGGACTAACCCGGTTTCGATTCCCAGCGCGAGTACGGTTTCGCCTTCGTGGCTAACTGCCCCCACACCCCGGAGGCGACGGAAAAGCTCCTGGAAAGGATCGCTTTCGTCCGGGTGACGCATTACGGGGGATTTTACGACTTCATCCCGGATCTTGCCCTTGCAGACACCGCATATACTAACCTTGCGCTCCCAGCGCACACAGATACGACATATTTCACTGACCCTGCAGGCCTACAATCCTTCCATCTACTATCGCATATTCTCCCATCATCGGCATCTGGCAAGGGAGAAGAGCTAGGAGGGCAGTCGTTGCTCGTTGATGGGATCCACGCCGCGAATATCCTGAGGAAGGAGGATCCAGGGGCCTTTGACATCCTGACAAAGGTGAGGCTTCCGTGGCATGCTAGCGGGAATCAAGGGATTACCATCGCGCCGGACCGACGATATCCCGTGTTTGAACTGGACGAGGAAACCGGCGAGGTCCACCGAGTACGCTGGAACAATGATGATCGTGGAGTTGTGCCGTTTGATGGAGGAGTGTCTCCTACCGACTGGTACGACGCAGCGAGAAAGTGGTACTCCATCCTTACCCGGCCGGACATCGAATACTGGACTCAGTTGCGACCAGGCCAGCCCCTGAGTAGGTGTCCCCAGCCTCGCAACATTGACTTGACAAATTGAAAGCATCTACTGATGCAAACTAACTTCCAACGTAGTCTTCGATAACTGGAGAGTCCTTCATGGAAGGAGTGCATTTGAGGGAGTGCGAAGAATCTGTGGTGGATATAGTACGTGTTTTCTATCTAGATGTCTTCAGCGTGTTTCACGTTCCCTTCTTTCTCGTTCGGCTCTCTCGATATTGACTACTAACATTTGATCAACACTCAGTCAACCGGGATGATTTCATCTCGAGGTGGAGAAACACTAATTTCCCTCGGGAGAAAGTCCTAAGCCAGGTGATTGGATAGGGCGAAGGGCGAGGAAGGCTATCCGTTGTCCTGCTGGACTAACTCTCGCACTCGTGGGAAGATGGGGGACCCACTGGACAAAATGCACCCAAGGCTCTGACCTACATCGACTCGGACCGCGTATGAATGACCTCATAGTATACATATGCACAGGAACAATTCGAAAAAAAATTATACCTAGATTGAGGGTGATGGCAACCTGAATACAAAGGTATTGAGATTGATGTTTCCTGCGACACAATTGCACAGAAACCGCCCATGTAGACTAACGGTCCCGCAGTTTGGTGTTCCGTTCACGATTCCAGCGTTCTCGAGCGGGGCAAAAGGAGACAGGGAGCGAGAGGGGAGAGAGAGAGAGAGAGGGAGGAGAGACGGAGCCTGGTCCAGAGGGCTGAGAAAGACAAAGCAAAAGGGAAAACGGAGCTGAATCCTCCCTCAAGTATCCATCAACCTGTTAAACCTGAAAGATACATCCTTTGTGAGGGTTTGACACCGTAATGACACGGAAAAGCGGGGTACAACAATGTACCCAATGTACCCATCATCCCGGTGGGACATAGCCTGGCCCTGCCTGTCCAATGTGCTACGTCCAATGTCCAATGTCCAAAGTTCACCCCCGCCCCCGCCCAGGCAGATTATCACCAAGACGACTCTGGTCCGCCTCCTGAGTTCTGACCGTTACCTCAGTACTTCGTACTTCGTACCATGCCCCAGTGTACTTCGTACTTTGTAGACTTCCACGATACTTGGACTGGCTAGTCTCGCCTTCCCCCACGCGACCCCTAACTTCTCCAAACCTCTCTTAACCACTTCAACAAAGTATTTCCCGTCCCCGTGTGCCTCCTACGGCGAAACCGTGTGCCTTATTATCGGCTGCGACGTTACCTCTCAAGAGCCGCTGACCCTCCCCCGACTCTGCTGCCCTTTCTTCGGAAATCGAGCACCCGTTTTTGATCCATTCCTCCTTACCACAACCCGCCAGCCTTGCCCCTACTTTAGCAACGAGCCCAACGCGCCGGGCACACTTTGGACTTCAGCGTCTACGAAGTAGGCGCCAATTGTCGACTACCCCTTTCACCCAGGGACTGCATACCTTCGGCCATTCTCATACCCATCGTATACCGCTCTTTTCGATCGTGACCTTTTTCCATGGACGCCGACGCCCCCGCCGCGCCCTCCGCGCCTATTACTCAAGATGAAAAACGCACCATGCAGGTAGACAATGCAATTCGCGCGATACAGCAGAAGAAACCCGTGCCCGAAATCGATTTTACCATTCATACCATGGAAGACGGCACCCAAGTGAGCACCCTCGAGCGAGTTTGCAAAGGTGAGTATCGTATCGTCCCCGACGCCGTAAGCTTGGTTTTCACGGAACCGCCGTTCCCATCTTCGCGATCCGCATCTATCCATAGCCCGCTGGTCGTGCTCTCGAAAGCCATGCAAGATGCTGACCATTCTTGCTCTGCAAACGTTTAGATGTCCAGGCCCCCGCTACGACCAAGCCAAGTGATGAACAGTTCTTCCAGGACGAAAGTAGGACGAAGCCGAACATCGCCTTTCTCAAGCAACATTTTTATCGCGAAGGTCGCTTGACCGAAGAGCAGGCCTTATGGATCCTCCAACGAGGTACTGAGATTTTGCGAGAGGAGCCTAATCTACTTGAGATGGATGCTCCCATCACTGTCTGCGGCGATGTTCACGGCCAATACTACGATCTTATGAAACTGTTCGAAGTTGGCGGCGACCCTGCTGAGACGAGGTATCTCTTCCTGGGAGATTACGTCGACCGAGGATACTTCAGTATCGAGTGTGTCCTCTATCTATGGTCCCTCAAGATCCACTATCCCAAGACCTTGTGGCTGCTCCGTGGCAACCACGAGTGTCGCCATCTGACCGACTATTTCACCTTCAAGCTGGAGTGCAAGCACAAATACTCCGAAGCCATTTATGATGCCTGCATGGAATCCTTCTGTTGCCTACCCTTGGCCGCCGTCATGAACAAGCAGTTCCTCTGCATCCACGGTGGCTTAAGCCCGGAGCTCCACACGTTGGATGATCTTCGTCACGTTGATCGCTTCAAGGAGCCCCCGACCCAGGGCCTCATGTGCGACATCCTTTGGGCTGACCCCCTCGAGGACTTTGGCCAGGAGAAGACGAGTGATTACTTCCTCCACAACCATGTTCGCGGCTGTTCTTATTTCTTCTCCTACCCAGCTGCTTGTGCTTTCCTGGAGAAGAACAACCTCCTTTCCATTATTCGAGCCCACGAAGCGCAGGACGCCGGGTATCGGATGTACCGAAAGACTCGCACTACCGGATTCCCGAGTGTCATGACCATCTTCTCAGCGCCCAACTACCTCGACGTCTACAACAACAAGGCCGCCGTTCTTAAATACGAGAATAATGTCATGAACATTCGACAGTTCAACTGCACGCCACATCCTTACTGGCTTCCTAACTTCATGGATGTCTTTACCTGGTCTCTTCCGTTTGTTGGCGAGAAGATCACGGACATGCTGATCGCTATTTTGAGCACATGCTCCGAGGACGAGTTGAACAGCACCGAGGAGACGCCGACCTCGACATCGCCTGGACCAGTATCGCCGCCTCTGCCCTCGTCGGATCCCGACTCGATTGAATTCAAGAGGCGTGCCATCAAAAATAAAATCCTGGCAATCGGCAGACTGTCCCGAGTATTCCAGGTCCTTCGCGAGGAGTCTGAGCGCGTCACGGAACTTAAGACGGTCTCGGGCGGCCGGTTACCCGCTGGTACCCTTATGCTCGGGGCCGAGGGCATTAAGAACGCAATTAGCAGCTTCGAAGATGCCAGAAAGGTTGATCTGCAAAATGAGAGGCTTCCCCCCACCCACGAGGAGGTCGTGCGACATCAGGAGGAGGAGAGATCGGCGGCCCTGCAAAAGGCTGCGCACGACGCCGAAAATGACAAAAAGCTCCATCAGCTTTCCAGGAGATTGAGCACGTAAGTTGGGGTTCCACTCTCTTAGATCCTGTCACCTCAAATTGCTAACATACTTCTGCTTTAGTGATCGCAAGTCGCGATCATTATGAATGTTGATGATCTGTAGTAGTAAGTAGTAGTGGGAGGAGGAGGAGGAGGAGGAGGAGGAGGAAGATGCGGAGGCAGTGTGATGGGAGTAGTACTAGTAGTAGCAGTCTGGGCGCACCAATTGGGCTTGATTTGGAGGAGGGATCAAGGCAATGTTAACCACGTACCCTATGAAGATATACGGATGTGAATGTTCACTTTGGAATCTTTTGTCTCCCCCGTTCAATCTACCTCTCTCGAGTTCTCACTGTACGTCGGGAGTGGGCACATCTTTACCTTGTTTCCTCTTCACTTACCTCGTCTCTTTACGGAATCATGAATTTTACGGTCAACGGCGTTCTACGGCCAAATGAGAAAACATACACCCGTCTGAAGGGACGATGAATTGGTGAAGAAAAAAGGGCGGCTTGTTCTTCTGCCGCCCATGTTAACTATCAGCAAAGTGGTTGACAAGGTTCGAATGTACAACGAAATGAAGCGAACGATAGGTCCATGTCCATTAGTATACATGAGCTTTGTTGTCCTAGTGACTCTGTTGTTTAACGAGCTAGCCGTCCATACTGGCGGCTAAGAAACTTGCTGAGCTGGTTGGACCTCTGCGGTCACAGCCACAGCCTCGGTTTCGGCGGCCTTCTTCTTTCGGGGCCGGCCCCTCGGCCGAGGCGCCTTCTCCTTCGGCGGCCCCTGCGGCTTCTCCTCTGTGGGCTCCGGCCATACCGTCTGCCGGCCCACTACGAGCCACCACCATTCTGTGACCGTAATCCCGCCGCTCTTAGGATCCTCAGCGAACAGTCCAATCTCCTTGCCCCAGTCAACGAGCAAGCGCAAGTCAAACTCTTCGAGATAAGCCTTCGTCTGCAAACATAGCATGGGGAACGGCATCGATCCTCTGATTGCTAGCATAAAGCATACCAGACCGAGAAGCTTTGTCCACATGGCGAAGTTGATTTCGCCGAAGAAGTCGCACCAGAATGGGGTAAGCTTGCTGGGCGCATCCACTGGGGGTAGGGTATCCTTGGCTAGTTTTAGGATGTCGATGTCTTCGTCGAAGAGGTACCTGTTACTCGGGGTAGCCACTAGGCCGAAGAGCAGGTGAGACTTGGGCATTTTACGGCTCTCGTAATTCCCGGGCTTGAACCCCAGGGGAATATCCGGTACGTTGGTGCCGGTGATGCTGAGGCGGCCGCAGGCGTACAGGTTGATAAGTGCCATGTTCGCACCGTCCTCAGTTAGGAAGGGGATCTTGAAAGGGTCTCCACGACGGAACGTATCGTCTAAGACAGCCTTGAACTCTGATGCAGCGCGGAGCTTTTTCTCCTGGCCAAACTTCGCGAGATTGCTCTGGAAGGGCCGACTTAGCATATAAGGCTTGCTGCGAATGCGTTTAGTTATGATTCGGCGAGTGTTTAGACTCGTAACTGCTTCGTCGAGTATCGCGTTGACTTCGTCTCGGCTTGCGGCTAGTGTCGCAAGCTTGCTCTTAACAAGCTCAGGAGGACATTTCTCGGGAGGGGTTGTGGAGAGCGCTCGCACCCACGACATGGCGACTTGAGCAGGCGTGGGCTCCATATTACTGGGAGAATCCTGCTTCCGAGAGAAGGCCTCAAGGGCTGCAGCTTCAGAGGTTGAAAGTTCGAATCGGCTGAATATAGAAGCTTGTTGGTGATAGAAACGCTCGTGCCAATGGCGAGGTTGCGTTGGTTGATCATCAAGAGTGAATCCACGTGTCATAGCGCGCTCACCGCTCCCGGATTTCTTGATGGGTAGCTTGACGAAATTGGTACGCCGCAGTTCGATAGCCCACAGGATCAAAGATTGCCAGTCATATCCCGGGATGTTGTCGTAATCAAGGGGCGGTAGCTCACCATTCTCATACGCCTTGAGGAAAGCATCCTGAAACTTCTCGGTGAAGCTTGTTAGGAAATGTACACGGTCTTTCGAGAGCTTGATCCAGAATCGGCGGAGGTCATTCAAGCTCTGACCTGGGAAGAGCCTCACGAGCAATCCCCAATCAATTGCCTTGCTGGATCCTCCGAGCAGAGTCCTGACAGCAATGAATGCAACTGTGAGCGCTTCCTCGACCGTGAAGCCATCGATTCTGACGCTTTCGACGAGCAGATTATTTTGATGGATTTCACTTTCATCCTCAATACCGGTCAAGATACGCTCCTTTAGCCTGGGCCTTGGAAGCAACCGATCACGACGAATCCTCGGTCGACCCCTGGCTGGTGTCGCACGGGTAGTACTAGGCCCAACAGGTCGCGCAAAGAGGTAATCAGGTTGCTCCTGGGCCAGAAATGAGCCGTACATAGAGCCGTACGTTTTTCCAAGACTAGAATAGGCCATAGGTTGACGCATGTGCTGGGCAACTGCTTCGCGGTCTGGCATGGGGCCAACGAGTGTGAAGCTGCAGCCTTCGGATTCGAAGAAGTCGTTGTCGGCGGTTGGCCATTCGCTGTTGGCCTGTTCAATTTCGACACACTCCGTGAACCGAATATCTGGATACCCATCCGTCGAACCCTCGAAGTCATCCTTGCTATTCTGCGATGGGCCATCACTAGGGGAGGCAAACTGGGGTGGAATGGCCAAACTGCGCGGGTCAACGGCGCCCGTCGAACCCTCTTCACCTAGGTGGGTATTGGGCTTTAGGAATCGTATTTGTTTGTAACCGTTCGCGTGCCGCCACTCCCGCGTCATCTGGGACCACGCTGAAGCCGGGGTTACCTTAAAGGCGCGACCCGCTCGTCTTGTAGCTTTGGACCCTTCCCTAAGGGAGGACCTCCTCTGGGCTGCTTGCGTCATGTATACTGGCGCGTCCAGCACCTCGACGGACATGACATGTTTTCTACGGCCGGATCCCCATTGCGGCCCACCGGTCTCATCGTCTGTAGGTGCGTCGGTACTAGCATGCGAGAACTCAGGGGGGATGTAAGGTCGAGGATGTGACTCTTTCATCCGTGCTTTTAAATCCTGGAACCGTGGAAGATTAGGATCGATCCCAGCTTCCACAAGCAGATAACAATCTGATATCGTTCCGGCGGAGTTGCGGAATGCAAAGGTGTTCTCGACGGCCTCCTTTTTCTTTACCAGCTCCTTCACTGCACGTTGGCTAATTGTGTAGGTTGGGATGTTGTCACCAGTGAATGTCTTATGCCACACCTTCAAAATAGCGTGCCACAGAGAAATCCGCGATGGAAATGCGCCATCATTGTTTTTTATGAGGTATTTGATGATCTCCTTGGCCCGTATAACATCCCTCGCATCCCCGATCAGAGCAGTGTCCAGTAGTGCCGGGGAGGGTTCGAATGCTGGTACTGAACGGAGCTTAGTTTGGAGATCGTCGGCGCCTTGGGAGGCGATTCCAGGGGTTTTGGCGCTGCTGATGCCATTGGCAGTGACAGGAGGCGTAACCGAAGACTGTGTCTCAGTATTTTCTGGTTCAGGATGCACACTAGATCTCTCAGGAGTTTGGGTAGGATTACCCAAGGCCAATGTACTGGAGTCCTGGGCCGCGCGCTGCAACAACACTTCGCCCTTCCGAGAAGGAGATAGACATGGTCCTCGCGTCTTTCGAGTCCCTTGATTTCGCTTCTTACTGGACGGACTTGGCCTGTCCGGATGATGCGAGAGGTCGATGGCACTATCCCGGGTTTGCACGAGGCAGTCGTCGATCAAGCCACCGATGAACGGCTCTTGTGCGGCCATCAGGCTACCGAAGTCGTTAGAAATTTGAGTATTGTTCGAAGAATCGTCGCGTACGGGTGATGGGCCCGTGGTCGGTGGTTGTTCGGGTGTGAAGGGTCGGACCTGTATAGTGCTATCACCTTTCCAATTCCTGAAGTTCCTCAAGGCCTTAGATTCCACTGCTCGTCCAGTCGCGCCAGGGACTTTTCGGGAATGACCCCGATGGGAAACACGGTTGACGCGGGGCAGTGGTTTTGCAACAAAGTCCGGGTTGCATGGCGTACGGGATTTCCTTTGATGATACTTCAGACCAACGTCATTCTTCCAAGAACCACCGCACTTCTCGCACGTAAATGGTTTACCGTTCGATGCGGATGGTACTTTTCTCTTTGGTTTTCTGGAACTTTCGCTGGCGGGCTCTTTACGTGGGCGACCGCGTTTTCGAGCGGGAACGATCTGCTCATTCTCAATCGACACCGTATCCGACACTGCCATCCCTGTCTTCCTCTTCTTCTTGCCCTTCCCGTCCGAGACAGCATCGAAATGGAATGGTCGTTTGCGGCCACTCACGGCGGCCCTGGCACTCCTCGTATGCGGCTCACTATTGGGGCTGGGACGCCCGAGCCGGCTAGGACCGAAGCCATATATAGTTTCACTGGATTGGGTTCCGTATGGACTGGCTCGCGGCGGCTTCTCATCGGGGAAGAACTTGTAGAAAGCGAACCGGCCACTCCGACAGAATTCTTTGCGGGCGCGAAACTGGCGAAGGTGATCAGGCTGGAGGTTCTTCAGGGAGACAGCGGTTGATATAGCTGCGACGTGGCGCTCGAAAAAGACACCAATGGTGTTGAAAGCGAGACCTTTGTTTGTGATGCCCTTCTCTCCTGACCCTAGTATTACCTCGAGGACTCCTGTGGTCAGGGGCTTGTCTGGACACCACCTTTCGGTGGGATTTGAACCGATGGCATCATCCTTAGGCATCTTCGCACTGAGCTTTTTCGGTTCATGATTGTTCCCGACCTTGAAAGCAGAGCCGCCACCGGATATGAAAGCGGCCAGATCCTCTGGTGTGATGTCCCTTTTGAATTTGATACAGTCGCGAAATATTCTGTTTCCCATGCTTGCTGTCACGTATTGTAACAGGCCAAGTTCGATGAAAAATCGGCAGGTCCGAGTGACTACCTTCATCTGCCAAGGATGCCCGGCCACGCCCAGCTTCATCCGCAAGTCTTGATATCGAATGACGCCAAACTCTTTGACCACACCCATAATCGATCGCCCAAGTGTGGCATAGTCGATGGTATTTCCGGACCAGTGGTGGCGCCAGGGAACGGGCTCGAGATCGCCAACGATGGCATCGCGTGGGAAATCAGTGTTACAAATCTCGGCAATAGTTTCGGTGGAGTGCTTCTTGATTTGGACAGTGGGCGCGAAGGGCTTCAGCCAAAGCTTACTGGTCTTGCATCCGCGCGCAAGGATTGGCCTTTTTGCGATGTATCCTTTCCGAGCCAGTGCATCGGTCCGCTTGGGAAGTGAGCGCTTATCCTGGCCGACCAATCTAGTAAGGTCTCCTTGTAGAATACCGTCTTCCATGACGGATGCAATGCCAACAAGTGCAAGCCACTCGAACCTAGTGACTTTCTGGTAGTCGATTCCATGACCGGTTAGACATCCCCACAGCCTGCTCTCGGTGACATAGATTCTAGGTCGGACCAAGGGCAGCTCGGCTGACGGAGCTCTCTCCTCTGCCGAACTTTGTAAAACGGGTGAGAGAAGGCCGGAAGATTCCGTTGGAAGCGGCTGTGATCCATCTTCGGGAATGGATAGAAGCTCGTCGAGGGTAAGGTGGTTCCACTGTCTATTCTCGCCGACGGACACGTCAGGTCTTGCCGTGACCCAGCGCCAAATACTTCTATTTCCCTCAGTTACACGTGAAATAGTGGGCAGCTGGTTAGATGAGGCATCTGCATCAGTTGGCTGATCTGCCGCCTTCTTCCTTCCTGGACCCTGAGAATCTCTGGAAAAAGATATAAGCGTGGCGAGAAATTCCTCAACCGAACATCCTACGCATTAGGGTTAGTTAATGTAATTTGAAAGGTCTAACTCAGGAAGGCGAGCCAAAAGTGGGATCGCACGCCTGCCGACCTGCGAGTCGCATAGCCCCAACGGAACCAGGATGAGCGACTTGGGTCTGACGCGGGTGCAGCAACGGGGGTAGGGCGTACTAACCTTTGTAACCGGCGCATGCAATTCTCAAGATGAGACCCTCTATAGAGCTCTCGAGGTGTTTTCCGCGCATGATGGAAAATGGATGATTCCTAGCATACTGAAATGGCGGATAAAAAAAAAGTGGCAAGAAACCGAGGATGAATCGAAAGCGGGAAAGGGTGAGCAGATTTTGAAGCTGATAGGTAATAATAAGGTTGAGTGACATCAACGTTATTCGGAAAAAGAAGGGCTAATCTCCACTGTGACAACCACATATGGAGAGGTCATCGTCCACGTCCGAATGTGCAACATGAAGCTTGTCCTTTACAAAGAAAAAAAAAATTAGAGTCCAGATGATTCTTGCAGGAGGGTTGATTTACGTGGCGGCGCCCACGGTATTTGGTTGAGGAAGGTGCGATGGATTACCTTGGGGCGTGCAGCGTGAGCAGGAGCACAGGAAACTAGAGATATATATAAGGGCATGGGATTCCAACATCGACGCCCATATCTTGTATTCATATCTGGGCGGTAAGCTTAGCGGATACCTTGGGAAGCACGGGTGGCGCCTGGGCCACATCCCGCAGCCGCGGTTTATTTTCTCCCCTCTTACGTCTTAGTTCTTCCCAAGGGTCTTCCTCTTTCTGGGCCTTTTTCCCACGTTTGCGCTTGTTTTTGCGCTTGCCTCCCTTTGAACCTCCATCCAAGCTATTCATGAAATCAATACCCGATGTCATAAGTAAGGATCCATTCTCCATTTCCCTTTCGGCAACTAGCTCCAGTTCCTCCTCTCGCCGCTCCTGAACCTTCCGTTCTTCTGCTCGCCATTGGTCGTAGAGCTTATGCATCTTCTTCTCTTTCAAGGTGCGATACACCTTTAAACCCAGTGGATCCTTTCCTCCTTTGGTAGTCTTCGTGATAAGCCCGGATACTGGGATAGCAGCATCGACACGGGCAGAGAAGTCAGAGAGTGATTCCCCTGGCCGTATAGAGGGCGCGGGGACTTGTTCCTCTGTTTTCTTTGCCTCATTAACCTCCTTCGTCTTTTTGGCTGACGATGATGGCTTTTTCACGCTTTTGGGGGCGCCATCATCTAAACCAGAGTGTATTCTCTTGCCACTCGCAAACGCCATCATCCTTTTGAATGCCCTAGGCGTATCATCTTTTCCAGCAGCACTATGGCCTCTCTTCCGTTTTGTTCCGCTAGACGCTGGAGCTGAGGAAGCTGCCGAGCTTGACTCGGCACGTTTGCGACTGGAAAGCGGAGCAAGAGGCCTTGCAACTCTTGTTGGAGGAAGGTCATAACTATGTATACCGTTAGATACCGGGTCTTTGCGCAGGATGTGAAGAATACAAGCCCGTCAGACTTACTCTGTGGGGTCTGTACCCTTTCGGGTATGTTTGTGCGGCATTGTGTTGACTGATGTCCCGGAAGCCTGCGAAGTGAGGATTTGGACTTCCAGACTGGAAAAAAGTTATTTGTTTGGCAAAAACTGTACAAGTATACAAAGGTACAAAGGCGCTGAGTACAGTTATGCGCCTATCGGGGCATGGCTGGTCAAGAGCGTTTTAGGCCCACAGTAAGCTTAAGATTAGATTAGTTGAGGTTAGTGGATGAATAAGACTACGGCACGTGCGGGTTCCCCGCGACAGGAGATGGGTACAAGCTGTAACGCGTGGCGACCTTCCATCACTCGATACACTTGCACTCGTTTCACACGCCACTGGACACACACTACAACAGACCACACCTACGACTGCATATGAGTGACATGATATATTCAATAAATGTCCCCCTTAACCACCACCCATTAACGCTGTCATAGGCGACCTGGCTATCTTTTCAGAAATCACCCCTTCTAAGGGCGTGCTTGGAGATATCGGATACTCTCCCGTTGAGAGTCCCTTCTACCTCAACTCATCTCGCCCTGCTTCCCTTCGATCACAATGAGCGCGCGCATACTCCTTCGTCAGGCCCATCGTTTGGCCGCGCAACCCGGACTTGTGAGGCCAGCGCCATGGAGACGGATTGGGCGCGCAAACGTGACTGCCTACCATAACGCCGTCCTGGTCCGAAATGCGTCTTTTGCTCGATTCTTGCCCAAGCTCGCCGCCAAATTTATTCGCGTTCCAGCGATGTTCGGTGGCGTAGCGGTTGGGGCGCTTGCTTGGGTTCATTACCAAACAATCCGTAAGCCTCCGTTATCTGTTTGCCCTCGAACAATGGATGTACTAACTGATAGATAGAGGCGGGCAACTATGCCGTAAATATATTTAACAATACCAGAGAAGTCGTTTCCGATACCGCGTCCGGCATTTTCGACAGCGCGAGGGATATAGCAAAACAAACGGCCTTGGGGTTTGAGAGAACTCGAGACGGTGCGAAGGAGACTTGGAACGGGTGGATGCAAGATATATTAAAGCCCTCGCCCGAAGGTTCCTCGAACGGTGGTCAGTCTGGCGGAGGTGGCCCTCCAAAACAAAGCAGGGCCGGCGCTGCTACAGCCGCTGCTACCGCCCTTGCCTACGACCAGGCCTCTCAGGATGATACAGCGGACCAAACGGTGGAGCGCGATGACCAGATGATGGCTTTGACCAAGGAGATGATTGAAATTCGAAACATTCTTCAGAGGATTGGGCAATCCAGCACACTCACACTCCCTTCTATTGTTGTAATTGGGTCGCAGTCGTCAGGGAAGAGCTCTGTTCTTGAGGCCATTGTTGGACACGAGTTTCTCCCTAAAGGATCCAATATGGTCACGAGGAGGCCGATCGAGTTGACGCTTGTCAATACCCCGGATTCAGTGGTTGACTATGGCGAATTCCCGGATTTGGGTCTAAGAAAGATTACAGACTTTTCATCCGTCCAGCGCACATTGACGGAGCTGAACCAGGCCATTCCAGACTCAGTTTGCGTCTCCGATGACCCAATTCGCCTATCTATTTATTCGCCCAATGTCCCCGACTTGTCGCTGATTGACCTTCCAGGGTACATACAAGTGGTCGGCGAAAACCAACCCCTCGAGCTCAAACAGAAAATATCGGAACTTTGCGACAAATACATCAAAGCACCCAATGTCATCTTGGCAGTTTCTGCCGCGGATGTTGACCTGGCCAACTCCACTGCCTTGAGGGCGAGCCGCCGGGTCGACCCTAGAGGGGAGCGAACTATCGGTGTCGTCACGAAGATGGACCTCGTGGACCCATCCCGGGGCTCTTCCATTCTCAAAGACAAACAGTACCCGCTACGCCTAGGCTATGTCGGGGTAGTGTCTAAGGCGCCGGTACAAACTGTTGGCCTATTCAAAAAGGGTCCGCGCAACCTGATGACGGCTATTGCACAGAATGAAGAGGCATTCTTCTCCTCTCACATGGAGGAATTCGGGCCAAGGACCGGCGTCAGTACGGGCACGACTGTTTTGAGGAAGAAATTGATCAATGTGTTAGAGCAGACCATGTCGGCTAGCCTTCGGACAACAGGTGAGGCCATAGAACGAGAGCTCAAGGACACTACCTACAAGTTCAAGTCCCAGTTCAACGACAGGCCAATCTCGGCAGAAACCTATCTTTCGGAGTGTCTGGATGACTTCAAACATTCATTTAGAAAGTTCAAGGACTCGTTCGGTCTCCCCCAGATGCGGGATCTCTTGAAGAATGAGCTGGATCAGAAGATTCTTGATTTGCTAGCAGAAAGATACTGGAACAAGCCCATTCGGGACCTCTCTCCTGCGTCACCAGAACCTCTTGAGAGCTCCCTCGCGGATTTACCAAGGGCTGCTGTAGACTCACCTTATTGGACTCGACAGTTAGAGGCATCCTCCTCATCTCTCACCGAATGCGGCGTCGGGCACCTATCGACCGTTGCATTAAAGGAAGCCCTCGAGTCTCATTTCATCGGCCTGGTGGACGAGTCCCGTTTCAAAGACAATCCGCTCGCAAGAAGAGCAATTGTCGAAGCAGCCTCATCCATTCTGAATGAACGATTCTATCCGACAGTCGACGGCGTGGAGCATGCCATCAAACCCTACAAATTTCGACTCAATATTGATGATCATGAGTGGAAAGAAGGAAGGGAGCACTCCGCCGTCCTTCTGCAAAAAGAGCTCAAACTATGCCAGTCGGCGTTAAAGGACGTGGAGGCGTCTGTCGGAGGCTGGCGAAAGCTAAAGGATGTTACGTCGTTTGTTGATAAGGCAAGGCGGGGTGAAGTCATTGTTGATGGCGACAGCGAGAACCGTACTGGCGCCGGTGGGTTTAGTGCTGATCTCTTAGCAGAAGGTAAGATGAATTTGTTTGCGCGGCGATCCTCTGGCCTCGTTGATTACGCCAAAGCTAATACGTATTCATCTACCCTTTTTAGGTCGTAAAGCTGTCTTCCTCCGTGACAGGAGCGACATACTCAACATGCGACTAAAGGCAGTAAAGTCGAAACAATGTGCAGACCTGAAGAACAAGATGTACTGCCCCGAAGTCTTTCTCGACGCCGTTGCCCGGAAACTCACAGCTACTTCTGTCCTTTTCTTGGACGTCGAGCTTCTTTCGGAGTTTTACGGCAACATGTCCCACGCTCTTGACCTAAATATTGGCCGGAAGCTTTCCGACGAGGAAGTCGAGAGGTTTGCAATGAGGGATCCCAAGGTCAGGAGGCATCTGGAGATGATGCGAAGGAAGGAGCTCCTGGAGCAGGCTCTGGAAAAGATGAATAACTTGAGACGACGGGAGTCGAGGGAGCTTGACCGGAGGTCCAGATTCTCCTTTAAATGAGCGACCTGGAGGTGACAGCGGACCAAGTCATCTACTTTTTTGGTTCAAGCTTAGAGGGATCTCGTCCTCAGTGTTGTCCGGTGTATCCTGTCTTCTGGTGTTAAGCAGGATGCCCTGGCCAGATTCCAGGGCTTCCCTCGAGATACTGCCGCCGAACGGTAAAACCCTTGTGTGTAATTCAATGGCAGGGCACGTGTGCGGTGGAGGACCATAGCTTCAATGTGTTAGTTGGCATAGACGACGATAGAACGATACCCCTCTCGAAGAATTTGTTGATTCAGAGAATAAAAATGTGTTCAGATAGTTTTCATGATTTACATTAGCTCATAGAAGACGCTCGTGTCCAACGTATTATGTGACGGACATTAGTGTAAACTATGAGAGGATAACTAGAAGAAGGAGGCTCAGATACAGGGAGGTTTTGTTGTCTACACATTTATATCCGTCGTCATCTGTATTGTTACATCCCACCTCAGACTACCTCCCTGGCCATAACCCTCGCCAAGCCGGCTCTGTATCAGAGAGGCGATGCGATTTCTAAGCCGGCTCAGCGTGCCTTCATCTGAGCCTTTGGGGACGCGGATCTTAAGGTTTGCCATACCGAGTCCGTAGTGGACTTGCCAGAACTGGGCCTCCTCGACGTGCGAAATGCCGGGGTCAGACTCGATTTCTTGCACAACGTCACCCACGCTCTTGTTCCCTCCATATGACATCAAGAGCATCAGGCCTTGAGATATCGCAAGGCGAAGACCGAGAGCAAACATAGATATAGCAATGACAGCGCAGATGAGATGATCCAGCCCGGAGGAGTAATTGATACCGAGTAAGGAAAGGACCAGGAGGAGGAGGGAAAAGGATAAGGTGAGCACATGGAACGGGCTGGAGAGAATCCTAGGCATCGAGGCGAGGTAGGAGACACGCATGACCTTGGCAATGCGGGCATGGTTCCTTAGTCCATATGCAGATATCGCAGTTCCAACGATGGACAAAGTAGCCGCCCAGCTAAGATTCCTCGGAGAGACCACCCCGTGCGCATTATCGTGGCGGAGTTGGTGGTGATGGGATTCGTGTGAGCTTCCCGACTCGAGAGAGTGTCGGACGCCATGGGAGACGAGGTCAAACCCGCCAAATAGGAGGAATATGGACAAGGCGAACCCCGCCAAAACTTCTGCGCGTTCCAGTCCGAAGGGATGCCGTATACTACTCCGTTTCCAAACTTCAAAGTTACCGAGCACATCCACAGCAACGCAAATGGCCGCGCTCCCAGCGTCAAAGAAGACGAGGTGTGAGAGGGCGGTGAGGGCGAGGGACCCTTCGGAGCGGAAGAAGACGAACACGGCCACAACGAGATGGCAGAGGCACCAATATAACCTCACTCGCTGATCATGGTGCATACTACGCCATGCTTCCTTTACAGTCGGTACTGGGAGCGACGCGGGGAGGATCGGAGGGGGTCTCGGCGGAGGCTCTTGGAAGATTTGGTGCTGGGCAGAGATACTGCTGTGTTTATATCTGTGGCCACGGCGCTGGCCGACATTCTACACGTCGCGGTTAGTATATTCCCTTCCTATAAAGCGCCGAGCGACCAAACATCGCGGGCTTCCAACGCGCCGACTTACCGACTTCACTGGGGATGTCGATAGCACCTGCGTCTGGAAGTTGAAGGGATTCCTTGGCGCCTGGGGCTCCGCGTCATTTATAGTGTCATCCCCGGCCATTGAGGGCGGCCGGAGGCGATTGCTCGAATATTCGGTCTCGGGTGGGAAGGAGAAAGGTTGATGCAATTCTTCGTCTTCGATGTTGGCGATGGCAATGGTCGGTTGAGGTGGGGACGATGCAGGGGCGCAGATTGAAGGAAGGCTCGAATCCATAGGCAACCCGGATAGCGCGATCAAGGAACTAGCACAGAGCAGGACCGTTTCTAAGGGTCCCTGTTCGTAACTGCCAGCGCAACGACGACGACCAGGGGCACAAATATGGGCTATTGCTTTCTTTCCCCCTTCGAGATAGCCATGGACAACCTCGTTCAATCACGAATTAACGAGTTTCTCGAGTGGATCGATGGCATGCGGTGTTGCGAACTTGAACACGTCGGTGATAAGACACAAGAAGGGAGACCGAACCCAAGCCTGCGCTGCGCTGGTGTGGGGGGTTGCTTGGGTGCAAGGGGCTTGATGATACCTTGATGGATTGAGTTTGGAGCGCGTCACGTGGAGATGGAAGCAACATCATTAGCATTTAGACTTGGAATCGAGAGCTGTTAGTTAGCCATGTCGATAATGGATGAGGGTCAGCCAGTTGACCGCATTCTTCAATGCACCCTTCAATCCAGATCGTCAAGTGCATTCATGAACCGAGTGTCCTCTTCTGAAAAATCGACGATATAGCAGGATTTCGCCATTTGTTCGTTCCCGAACGCACATCTTCTCCGCGCTCACCAGAGAGGTTTAGAAGGCCCAGGAAACAGGAAACGATCCTGTAAAATTACATAAATTATATTGTACGAGGGCGTCAATATCGATAAAAAAACTTCGATCCTGCAACCATGCCTTCAATCGCCTGTAATCTTGGCATGTCTGAAATATTTCATCCCCACCCAGGCAACCATGACCCATATCCACGCCATGACGCAGGTCAGGATCAACAACGCCGGGTAGTACCCTACTATTGGCAATGTCGGGTCGTCCTCGAGCTCTGGGGGTGCATACGGCGTGGTCCCAACATCCCACGCCCAACTCCATACGCCAAAGCATGATCCCATCCCGGTGACAAAGACGAACCATGTAACTATTAGAATAATCCAGCCCCAAGTCTCTGTTTCTCCATAATCCCAATCTGCCTCTGTCGATGGAAAAGATGTTGTTGATAGCCCGACAGCCGTATACGAAAGAGGCGCTCGCGCAATTTGGCTGGGCCGCCTCGCTGACGCTGTTTTGCGGTTGTTGAAGAACGAGTCGAGGCCGGATGAAAACGACAGGTTGGCCCGGAAGCCAGATGTAGTTGGTTGTGGCATGTGCAGCCCTTCGTCGTCGTCGGTAGTAGAGGTTGACTTGTAGGAGAGGGCCGAGCTATTTATCGATGTTGGCTGTATTCTCTGGGGAGCGTCTGCCGTCGTCCCAACCGACCCGAGGGCTGCTGACTCCTCTTCGTTCGAGCCATCGTTCGGGTCATCAAATGCAGGCCAGGGAGTCACATCCGAAGTTTCGCTACGGCAGTCGCTATCCGATGCGATGGGCGGGGCAGATTCTGGGTCGTCGCGATCGTTCGTCGGCGCGTTGTGTTCGTTGCTCGCAAGGTACTCCCTCGGTTCCCGATTATCTCTCACTGCCGCCTCTCTTCCGAGAACGGCCTTTCGAAGGGATGCCTTCCGCCGCTTGAGGTCAGTCTGATGAGACCGAGCCCCTCCCGAGGGAGCGTTTAGGTGGACGTTCTCATGTCCCCCGATTTGGGTCTGGGCCTTGGCCGTTGTTGCGGATGGGCGCATGAAGGGAAGACGTGACAGGATGCTTATCCGGGTGCTATTGCCTTTGAAAAAGCCAGAATCCTCGTGGACTCTTAAGTCCATCACTCGTCCAGGTAGATTTCCGGTGGGTTCATTGAGATGGCGCTGTTGCGAAAGGAGCCATCCCTGTGTCACAAACGCGCCAGCAAAGACTAAACTACATAAGACTCTGGCCCTGAAGAATATGCACTTATCGTGCACGAGACAAACGAGTACTAGTATGGATAAAGTCAATCAGATCGTTTAATGTAATAGCGATTAGAAGATATGACGTAATTCGACTTTCGAAGCGCCGCTTTGTAAGTTTGTCGGAGGACGGCACAATATGTTTGTACCTGTGTATAAAGTACCAAATTTCTCATCGCCGTAGCTCAACCATCCAACCTGTCTCCAGGAAGACAGTCTCCATCATTGCAAAATAACACACTTAAAGGCAGCACTTACATGAGACGAGAACTACCGGGAACCCTAGTAAATGAGAAGCAGAACTCCCCGACTCAGGAGCACTGTTTCGGATCAAGCCGGTCCTGGCGTGAATTCTCCGAAGTGGCTGGCCATTGTCTCGTCCTTCCTTTGGCTCTTTCTTTAGTTCCATCTCCTTTCCCTGCCGTTTCTTCTCTCTCGGCCGTTTCGATGCTTGGGACCAAGAAGAGCTCGGCTTCCGCCATCGCGAATCCTTTCAGCGCAAAGCCGAACCGACGATGTCCCAATTTGGCCCTCAGTCAGCTGATTCCACTTGAACTTCATTCCGATTGATCCAGGTTGGCAGGGCGGACCCTCACCTCCCCCAACACCCAACACTTCGTTAGGGAGGGGAAACGTAAAATACAATATCACGCAGAATTCCCAATGTCTAGCAGATCGGATCGAGTACCCGCTCTTAAGAGAAAACCCAGGACCGCCTCGTAACGGCTCAGAGATTCGTGGCTGCGGTTATTCGAAGCCGCGGCTCGGTGCTCACCACGGCGTTCAATCTACAAGGTGAAACCCGACCAACTTTCGATACTGATTCCGCCGCAGTTGTACGTCGGCGTTGGACTACGAGTAGTTTTACTTTGATTTATATGCAGCACGACCGTTGGTGTCTTTGGCAAGATTGGCCCTTCCACGCACATCCACAGCTGGGGTCGGCCCAGGAAAACCCGGTAATTAAGCTACGCTGCTCCTGGATCCTGATCATGTTATCCGTGCAGCGGTGATGGAGCCTGCGTACCCCTCAGGAAGATTATTGGACCTGTACAATTCAAAGCTGAGAGAGTCCTCAGGGCACTTTTTCTGTGGCGAAATAATAAGATCCAGACGTAATACATACGGAGTAGCGTTTGAACCATCATTACAGTTACTGTACTTCGTAACAGGAGCAAAATCGAGCCATTGCCCACCCCCCCCCCCCCCCCCCCCCCCCAAATCGACTTCTCGCCCGCGGCAGTGTCCCACAGAACTCTTACGCAGTAGACTTCTAGCCGACTTTGAGGCCAACCGGGTACACCTACGGGCGGGAGCGATTACCCGTGAGAAATATAAACTTAGATACTTCGTACCTGTGTGCAATCGACAGGGGAGGAGAAAGAGACTGGGCGGCTGGTAAACCGAATCATTGGTCAAGCATCTCTCGCCCAACCTCCCTCTTGAGTCCAAACACCCACCTTTGTCGCTGCCAGCCCCCAGACCTGACCCCCGGCTCTCTCTCACGAGTCCTCTTCCTGATCTGGGCGATGTCTTAAGTCCAGCCAAAAGGCTGTGAAGTCAAAAGCCGTGAAACAGAGGCAAATATGTAACCTGGATGGTCAAAGTTCCAAGGGCTGTCAGAGATCATTACAAATACCACATGCAACAGAATTCCTGGCTTGCTCGAGCCATGGAAGAGTGGCAATTGATGCATTGTAGGCCGAGCAAGCATGTAACGAATTTCAGAGCACATGAATTTCGCCCATGGCCGGCCATGAATTTATCAGGCAGGGCTCAATGAAATTGATGCAGCTAACTGCTGTCCTCTGTCTACTTGTACATTTGATTGTACATTACAATCCCACAAACTCTCCTCGCCGTTGGATTTTGCCATCCAGCCCAAATCCGGATCGTTTTTAACAGACTGCACGCCAAGAAATCTTGTCCGTAAATATGGACAGATCAGGACGGAGACTTTTGGGGGTTCGAAGCTGTAACTACCCCTTCCCTCCCTCCCCCTTCCTGCTTGGCCAGGCCCTTTCGCCCCTTTAGCCCAATTTGATTGAAATCTCTCCTCGGGTGCTGCACTGGTGACAGTCTACCGTTCTGTTGATGCTGCACTAACTGTGTTGACAGGATCACTGCTTCGTGCGTAGACATTGAGAGTCGTCCTGCTTCAAGTAAAGGGATTGGCTGAATTGATCAATCAACCAATGTAAGATGGAGTAATCAATACCAATCAATTCGTCCAGCATGACCGACGAGCATTGATGTACTTGATCGATCAATTATCAATGTACGAAGTACTTCGTACATCAATGATTTGATCAATCAATAAGAACCTCGTACGCTTTAAAGTCGAGTCTTACAGCGATCCCCCACTGAAAATCGCCTCTGAATTGCTTAATTAATACTCCAATGTTCCCCAGTATCAATGAATGTACTGTGTAGCCAGCGCTGGGACAGAGCACGGAGTACCCCAGACCGAGCGGAGCAAAGTTGGCCTGTCAGGTACTTTTTTTTTTTGCCCGTCCAAGACTGCAGCGGACCAGCGCTCATGCTCATGCTCATGCTCATACTCCCACAATCAAAGTCGCCTGCCATTACCAAGCCTCTCTGCCCTGCGTTGCCTCCTTCCTCCATTGCCTGAAACGCCAAATCCTCAACCCTCTTCTTTTTGCCGTCTTTCCTTTGCCAAAACCCCCTCTTTCGTTGTGGTCAACCAGCACGCCTTTTTTTCTCTCACGCAGACTTTTCGGTTTTTTTTCCTTCCTCACGCCTTCTCCTTTTTCCATTCCCCAACCATCTTCCGCTTCCCCTATTCATCTCGATCTTCCCCGAAGCCCAAACCCCTGACCCTTCGCATCTTTGATGGCTTACCGCCAGACTGCTGCGTCCATCCTTAGAGCGACTTCGACCATCTCGTGCCACTTCCCTCGATCGATATCTCTGCCGACCCGCCGCCGACAACTTGATCCTCGACGACGATAAATCTCGTGCATTAGAACCCGACGCATTAATCTCCAAATACCGCATCATTCCAAGACCCCAATCTCTATTTCCCCAGCCAGGGGCAATCAGAGGCTTGGGTCGTAGATTATCATTCATCCCCTTTTTTTTCTCATCGACAGGGCAGGGTAGTTTAACTGCCAGGTCCTCCCAAAAGCGTCCCCGAATTTTGTCACCTGTCTCAATATTTCCCTCTCCAACGCACCTCTCGTAACGCCAGAATGAGGGAGGTTAACTTCAGCATCCCCAACGTCAACAAGGCGTCTGTGGGCATCACGACTGCTCTCTACGATCGTCGAGCTCTTGACTGTACCTCGACACTGCCCTTGATCAACTCGCTCAACCATCTCGCATACCTTACCACATCGTCTGCTCGCATTCGCGACATCCTAACAGTCGATGGCGGAATCGAGCGACTAATCTGCATCCTCAAGCAAGGGCGTAGCAAAGACATGATGGGCATGTGGAAGTGGAATCTCGCTTTCCAATGCGTCGTCAATATCGGTGTCAGAGGCTCGGAAAATGTGAGAACTCGCGTTGTCGAAGCCGATATGGTACCCGTTATCGCTACCATCCTAGATAATTACATCAAGGTCGTTGAGAGATGTCGCGAGAAGGCCGAGGAGGCAAAGCAAAAGCAGATTGAGGAACATCACCGCCAGAGGAGCCATGAGCACCGTAAGGCTTCATCATTTACGAATCGTTCGAACCAACTCGAGTCCGACCAACGAGCCTTCCGCCGCCAGGCGCCACCTCCTTCCTTAAACGTAACTCCGACGTATAACTCTCAGTCTCCCTCATCTTCTTCTTCATCCGCAGCCCTCGCCGAGCGCGCCAATCTTGAACGAAATCCTCGAACAGCATCCATCGAAACCATTTCCTCATCGAGCTATCCTCAACATTCCACACACCGAGCGGGCGAAAGCCATCGCTCCCTTCCCATCCCCTCGCGTTCCGTTGCCCAACCTCCAGCAGCAGTCGGGCCCTCATCCTCAGCTGTATCGGAAAATCTCGATGGGCTACCTCGACCAGTTCGAGAACTCGACCGGGCCATGGTTTTCGGCCAACCTGGCTTCACCTCGCAACCTACGTCCCCGACAACACCCCTCCCACCTCCTCAAATTCGCTCGCCGACCGTTCGGCCAACATCGATCCTTGCTCCGACGGGCCGCTCGCGTCGTCGTCCATCCATCAGGCACCAGAACTCCACCGCTGAGCCAGATGATATGGCAGGCGATAGCATGCAGTCTGATGAATCCCCGGACGCCGAGATGTCCGGCACTGGAGACATCCAGGCACCCGTTGGAATCCAAGACATCACGATGGGCGAAGAGGGCGAGAGCATGCTGGCTGCATCGGCGTTGGACCTAACTAACCCGACCGGTTCGGAGACCCAAGAGGCCGGGGCTTTCAACATCACACATCGCGGCCCGATCGACGGTAGTATCGCCAATCCGACTACCCCCGTTCCTGCAATCGGTCTGAGCCCCAACCGACCAGTAATTACAACCCCTCCGCAACCCGCCATGCCTAATACCGGCGTACCGCGATACCTTCTGGACAGGCACTTCGTCCCAAATACCCAAATGCTTGCCGCTATGCCCCGCGAGGAAGATGTGATGATGTCTCTCCAGTTACTTGCTTACGTTTCCAAATACTGCGGCCTGCGGTCCTATTTTCTAAAGAGCCACCTTGTCCCTCGGTTGAAGATAGGAAAGGAGATTAAGCTCTTAGACAGTGAAGACATCTCCTCTGAGTCTCTGGAGGAGGATGAGCCTGAGGAGGAGGAGTATCTCCTCCCTGACGATTTCAACCTTTTCCCTCTTGTGGAAAAGTTCACTGTGAGATACCACAGCCAGGATATGCAATATTGGGCTGGCGTCGTCATGAGGAATCTCTGTAGGAAGGATGATACCAGGGGGGGCATACGACAATGCGCTTATTACAAGTGTGGAAAGTGGGAGGAATACACTCGCCAGTTCGCCAAGTGTCGACGATGCCGGAGGACGAAGTACTGCAGCAAAGAATGTCAGAAGAGCGCATGGGCATTCCATCGTCATTGGTGTGTCGTTGCCAATTCGAATCAGCAGCAGTGAACGAACACGAGACACCAAATAACGAGACGACCGACGACCGGCGACCGACGAACCAACGAGTAACGGCAGTTTCAACACTTTTACCCCTATTACCTTACCGCTGAGCATTTCGAATTGTCTTTACATGTTGCATTGTGTAACAAGGCGAAGGGCATAACTGCAAGGTGCCCTTTGCATACCCAAACAGCCCTTGGTTGTTTGGACTGGTTTTTCTTTTTCCCTTTATTTTCTTGTCCTTCTCACTCTGTCCCTTTACATATGTCAGGCGTTTTCTCCCTTTTCCCCCCTCCCCCTTTGTGTTTTTCATTCATCGTTCGATACCACCTGGTCTTCCTAGTATATATGGTTTAGCATGGGGACTTCTTCTTTTAAGCATTACTATCATCACATCATCATCTGCGACAGAATGTTTTTTCTTTCCTTCTGTTTTCAACTCTATGCCTCTCATTTCCTCCTGTGTACTTGCCCTTAGAGGTCCTGAACATGATTTGCCTCCACTGAGGAATTCAGTCCCTCCCAGTTGCGCGAGTGAGCATTGCTCACAGCTAGCTGTCCAACATGGACATGGTGCGCAAGTCACCATATACCACTTGGGATTGAGAAGGAGGAATTGAGCACCATCCAAGCTGGACAGCCCGCTACAGAAACATAAAAAAGGGGATCTTAGGTCATTGACTTAGCGAGGCCTGGAGGGGGAAGTCGAGGGGAATCTGGTATTAGGATCAACAAAGCGAGCAGAAAGACGTCGAGTTTCGAGAGGAGGCAACGGTGGCTGAGAAGGAACGATGGTAGCGCCGGTTCTTTTATAACATTCGTCACTGTACATGCGGGCCGGCATTCTAACGTGGAACGAATGATAATGTATCGATATGAAGGCCCATCCTCTTACGATGGCCATTCCTGGATTCGAGCAATTTCCCTTAATGACATTTTTTAAAGACTTCCAAGGCATGAGTTTTCCACATTGTCTCAGTGAAAAAAACCCCGTCATGAAATTTGGTAACGCTTAAGACTTCATAAAATAGAAGGGACCAGAATATCCTGTGAAAATGACAGGCTCTTACGATGTGCATTGTGAGCCAGACGCGGCATCCGTTGGAGACATTGTATTCTTAGGGGAAAAAAAAAATAACTCTCGACCCGAAACGAAACCCCGATTGTTTTATCCTAGCCCACTCAATTCCTCGAAGTAATAGCCTTCCTCCTAGCCTTCCCCGGCCTCTTAGCCTTAAACCCAGCCTTATTCTTCTTAACGCTGAACCCGCTAAGGTCGGCAGAGCTGAAGGCGTCCCCGGACTTAGCGTGGCGCTTCTTCCCGCCGAAGCCGTACTTTTCGTTCTTCTTCTGGCGCTTGGGGTTGGGGACGCGGTCGTCGGAGCGGCCGCCCTTGCCGGCCGACTTGAAACGCTTGCTATCGTTGGATCGCAGCTCGTTGTCCACGGCTACGTCGAAGAGGTCGTCTGCCTCGTGGGTGCCTGCGTTGCCGGATTCTTGACGCTCTGGAAACGGGGGGGAAAGAAATCCATGTTAGTAAGGTAGGTAGGCGAAGAGGGATAGAGGCGGGTGCGCACTTCTCTTGAGAGCCTTGATCTTTTCAAGGGAATCCTTCTTCGCCTTTTGTCGTTCTTGGAGCTTGGCGATCTGTACTTGCTTGCCAAACTTCTTTAGATCTCTGAGCTTGCGCGCTTCGGCGGAAGCCTTCTTCGCCGTGGCCTCCTCGATCAACTTTTGCCGGATCTTTTCCACATGTTCATCGCTCTTGACCATTTCCGCAAAGTACTAAGTGGTGGAAGGAGAGTCAGTATAGGAAACGAGGTGGGGGAGGAGAGGTCGTAATGTTGGGGAGGAAGGGTAAGTTGGAATGTGGGCGCGAGAGAGTGCGTGGGTCTGTGAGGGAGAGAGGTGACATACGTCGTTGGGTCGAGAGAAAGGAACGCCTTCCTTACGAAGTAATGTCCGAGCCTTGAGCACGGCATCTCGACTTTGCTTGTAGAACTGAAGTTCGCGCTGGAGGTCATCCGAAACATTGGGTATATCATCGGCGGTGCGTGTGGAAGAAGTAATAGACTGGTGTGTCGCAAACGGGGCCGAGGAATCGGTAGGTATCCGTATCCGGTTAAGGGACGTAAGGAGGGCTGCTGTATTGTTGATGGTGAGGCGTGTGTGGGGGATTAGGTCTTCCTTTTCTTCTTCTTCGAGATCTTCGAGATCAGAGACTGGGATATCGTCTTCGTCCTCTTCTTCTTCGTCTTCGTCGTCATCGCTGTCGCCGGCCGTCACCTTGGCGTTTTTGCTGCTAGTCTTCGACTTTGCCGGAGTCTGGATTTGCTTCTTCGGCGGGCGAGGTAACCGCTCCTCCATCTCCACCTCCGAGTCGGAACTGTCACTGTCATCGAGTTCTTCGATATCTAGCCTTCGTTCATTCTCACTGTTCTCCTCCTCCTCCTCATCTTCCCACTCCTCGTCGTCGCTACCGTCGCCAGGCTCGGCCGACACCTTCGCGGCTTTCTCTTTAGCGGCCTTCTTCTGCTCCTTGGCCTTGCGAAGAGCCTTCAACCGGCGCTTCTCCTTGATCTTGGCAAAATCCGTGCCCTTTTCGTCGGCCAGGGCCAGCTTCAAAATACTCTTTGTAACCATGGCTTTTCTTGGCAAGATTTCGAGAATCGCTGGCAAAAGTGGGTGGTGAGAGGGAAAAGAAGGAAATTGACGAAGTCGGAATTATCGACTTGCTCTGACTTTAGTTGTCAAATTCGTGAAATTTTTCCTGAGCGGGCTAGATTCTGCCGCTCTGAAGTGCAGAATTGAAAAGCGATGTGGGGGGGAAAAGCGGACATGGGGGAATCAGGAAGGCGGTGAAGAAGGTGAACATGTGGCTGTGTGGATGGTGTGGCGGGCGTGGAGGGTGGTGGCTTTCTGTCATTGTCTTATGCATCGGTCGCATAATTCATTGTGCATTACCTTCGTATGTACCCGTGTAGACATCGACTCCAAAAAACAGAGACCAGATGCCCAGAGTGAATGTCCACAAGAAGCCAGCGAAGGGTGAGTATCAAAAATTCCGAATAATCGTGATAAAATCCTCAAAACTATAATTATACAAACCACTTCTCTAGCCATTACTTTCTCCCATCATCTGTTCGAAATGTGACCCATCCTCACCATCCTATAGCTCTTAGCGTCGGCAACTGAACTTGACTTGACTTACACACAAGATGCTCTTCCAAGTTTACACAATGTCGTGTATCGGGGTCCTCGCAATTCATATCACTCAAGCTATGGATCGATCCATGTGCTCTCGTAACATCCGTGGTTATGGTATATATATATTCCGGTGAAAGACTTCCTGAACTGTACATTTCATGTTCCCGTACTATCTCGGCCTCCTGCCCTATTTCCAACCAGATATATAAAAAATCGTATATATATATATATATATATAAGAAAAGCTACCGAGATCCGTATCCAAAATTGATGGCATGTAGAAACGTGCCCTCGGTGAGCCTCCCGCTGAAATTGTTAAGAGTGATGGCGCATGGCTCGGGGCACTGATCAAGTCGCAGAATTGATAGAACCAAGGCAACAAAGAATCGAAGAGATAGAACCGTTTCGTTGTTCCGCAAGACGCTAAGTCGTCGACGAGAGAAGGTGTGAGGTCGAGTAGAAGACCTTTTTTTCCTTGGGGTCGGCCGTTAAGAAGTGTGTTGAGTCAACGTCTCTATTCCCCAAAGGGGATAGAATCTATGGGAAAAGAAAAATGCCGAGACATGGGTTCCACGGAGCATGGGGCCGAAGATAGTAGACGGGAGCCGAGTTCAGGAGACCGTGTCTTGCCGGAGACTCCCGACGAGAAGTTATTTACAAGATAGTGCAGGTGCCGAAGGCAGCGTTCGAAAAATTGGGATTCTCGTTGAGAGCCTCCTGGTTCTGGGGTTTGGCCTTGACGGTGTTACGGGTGGAGGCGGAGGCGCCGTTGGTGCCCTGGGGCTTGGAGGGAGCGAAAGGGGCCATTGTGATTAGGATTTGTAATTTTGTAAGTTTCGGGAAATGAAGGGAGCGTTGTTTGCGTCTGGCTGTTTTTGTATGAAGGAGAGTGTTAACCAGTGATGATGAAGATAAAGATGATGATGATGAGGAGGAGGCTGATGGGCAAAACCTCAGTCTCCAGAAGGAACAACGTCCATTTTTATATTCGAACGGGCCCTCATTAGAGAGACTGGATTAGTCGTAGAGATGCGGACGAGCTGCTTCCACGACAATGCCCGAGAAGGACTTCCCTTTCATGCCAGACCCTCCTTGCTTCAATGAAACCCGCCACATGGTACCGAACCACTTTGTTGGAGCAAGTTCGCTGGTAGAGATACCCTCGTAGCCTCCAAAGCTGATAGACCCGTCGCGGAATGCTAGTCCATTCTTTCCCGTCCCTTACTTCCCTTTCGTCCTCGACGATGGCACACTGCGTCTCTCCCTCTCTTTGAGGTACCAGTTCTGGCTGAGGACCCTGGCTTCAACGACCAAATGAGGGATGAAATTACCAAATATGTTAGGAAAGTCGTTTCAATGATTCGTTGATATGAGGAGGCTCGGGTTAGGAATATGTGTGTGATAAGGATATTGGTGGCTACGGCCTTGCTTCAACTTATGATTTCAAAATTATCCCTACGCCACCAACGAAGGGAGAGTCTCCCAAAGCAAACACCATGAACTACGGATGCCTATTTTTCGTCCCGTGCGAAATAAACTTGTGTAATTCATTGTTCCTCAGAAGTGGGGGGCAAGAAGCAAGGGAATCTCGGATATGAAAAGGCCGACTTGCATGCAAGGGAGACGACCCTTACTCTTCGGAGCAGTGGCAAAGGCTGTGTCTCTTTGAATGGAGAAGGTGACTCGAGAAATGTTGAGTAGATGGCATGGGTGTGGCATCCTTTTTCATATCACAGTCTCAGCGTGCTTCGGTATCATTCCTGCCTCATCCACTGGGAGGCGCTCTAAAAATGGAACCATCTCGGCTTGTCTCCCGGAGTATTGGATAAAGATTGGATGGTCCAGGTGTGTGGGCAGTTTTTCAAGTTGGCCTATTTCACCCAACGAGTGAACTCTTCACTTCTCATAGTCCAGGTGCACCTATCAAGACACTTCTCGCTCTTCATTAATACGATTCGTGGGTATCTGATCCGTCACACACCATGCCTGACCTCGCCCTACTTCATCACAACAATTCCGATCCTGCGCTCCTCCATCTATCCCGCGGAATGCGCCCAATGCCTCTCCCTAATTACTCATCCTGCAGTTCCGCTCTTGCAGTAGTCCAGTCCCGAAAGCTCTGCAAATCATCGACATTAACGATGTCCACCCCTTCATCCGACAAGACCTTCCAGACCCGCTCTCTAACACTTAAAGCCCACGCCGGCGCCCCCCAGTACCTAGCCTTGAGGCCGCGGGCATGGGCTTCCCTGACGCTCCTCCTCAACCTCTCGATTTGACCCTGCGTTAGGAACCCGGTTAGGGAAATGCCCAGGTGCTCGGTAAAGGAGACGCTGGCGTAATAGGAATTGGTGGCGTCGTATTCGGAATCCGCGAGGGCATTCAAGGGCGCGTCGAAAAAGGAGTCGCGGAATGTCGAGTTCGACCTCAGGGTCGAGAAGTCTGTGTTACCACTCCCAACAACGGTAATGGGGCGATAGATGACCTTGCCGTCGGTCACATGGGTAAGCCAGCCTCGTTCTCGCAGAGGTTGAAGCTGGGCCTGGACGACCGGCCATGTGTCACGGCTCTCGCTCTTTAGGTCGATGACGAGGGCCAGGGTCTGATTGGGGGCCGTCTCGTAGACTCCGTTGTGCGTCCAGCCGTGCTCGAGGGAGTACGAGTTCCTTTGTTCTAGAAGCTTGACAAGAGGCTCCACGTAGAGACTGGTGAAAGTAACCCCTCTCCTAAGGTCTGACCACTCATGGGCGATCCACAAATCACCCTCCACTAGCCAAACATCGGCCTCGATGCCGATGCAGCCCGTCTTTAATGCGGAAAAGACGGGCTCCTTGCGCCAATAATCATTGTGCGAATGGCAAGATATCGGATTCGGCTTTTCGATGTATGACGAGTCCGCATATATTAACCGGGCAATGAAGGTTGGAATGCCCACGACTGAAAAGAGAAGTCTGAATAAAAAGCGTGAGTAGACGCCGAGAGAAAATGACTAGAATAAGAAGAAACGGCAGTGTCACTTACACACTGAAGATGAGCAAAACTCCGCAGAGGACGGTGCCGCGGCCTACGCGACGCCCGTAGATAATGAGGACATCATCATCTTCCTCGTAGAATTCGGATTTCACTTTGAGCAATTCATCGGATTCGAATGAGCCCCTCGTCCTCGATTCACCGGTGTCAGATGGAAACCCGCGCAGCAAAGACCGGCCGCTTTCTAGTTTAGATGCTTGAGCACAACTGTCGTCATATACGGTGGACTCGAACGAACTTCTTTGAGAGAGTGTGCCCTGGTGATGGTGAAGCTCCATTTTAAGGGAGCTCGGAGCAGAAGAATAATAAAAATAAAAAGAAGGGCAGAGAGTGCGCTACTGCTACTCTTATACGATGGGACGTTTCCGAGAACTGAGAGATGAAAGGCTTAGAGAAAGTTGTATTTTTCACTTGCGAACCCGTGGTCACCAGCAGCGAGGTACGTTCCGAGGAGAATAGGTCATGGGACTTACACCCTCTTCACAGGACGACGGGGAATGCACGAAAAGGGGGGGGAGGGGGAGATGGAGATGGTTTCAAGGGCAGGCGGGATAAGCGAGGGACACAAGGAGGGACAGGAAACTTATACACGACGAGACGACGATCTAGACTGGCAAAACTTCCCCAAGAATAGCATATCGTGGGACCCGCACCATCTCCGACGAGTCTATCGGTTATCGCCTACCGGGCATGGGGAAAGACGGTAAGATGGTAAGACGAGCCAGCCAGCGGCGATGCAAAGGCACCACGAGGTCGCGAAAACTATCCCGTTAGGCTAGACGATATTACTTCGCACAAGCTTCTTCTTCCTGCCAGGGACCAGTGATTTATGGTTAATAACTCACCTGCCGTACAAGGTACTCGCAGATCAAGATCTGCCACTCAACCTTGATCAAATGCTTAAAAACGAATGTGGTTGAGGCTTTTCCAATAAATTGGCGTTGTCGCCACACGTGCGCCAATGGTGCGGGAGGATTCCCTGCTGGAGGGCAGGAGAACTGGCGGGCTGGCAGACGGGGGAAAGCAATCGTCAAATGGTTGAGCATTAAATCCAGAAATTGCTTGGGGGGCAATGCGAAAGGCTGGTCGCCAGCTAATCGAGCCACATGGGGCCTCTAGCCACACCTCACCGACAAGTTTTTGTTGGACTTGAGTGGCAGAGATTTGATCAATGGTTTTGTTGGATTGATCAATCATTGATGACTCTTCCGACTGCACTACGAAGTACTTCGTATCCTTCAAGCCTGAGATCAGTGCTCCGTATTGATTGCACTCCAGGCTACTTCAAAGGGGGCGAACGAAATGTCTCAGATAGGACGGTTTGAAAGCGACTAGCCGTCCGAAATCTACAACTGTCGCAGATGCCAGGTCTTCAATGCAATCCGTTTAACACATTTGATCTTGATAGACTGATCCTTTCCACATATTCAAGGTAGACTGGATCAGGCGTTTCTCCTTCTCGGCCTTGCCAATGGTCACGTAATGTTTACACCGAGGGATCAATTGATCAATTGATTACTCCTTGGCGCTGGACCCTTGAAAACAGACCCCTGTGCTGGCTTCTCTTCCCTTGATGTCACCGCTCGGTGGTGATGGGACCAGTTCTAGTGTACGAAGTACACTACTTCGTACCTTTGGAGTTTAGCTACCAAGTACTCCGTACACTAAATTAGTGCCCTTCGAAGATCATCGGTATTAAACTCCTTCGTACTTGTACCGCTTGTATACAATGCGCCACATGCGTGGTGCGGGTACTGGTACACCTTCGTCTTTGTCTGGTCTGCGTCACCGTCACCACTGCCCTGCGCCCTGTCCTGACCATCTGCCCCCAGCTGTCTTAAGCTCAAGGTTTGATTTGCCTTCTTCCGTGATTGGGTCCTGCGATTGCACCATCTGCCTGGAATTGCCACTGCAGCTGGTCTCTTTTAACCTCACGCCTCCCAAACGCCCAAAAAAACCCTCGTGCACCTTAAGTCCTATTGGCAGCCTCGTTGTTAGCTAGTTTACTTCGTGCTGCACTTCCCAGATGTGATTCATTCCGCCTCGTTGGGCGTCACCTGAAATGTGGCACAAGTCCCTCAAAACCAAAAGCAACAACACCAGGGAGACACTCAACAAGGATCCTGAGCTGGACTCCCATCCCCGTCATTGGCCTGCGCGCCCACCTCCTTTCGTGAAGCCCTGCCGATCGCGTGACCGACTTTAAGCTGCGCATCTCGGCCTCCTTAACACCGTCTCTTGCGTCTCTCGCCCACTCCATGACTGACTTGGCTACCAACCTGCAGCTATCGCCATGTGCCGTTTCTTAGTACGTAATGCTGGACCTCAACCCACGCCCACGCAGTCCGACTCTATTCCCTGTTTGGGAATACACTTTGAGGACTGAAGACTACTAACACGGCTTCTCTTCTCACTGTAGGTTTACAAGGGGAGCGACGAGATCCTCCTCTCCAAGCTGATCCTCGACCCGAGCCACTCTATCCTCAAGCAGTCCTTCGACTCGCGCCTGCGTCTGGTAAATACCGCCTCTCCTCTGATTCCTCGCCCTCCCTTCCAGTCCTCTGGACTCGCCCTGTCGTCGGTCGCAACTGCCCTCGTGAGTACCTCGAGCTAACCGCCTTGTCGTTTGCAGGACACTCGACGTGGCCAGAACAACGCCGATGGCTTCGGAATAGGCTTCTACACCGATCCTAAGCTCGGCGCCGCTCCGTGCCTCTTCACCTCTACTATCCCCGCGTGGAACTGCACCAACCTCCACCGCATCGCCTCGAAGACAGCTTCCCGCCTCATCTTCGCCCATGTCCGCGCCACCACCGAAGGCACCCTCAGCGAAGATAACTGCCACCCTTTCTACCATGCGTCTCTCATGTGGATGCACAACGGAGGCCTCGGCGGCTGGAAACATATCAAGCGCCGCTTGGGCCAACGCCTCGCCGACAAGTGGTATCTCGGCGTTGTCGGAGGCACCGATAGCGAGTGGGCGTTTGCGCTTTTCCTCGATACCCTAGAGCGGATGGGCCATGATCCCAGCTCGAAATCTGAACATGGCTTCGGCCCAACCGTTCTCAGAAAGGCCATGCTCAAGACGATTGAGATCATCAACGAGCTCACCGACTCGATCCCTCGTGACGTCATTGACAGCGAGAACGTCGACACGAGAAGCCTCCTGAACTTTGCCGTCACCGACGGCCACAGCGTCATTTGCACGCGCTACATCAGCAGCTCCACCGACGAAGCTGCCAGTTTGTATTATTCCTCTGGCACCCAGTGGGAGGAAAAGCCTTCGGTAGTCCCTGCCTCTGGGCAGAATTTCTACATGGAGCGTCGTGATAAAGGCGCCGACATTGTGCTTGTTGCCAGCGAGCCCTTGACTTTTGAAAGAGGTAGGTCACACACCTTCTAATTCTTTGCCCCTTGTTTTCTCCAACCATGGTGTTCATGTTGCTAACGCTGGGGGTCTCAGAGAACTGGGTCAATGTGCCGACAAACTCGATCCTGACGATCCATAAGCAAACCGTCATGGTTCATCCCATCATCGACAATTACTACAGCCGTAGCCCCAACCACTTCCGATCCAGCGCCTTCGTTCAGACCAAGGGCCTCATCGCGAACGAGAAGGCTTCTACTAGGGGACCGATCTGCCCTATCCCCGATTTGCAAAATGGCCATGCAAAGAAACCTATGGGCATAACACTGCCGCTCAGAGATGGGGCCAACGGCTCTCCCCCTGAGAGATTGTTGTCTCCACTCTCCCCTGGTCGGGGGTTTAGAGTGAATGGTCGATTAGCCTCGATGGAGCATTCTTAACATAAAGGGGGCAAAACATTGCGCTTGGCCGTCCATTTTGTCGAATTTCGGCGGGCGGCTGATCTATCTCGGTATATCGGGCGGCACAGTCCGTACGAAGGTATACAGGTGATATTATCCACAATCCGCCCATTTTCTCCGGGCCAACGTTATTGGGGCTACACCTCGTTTATGGGACTGGAGGACTAAAATCCAAAAATAAAAGAAGAAAAAAAAAATTAATGGAATGAGACTGGAGATACGGCACAGGTATTTAATTCTTACATGGTTGTGTTTCTTTCCTTGTTCATCTGATGGTTCCTGCGGTCAACAAAAATTGCGACATTGTTAAAAAGACAAAAACATGGGTTGTGGCGTGGCGTTTACAAAGACGGGGAGAGAGTATTTAAAGCATGCGAATGATATCTTGATAGAGAAAAATAAAGATCGTGTCTTCGTATATGTTTAATCATACAAATCAATGCTTCATAAGAGAGGTATTTGCATCCGATCTCTAAAAAGGTAGAGAATGGGGGTAAAATGGGAATAAACCAGAAAAGAAAAAAAGAAAGAGACGAGATGTGAATCTCTAATTTATCCTCTGCTCCTCAACATCCCTCCGCCTCAACAACGGCTCCTCCTCCCCGCTAACCTCCTCCCCACCCTCCGTAGCGGTCTTCCCCGTCCTCCCCTCTCGATAGAGCACATAATGCTGCAATATAAACACGGCGTCGTACGCAAGCGAGACGTTGCCCAGGGCGAACTTGACGGGGTTCCCCGTGATGCCGGACCAGTCGCGCTGGAGGTACGAGTCGACTCCCTGCTGGGCGATGGAGAGAAGGCCGCCTGTGAGGTCGAGGAGGATCTGCCAGATGGACCAGCCGCGGGTGGATTGGTTGCGGACGTTGGCGAGGACCTGCGGGGTGTATTTGACGAGGGTGACGAGGAGTTTGACGTAGGAGATGGCGTAGACGACGTCGAGGGCGCACCAGTCGGTAGCAGGGTCGAAGTCCGGCTTCGCCGCTGAGGAGAGCACGACGACGGAGACGGCTAGCACGGCGAGTGCGCAGCCCAGCGATATGGCAATGATGGGTTGGCTCGGTCTCGCGCGCGCGCCGTCTTTTCGAAACGACCACAGCGTAGGATGATACTGGCTCGTAGTAACACAGGAGAGCACGAGGGCGTGCGCGGCGAAGGCGACGTCGTTGAGTTGGACGGTCGGCGTGAGGCCGTGATGTCGGGCGGCGTATTGGGCGCGGACGAGAGGCGACCAGTAGAAGGAGGCCGTGGAGGTGAAGTAGGCGAGGAAGCCTAAGGTGTTGATGAAGGGGAAGTCGACGGTGGTGCCGGAGGTGGAGCGGCGGTGGTAGTTTAGGAGTGGTTGAGGGTAGAAGGAGAGGGACCAGGCGGCGGTGTAGACCCAGCCGAAGAGGGCGGAGAGGAGGGTGAGGAAGGAGACGAAGGAGGATGTCTCCGCCATCTTTGGTGTTAGTTTTGGTGGTGGAGATTCAGTTCAGGGGAGGGGAGGTTTCGGAGATATATTGATAGCTATTAGGCTCGAACGCCAAAAGAGTAACGGCGGTCCGAGGTTGTGCAGGCGCATCGGTCGAAAAGCGTCGTGCTCTCTGTCAACTCGGTCCCGTTTCACGGCGGGCACGACACTTTTCTTTTAATGGCGGTTGCGTCTCTTTTAGCTCTTCCCCGCCGTTGCGCGATTGAGGCAGGTCCTCGCGACTTAGCACATGGGTACCTCGTACGGCGTGGGAGGGATTAAAAAACTGGGGTCCTTGAAGATTTGAGAGGACGGAATCAAGGCCCTTGGCGCTCATCGTGGGATGTGACTAACTCCCTTGGTCATAGGCCCCCCACAAAGAACCCCTTGACAAGACCCAAGGCCGACTGGGCTGTGTCACGTTTGATGGTGTTTGATGTCACCTGGACCAAGTAATTAATCCGGATTTGGTGTGTTGTCTGAGATGAGCAGCGCCCTATTGAGTTGTCACTGGAGGGCAGAAATCAACAGCGCTCGCTCCCTTCATGCTGGCAGTCATCTTCCGTACAAAGCAAGCCATTACCAGGAGATTTGGAGAGTTTTTTTATGTTTTTTCCTTCTTCGGAAGATCACTCGATCTCGAGCATCGCAATACAGCACCCGGATATCTAGAACATTCAGATTTCCATGAGGGTTTGAGTCATTTCTGAACTGGGTTAAGTGAGACGTCAAATTGAAAAACGAGGCGTCGAGGATGCCCGAGCACGTCATCGATTTATGGGGTTCAGAGTTCGGAGAAATTTGATCATTGCAGTTGTAGTGTACCTGTGAGCACTTGTACCAGGTACAGGATGCTTTTTGCTGTCACTGCTTGGTGTGGGAACCTGGATCAATGATTAGAAATCAATTTAATATTGGAGCTAAACTAATTCTCTGATCGTTTATTCTTGGTGCTAGCGATTAGTACGGAGCTCCACTATGGGGATCCCGGTAGAATTATAAGTACTCGGTGCGAGGAGCGAGATATTCTGTGTGAAATGTTCGAAATCTTGGTTCAGAATGCGCTGACGATCTGTACTGCTACTAGTACATATTATCATGCAGGTGCAGCCAAAGGGCACTGCAGCCCAGGGCAGGGTACTTCTCACCGTATGAAGTATGAAGTAAGCCTGGGACAGACCGGGGATCGTGACCATGTTAAACCACTTCATTCCGATCCTTGTGCGCAGTAGTTCCGACGTGTACGAAGTGCTTCGCAGTGGATGCCAGTCAGTCGAACGTTTCGTCCTTCCCGAACAGCTGGTTCGTGATATAAGGCGAAAGAAGGTGCCTCGTCTGCGTATGGAAATGGATCATCAATGAATTACCGCTTCAGCCCATCGTTGGTTGCAAGAAAACTATCAATTCCAACTATGCAGTGTATATTATCTTCAACTTCTATCTAGTAGTGCATCAAACCTATTTCCAAAACAACACCGACCACGGCTCGTCCGAACCAGCGCCACTTTTCCGAGACACCACGACCCATGTGCACCGCTCGCGCTCCAGTCTCCCGATTCGACTGGGCTTCCGAAGCATCAAGTACACGCCGTACCAGCAACTGGCCCCCGTAATGCCATATAAAAGCTCCCTTCCCCTTACCGAAAAAGAAAGAAAAAAAAGTCGACGACAAATGAGCAAAATCAGACAATGCCAACCCCCAACGATAACCACAGAAGCAAAACGAGAAAGGACGAAAATCAACAGGCTCGCAAGACGCTAACAAATCCAAGAAGAGAGGAGAAGATGGGAGAAGATGGGAATACAATAAGCCAAAACAGAAACAGAAACACATAGTTGAGGCAAGAGGAGGCCAGACAAGCACAGTTAGTTGAAAATCCATGTAGTAGTAATAATGCCGCTTCCTATCTTTTTTTGCTCGCAACGCCCTTCCTGTATGGTTTCATGCCGTGAATATTTGACGCAAAACAACAAAATGTGAATGAGACTGGGCCATGGAATGAAGTCAAGGAAGAAAGCAGAACAAGGAAAGAAAAAGAAAAAGAAAAAAGGAAGAGAAAAAAAAAAAAGGCTCTAGTCTCTAATCTCTAGTCTATCAATAGAGGAGACATGCGAAATTGGGAATCTTTCAAACAAGAACAGGACTTTGACAGAATAAAGATGGCTTGATGCCTGCCTAGGCTGGGCGGTTGTAGCCGGGGTTAGCCGGCACGCGACACCGGCCCGTTTCTCAGCGTTAGCCCAGAAGGCGAGCAACGCAATTGGAGGGACTTGATGTAACGAGCTTAATTAATGCCGTCGTTCGATGCCGGAAAGGTCAAAGACAATGCAGAGGAACAATGAAGGAAACCTTGGCGGAATCCGCAGTGGTTCGCTCCTGGCTTCATCTCGCCCCATAAATCCGACATCGCCGACCACAAAACGTCCCGCCCGCCCGTCCACCCGATAACCAGCCGAGGGGATGATCCTTAAAAAAAAGGGCCAAGGGGTATTAGTTTTTTCTTCCCCTTCTTTTTCTTGGTTTTTTAATTCCTCTCCCCTTTTACCATCCCATACTTTTTTTGTGGAATGGAATTTTTTTTTTTAAGAGCGACCTCCCAATGACCTAGGTAGAGCTGTCCAGGAGCCTTGGTTGGGGAACTTGAGCTTTCCGAAATCTTCATCCAAGTCGAGAATGATCTTCAGCGCATTTCGGCTCCTGCCGAATGGTGTAGGATCGAACTTCTCCTTGAGCGTCGACGCGGCGGTGCTGATGGACTGGACCTCCTTGGCTTGTCCGGGCATGGGGAACGCGTTCTGAAGAACTTCATACGCCGCGAGAGTGAAACCGAACTGAGGAGACGATCGGAGGATACGAGCCGGGCCACCCTTGAAGAAAGCCTTGAAACCTTCTTCCTTCAGGATGGTCGAGGCGCAGTGACGCAGACCGTGGTAATGGCTTTCGCCCTTACGAGCCTCGACCTGGAGTCGAGTCTTGATGACGTCGCAGGGCGTCGTCAAGTACGCCGCAGGCATACCGGCGATCGCGCCAGATGTGAGGAGTTCGAGAACGCCAAGCTTCTTGGTCGGGGACTCGCCGAAGAGATCCTTCTTCAAGTGGTTGTATGCGGGGAAGTAGATGGCCGAAAAAGGCACATCTCGGAGGAGACAGGCCGACGCACCCTTGTAGAGCCCCTTAAGCCCCAGGTTCTTAACGATCCACATGGCGGACCGCTTGGGTGGGCCATCGACGGCCTTGGACATCTCTCCTTGGACTTGAAGGCGAATCTTGACAATCTCGAGGGGGTTGGTGAAAACCTACGAAGAAAGGCGGGGCATGTCAGCTTATTTGATAATGCCGTAAGTGCGATAAATTGTCATTTGCTAATGAACCCGACCCGATTGGCAGGGTCGACCTCAGGAACGAACAGCAACCACTCGCCGAGAGACTGGAGAAAGGGTAAAAGAGGGCCAGGATTGGGACGTTTCTTTTCACTTACGACTTGACAACCACCGGCGGCGCCACCGGCAATCACTTCATGCATCCACCAGATATTACCGTCGCTGCGGGTAAACCAGCCTCGAACCAAGTCATTCACGGTAAGCTTGATGGCCTTCTCGGGGGCCACGCCGACGAGCTGAGGAAGAACACCAGAGTACAATCCGAGGACACCTTCGTTACGGATAACCTTCTGGAAACAGTCGAGCGAGTTGTTATAGAGCCGCTGTCCCGGAATGGCGCCTCGCTGGTTCTGCATGCGCGTCTTTACGAGATCGATGGGATAAACCATGAAAGCACCAAAGGCACCAGCAACACTTCCCAATGCGAAACTGTAGGTCGACGACAGGATAGAATGGAGAATCGAGCTCCTCTTAGGCTGCGGCTTATGGATCGACTCATCCGATTCATAGTGTCGCCACGAGGGATCAAGCACCTTGGCAAAGTCGGTGAGGCCAAGCCTTCCCGAAGGCTCGTTAAGGCTGGCAAAGTGGAAGAGGATATCGGCCTCCATGGGGGTGAAGAGGGAGAAACGGGTGATCTTGGCCGCCTGGTTAAGGAATTCGGTACGTGTGATCTTGCCGTCTGCGCTCTTGGCACACGCCTTTCGCACAATGAGCTCGACGAGATCCATCTCCTTGATCATGTTCTGGAAGGCGCGAACGTTGGCATAAGAAATCTTGCTGCCCTTGGAGATGTTGCACAGAGAGCCCAGGTTCTGGATGACGTGGTCGGAAAGCTTGTGCTTGGCAGTCTCGAGAATGATGCGCTCGAAGTGCTCGGGGTCGATGAAACCATCGCCGTCCTTGTCGAACAGCTGGAAAGCTTGGCGGATCCTCTCGCCTTGCAGACCGCGAAGCATCTGCGAAAACTGATTGTAGTCCAATTCCTGGCGCGTCTTCTTCATACCAGTGTAGAGCTTGGCCCATTCGCAGTTCCAGTCGAAGGGGATGCTCTCAGGGCCCTTGTTCATTTGGTAGAGCTTCTTGAAATCCGCGTAGTTGACGGATCCGGTTCGGTTGATGTCGAAGAGGCGGAAGGCAATCTCGTACTCGGCATCGGGTTTCGAGAGGACATTCTCGAAGGCTGTCCAGTCACTCAGGGTCACCTTGCCTGTACCTCTCCGGTCGGCGACATGAAACAGGATACTATACTGATCCCGCTTCACCTTGTGCTGTACGCGAGATGCGTCGTTAGTGCGGTTCGCGACACGGGTGTCGGAGAGGACCATCTCCTCATCTTTCCAGACATTCAATGTGATTGCCCCATCTCTAGGAGTGGGGCAACGGCGCCATTCAAGCTACCAAAAGCCGAAAAAAAAAAGTGTTGGATAACTTACGTAGTCTTCATCCACCGGCGCGACGGCGTCGATGAATTGATCGGGCCCTAGGTACAGGTCGCCCGTCTCGGGGTCCTTAATGGCATTCCTCTGGAACCGCGCCTTGGATCCAGCAGAGAGCGAGCCGGCGTCCTCAGACGCCGCCCGAAGGTCCTCGGCAGGCCTCTTAGACATTGTAGAGGGTAGGAAATCGAGGAAGAGAGGGAGGGGGGGCTGGAGAGGAAAGCAGTTGAGGTCAGTCTCTGGGTGCTCGGCGCTCTCTCGGAAGGAAGGCACTGTTGCGAAAGAAGAAGCCACAGTAAGGACCACCTACAATGAATTAAGGGGAGAGGAGTAAATCGCAGAGGAGGTGAGGTTGGTCTTGACACCCAGGAAGGTAGGTATGAGTAATAAAGGGGATCAATTGCCGGAGGGGAGGAGTGAGGTGCGAGCGCAATGTGGACCTTGTCGGAAAAAGAAGGAATAGAAAGGGTGGAGAGGAAGGACAGGATCGATGAGTGACTCCCTTGCCAATTCAAGCTTGTGAGTGGGCCGCAGTGGAAACTCTCCAATCCCAAGAACAAGAAAGGACCAGGGTTGATAGGATGAAGAGAGAATGTGAATTGGTGATGAAGGTAGAGAGATGGTCCTGTTTAGAAGAAGATTGATAGTTGTTTGTATAGGGAAAGTATGTTTTTGTTCGAAGACACAACACGTAAGAGGAGAGATTTTTTCTTATTCCTCAAATTCAGTTTTTTCCCAACTCTCAATCGTGACTGGTGCGACAAGGCGAACAAACTTCCAAAAGGCAAGGGGAAAAAAAAAAAAAAATTAAAACTAAAAAGCTCAGCTACCCCTGGTGAAAAATTAGGCGGTGAGTCGAATTTTTTCCTTTTTGGGTAGCTTAACCCCAGATTTTCCGCGGGAAAGCCGTTCTCGGAGTCGGGATTTAAGTTGTACTGCGGTTGACACTGTTCGACACTGTTTTACTTTGTACTGTTTTCGACGACCTTGCGCTGTATTTGGACCAACCGCGAGACCAACCGCGACGCAAGTACGACCCTGTACGAAGTACACTGTATACGAAGTGTGAAGGGGATCAATACAACAGGAGGGGCTCGAATGGGGAAGGAGTCACATCTCCATCTCTGGCGGTGTAGCAGTCGCAGAGAAGCATTTTCCCGGCTGTTACGGAGGAAGCTACGTACTGCGCTACTTCGTGCTAGCGGTGGAGACATTTGGCTGGAGCATGGATCGCTGAATGTCACTCTCCGAAGTACACTACTAGTGTGCGCTACGTATTACGGGTACACAACTGAAGTTGGGGATGTCAAGGGACCCAGAGTAACGGTGCGTGGGGTCCATCAATATCGACGAGATCTAAACAGATTTAGCGTCGCCCACGAGCGAGGTCGAACGGAGTGGACACACATCCACACGAGCATCTCCTCCCATTTCATCCGACCTGAGGAGTGACGGGCTCTACCCGCCCGGAATAGTCAGGAGAAGACCTTCTTAGTGCCCAGCTAGCTTTCTTCCATAGCACCGAGATGGATCCTAGCTAGGGTCTTCTAGCTACTGCTTGACTTCGTCCACTAGACGATCCACATGGAGTTCCCGTTCTTACCAGTAAGTTGGTTTTCTTTTGCCAAGGAGAGCATGAGGCATGTACCCGCTGCTATTGCAAATGTTGTGCGAAGTGCAGACGGGAGGATTCGGGCATTGACAACTGGGGATTGGTGCATAGGAAGCATTTCGCACTTGAGGGTTAAAGAAACCGCTTGGAGCTGCATAACATTTCCAAACTACTCACGAACTAAAACTCTTGCCATGGGATCCCGCGCCTGTCCTGGGGTCATGGGACCCTTCCTTCAATTTTCCTGCTGCTAAGGGCTAGTGTACATTTGAGATTATCACCCGCCTCGACCTTGTAGGTTAGCACTACTTCGCACTCGACTTTGTAGTGCACACAGTACACTAGAACTAGAATTTGGCGGGAAGGCCCCCAGAAATAAGGCTTGGCCAACGAGCCTTGAACAAATATGAACGAAGAGCACTCCACTAGGATATATGAAATTATACCGAGGCACAGCTCTCCAGAAACCTCAAAACTCGTATAAATTTGACAGGCAGATGACAACGAAGTAATTAGGATGAAGAGCACGACCTTGCAGGTGGCGTCTGCGCGAGCCGGGAAATTTCGATCAATGGGCATTCCGGGACCTGAAGATCGCAAATGAGCTCTCAAGAAACTCATTGTTATCACTGATCTTTTAGTAATAAGCGAACCACACAATTCGCATTCACCGACGCGGGTTTTGCAGCTGCGAAAACCGGAACCTGCACGAAACATTTGAATCAATCAATCCTCCTTTCTGCCCATGCGACCCTTGCAACCAGCGTGCAGATGGACCCCCACGCGTCATCCAGAGCCGCGAAAAAGGGTCGAGGGTCGAGACCAATCGAAATGCGACACTCTTCAGGATGCGAAAACAAAAGAAGAAGAAGAAGAAAAAAAAAAAAAAAGAGCTCAAGCTGACAATGTCGCAATCATAGCAACAACGCCACTTCTGCGGCTCCGACTTCCAGCCCCCAGTCAGCCGCCCATGCGGTTGCGCAGGGTCTAGTCGGTGCAGGGGAAGTGTGAAATCTGACGTGGAAAGCGCACCAATAAAGCCCTGTGGAAATACTCGTGTGCGAAATGGCGGAGAAGTCCCCAAAGGATTATCGTGTGGTGTTTAGAGGCTAACGCACCCATGATCTGTCAACCTTGAAGGATCAAGACTCGGATAGATGCACTAAGCAAGATGCAACAGCGGCAAGCCATGGAAATGACCACGAGGTATGCACCATGGGTATGCGTTTCAGCCTCTTGAGGAATACACTACTAATTGGAGGGTTTGAATCGGTCTGGCCGGGTTCAACTTAATCCTGAAGGACCATCAATATCGTACTTTTCTAACCATCGGTTCCTATAAGTACAGCTAATAGTACCTAGGCCTCTGTAACCAGTAAGGGTTCAATAAAAAGATCAATGGATGACCAGCTACTGCAACATGTATAAACAAGAACATCAATAGAATGGAGACACCCACACCTTTCCTGAAGCCTCGCCAAAACATGAGGATACCAAAGAAAACCGACGATAAAATATGTCCGGAGACAAGATATTAAACCATACCCACAAAAGAAGCTCGAGAGAACAAAGAAGAGAATCGACAACGACCTCCTAACAGTGAGACAACACAGAGTGCGTGGGAGAGAAGAGCGACAGAAAAGTGAGAAAACAGAAGTCCGCAATGCGCCTTTTTTTTCGGTGGTAAACATTTTTGTTCCTGGGGAGGTTTTATGCTGCTCAATACCTATTCCTTCTATCACTTGCCTGCCTGTCCTTGCTATGCTGTCAAGGCCTTAACTCCAGGGAAAAGAGAAAAAATCAATGTGACAAAGCTGGCGCCGTTTGCCTTCGGAGAACTGATGGGTCCGATTCGAGATCGTCGCCGAGACGGAAAGTAACTTCGTCGTCAGAACCGCAGGCGGGCCAAAAAAATTGAAAACAGGAACAAAAAAAAGTCGTGAACATCGTCAACGTCGTTAGGGAATCGTCACAGTCCTTCTCGAACAAGGATATAGTGCCTGTGGCGGCCGGTGCGAATCTAAGCCTCAGCCGCCTGTTGGACACTGGGATACATGAAGTCGCTACCCGCCACACCACTAGTACCATCAAAGGTGTCGCGGTACTGCACCGTTGAGTAGGGCAGAATGCTCGGCTGATGGCTTGGAAGCTCGAAGCCCGCCTTGATCTCATCCTGGACGAACTCCGAGCAGTACTTGAACCTCTTATCACTGTACTTTTCGAAAATCGCCGCATGATGCTGAAGAGGCACTTGGCAACAATCAAGGAGCATGTTGAGCAACGGCTTCAGCTGACTCCATGTGTAGCCGGAATAGTGGACGTGGGCAGGGGACTATAAGAATCAGGACTGTGTTAGTGTATACTGTTGCGAGTGTGACTTGGAGGCATTGCAGAGGCAAGAGACAACATACCCAGTCTCCCTTTCGAAGCATGAGTCGCGAGAGGCAATGAGCACCGGCCGCGATGAAACTACAAGGGCTTCCAACGAATCGTTCATCCATGATGGTCACTTCAATGAAGTACTTGGCGAGCGTGCGCGTCTCGAGATCGTAGTCGTCAGCCTTGCTGATGCGGCGGAGGAAACTCATCGGACCAGGCCAGCCCAACTCGAAGCCAAGCATACTAAGCATGAAGCGTTCGGCCTTCATAACCTCTCCGATGGTGTAGCCCTGGTCGACCATGTAGACGATCTCTTGAAGCGACGGGCAGTTGATCTCTTCGTACTTGGCGGCTACCAGGATAGCTGTGGCACCCACAAGCTGCAGCTTGCCAAGGGATACAACCTTGTAGGAGAGGAATCGATCAATAAAATTGACGGCAAGGAACAAGGTCTCGGGAAGGAGGTTAAAGCGGTTGTGGACTTGGACAAGCCAATCCATCAAGACTGAGCGCATAGACCATTGGATTTCCGTCTGGATGTCCATGTAATGGGCGTTGGGAAGAAGGCGGACCTGAAAAAAAAAATGACTTGATTAGCACCAGCAATCTCTCTCAGAAGTCCTCTCTTGTATTGTTGCCTTACCTCGAGCTCCCGCATGTACTCGAAAATCTCTTCGCCATATTCAGCGACCATGCTGACATCCCACACGTCCTCATCGACGTCGTACTGAGGACGTGTGCTCTCCACAAATGCCTTAGCCGCCTCGAGTTCTCGGAGAACCTTGTTCGTCGTCTTAGGAAAAGGAAGCGTGGTGACGCCGCCTGTCGTCAGGTCACCGCGGGATCGGAACGAATGGGCGGTCGTATAACCCTGATCGTCGTACATTTCCTCTTCCTCCTCTTCCCAGTACTCCTCGGGCTCAGACATGAGCGTGGCCGAGGTGACCTTCTCTTCTTGGTACTCGGCGAGGATGTCGTCGGCAGCCACGGGGAGCAGAACACCAGCGCTAGCACCACTGTCCACAGGAAGAGCTACATCCTCCATCTCAGGAGCAGCCGGGGCTTGCGTATCGGGGTCGACGAGGTGTTCGACTGCGTCCTCGTACAAGGCCTCCGTCAGGTCGGCCAGGATGGGCAGCACATCTACCTGGGACCCAGACTGGGCTCCGAGAAGCCTACTCTGAGTCCTTCGCAGAACAGGCGCCTCAAGCTTCAACTGGGGGTGGCTCTTGTATTGGCGTATCTTATACTGGTTCGTAACAGTGCTGACCGCAGGAGGCGGGTTGGCGTGCTCTGTGCTGCTGCTTTGGCTATCCTCATAGATCACGACCGCCGCCTTCTTTGGCGCAACCACCTTGGCTGCGGGTTGGGCTACTTGGACCGCCGCAGGAACTTTCGCCTGGTTTCCGACACCAGCCAAAGGCTTCAGAGGTCGCTGAGCAGGACGGCGGAAAGCATCCTTTCCACCTGCCACAGCAACATCACAGGCAACTCCCTCGTTCTTGGTCCCCTTCTTCTGTCCGCATTGAGTAGCGAGGGGCTGAGTGGCGGCAGTGTTGCTAAGATCAGCGAAGGCAGTCCGCTTCGCAGCGGTCTTCAATCCGCCAACCATAGCTGACGCACCGCCGAGGGACTTCTCGCGGATATGGGCAGACGACGCGGTAGCGGCAGGGGGGACGTTTTCGTTCCCGAAGGATGGGAAAACTCGAAGGCGCTGAGGCTAGATATCAGGCACAGGATATATTAACAACGCATATCCTTGGCAGTTTGACCAGGAAAGGAGACGCAAGTCACGGCTGAAGTAACGATGCTGAAGGGAACGCAGCCGAAAACAATCGTGACATACCCCGTAACTGGAGCTAGGAGGGGATGAAAGGGGAATGGGACAACCATATATGAAATTGCGATTTGCACTTACTCTAGCATCCATGATGAATATGCGCGGTTGTTATGATTCAGAAGTTTATGCGATTATTCTCGCCAACTGGCATGCCACCGTATGAGGCCGACTGCGCCAGAGAAAAAAAACCTGACGCGTTGGAGGAGGGTTGGACCCTTGGCCGTCGCCTTCCCGTGACGGAAGGTTTGTGATGCGAATATGATATACGCGATGGGTGGGCGAAGGTGAGTAAGGCGCGGGAGAGCTCCGCGGTTCCCACGGCACTGTCTGTTCGGATCCGAGATTCGAAGAGACTTCCACTCGACGCGTCCTTCGAAGAATGGACTAGAGAGGTCGGCCAAATGAGGGTAGATAATCCACGGAGAGTAGGAGGGAGATGAAAGAGCGAGGAATGCCTAATGCTGGCCTAGCATATGTGTGTGTCTGGCTCGGTGTTGTGATTCCGCGGTGGTCTTATTTCGGGTCCGAGACTTAGGGGATATGAGGTCGTCGAGGCGATGACAAGTTGCCAGGGAACGGAACAGTGGCGACTCGAGAGAGAAACAAGGAAGACGCAAGTTCAGTTCATGGAAATTTTTGTGGTGTGTGGTTTGGCAAGTGTGTGTCGTGCTTTCCAACGAGTCTTCGCAGAGTTGGAAATCGCAATCAGGTCCAGGGTTTGTCTATAGTAGCTTATGAGGGAAGGGGCAAGAGAGCTTCGAAAGGTACATGAATTGTAGATAGTAGGCACAATTGGAAAAAAGGAAAACATAGACAGATGTTCAAGATGGTGTTTTTTTTCAGGCCCTGGTTTGGAGGAAGAGTGCAATGAATGATCAAGGGAATAAAGGGAGGAATGGCCTCAGCGGAAATTGGTCTTCTTCAAGGATCTGGAGATTAGCAGGGAAATTGCTGCTTTGTTTATTTTGTGCTGGATCCTGCATAACAGTTTCCTCTGCAACGAACAATTCTTGTGTATTATCCATCCAATCCTTTATTCAGTCCAAGTCTCAAATGCCTTTGTCAGCCATTAGAGGTATTTCTCATACTAATTATAGTGTATGATACATTCATCTGAGTGGGTGGAGGAAATTAGAGCAGCTGATTGGCCGGCTCTCATCTGTTGGGCGAGTCAGCTGAGCGATGGACAAAGACAGCTTCCGTCGCCATGGCAATGACGATTTTCCGGGGAATCTCCACAGTTCAAGGAACTAGCCTCATTGCGGCTCAGACAGAGGTTCGTCGCGTCTCCCCACGGCGTCGACATTTCGAAGGCTTTCGAATAAATCATCAGCGACAAGCAAAATTTCTCATTTCAGTTAATTCAGACGATCGCCCCAATATTGGAATTCTCAAGCTGTATTTAATTTTCAATTTTCTGCTCTCTTGAATTGAGAGAACAGCGGAAACTCGATCGTCGGCATCGGAATTCATCTCGCGTAAATTGTTAAGCCAGAAAACACGACAATTCCGCCAAATCACGTGATGAGAAATTCAGCCCAAAACGGGAGACCGTTACAAATTTGGCTCCAGTCCTTCGAAGACGGTGGGCACTTTCAGGATGCTCGAGACTGCGCATAGGGTTTTTGCGCAAGCTTGAATGCTCTCCTTCGCATTCATGACCTGCCAATTCCTCTGCGCACGCGAATGGCAGCTCAAATGAAGCGCCCATGTTGCATCAAGCGACAGTCTGATGGTCGGGTGGCATTAGTGTCGAGTTGATTGAGCTAAAGGGCAAGTGACTGGTTGGAACTTGGTCGGGTCAACATTTTTGTAACCCCCCGTTTCGGCCAGTCGAGCTGCGCTTGCCGAGATATTTTGAAGCAATATTTCCCGGCGCTCGTGTCAGGGGCCTCCCGCCATCTCTATCGCCAGCCACTCGATCACTACTAGTTTTGCTAGGTTCTGCTTGTAAATTCCAACTTAGTTGCGACTGTTTATGTTGATTTTCGAGCCTTCAGACACTAGAAACAACTGCGGGATACCTGTTGTCGAGCGTCCTCGGATTGATTCCATCATCTCGCCAGGCGGTGTAAGGGTAATTGAGTGTGCATTCAATTTAATGCTTTGCATGAAGATGGGCAACCCCCCCTCTCCAGATGTCGCCACGCTTGTTTCTGCGCTAGTCGGCGTCATTGACGGAGGAAGATCGACTGCGACCACACACGCCATTCAGCTTTTCTCGTTTTTAACCGTCGCCTTCGCGAGAACGAGAGTTCCCCATTTATCCAAGGACAGTCCCCATCGCCCGAGTTTAGTTAGGACAGGCGGGCGTCGTACACTGACGGTCAACAAAGTTAGTCGTCGTCGTATTCAAGACGACAATCCCCAGACTCTAAAAATTGCGCCTCCCTCTCCTTTGCTTTGTTAGGAACAGCTCGGGCAAGAAACCCCGCTGCTGCCGCGCAATTTTCCCCGGGATATGTCATGTTCCTCGAGATGCGAAGCAGTCTTTTGAGTTCGTCTGCGACACTTCGCTTCGTCCTGTGCGAAGTATTTTCCCAGCTTCTCCTGGTTACCCCCACTAGTCAACTTCCCGCGCTCAATACCCAAGTACGAAGTATTAGTCTCCTTCGCATTAGGTGTGTGCGCGCAGGTGTCGGGATTGAGTCGTGGGATGTAACAGCTGCTCCCAGGTATTTGTACGTAACTTGGAGTTTATGGATGAATGGCACGCTTTGTCAAGAGGACAGGGAAACTTTGAGACTTGCTTTCTCTGCCCCGGATCAATCAACGATACATGACTCGCCTCCAGTCCAGTGTGGGTGACCTGCAGGCGGGCGCCAGATGCACTCTCACACCATCGGGTGTCACTGCTGCAACAGGGTTCTACAGACATCCAAGCAACATGGCTGACTGGCACTTTGCAGGATCAAGGAGCTGACACAAAATAATAGACAAAAAATACTTGTCGTCCTTCGTCAGCCACCATGCGGATCGCATCCGCGCAGTTCCCCTTGGTAGTTTGTTACTGAACATGAGCAGGGGTTCAAGGTTCTCGTGCTCTCTGCGGTCATGTATTCACGGGTTGGCGGATTCTGAGCCAGACAAACTCATTGCGACCGCCCCCGTTCCTGGACATGCAAAGACATGTCAGAACGAAATGGAAATGGAATAGATGGGCAGCAAGGCCTGCTCAATCGGGGATGGTCTCGGGTGGTGCCAGCAAGGTGATGCTGTGAAGTAGTAGATGCCGCATGCGCAGACCAATAGGCACCGCGGGCGCCAGGGCCAAGAGGGAGGCAAGGAAGTCGAAGTATTGCCGTACTTGACAGGTAAGATCAATGCTGAGGTAGATCTGATTGATCCCACCACGGCTACCAGAAAGGAACATGGAAGTCTACTTGTAATACGGAGCGCTTTCGAGCAGAGAACTGATCGGAGGATATCTTGCATGTTGGGCTCGAACTAGTAACCAGCAACACCTGCGTCGCTGTACTTGTAAATAAGAAAGTTCCAATGTTGGACCTTTGGGGAGAAATTCAAAGCCAAGCTCGGCATGACAAGGCCGCCCGACCAACAAGAAACGTCGTGAACAAAACCATTAAATGAGAAGGGGGCGTTCGCGGCAGGATCGATTGGCTAAATGGGCGCAAGATTGGACATCGAACACCGAACATTGAAACGTCGAAGCTAAAAAAACAAAACCCAGCGCCAAATGCACCAAATTCCGCACGGTTTCGCTGGCAAACTGGAATGTCTGGATGGACCTGGTACGTAGCAGGTTTGCATTTGAAACTTTTCCTGGGATATGCGCCGAATGGCGAACGCTACGAGGAGTCGGTTTGGCTTCTGTGGTTCCTCGAAACGCCGGACAGTTCGCGCCGCACCAACGAGTGGAAACCAGCCGTTGAACGATGAAGTCTCAAGTCTCAGAGCCCGTCCTTCCCCAAAGCGCCTGAGAAGACTCGAATATCTTCCGGTTCGGCAAGTTTTAGAGCTCTTGTTCGGGAAGAAGGATCGCCCAGCTCGTTTGTCAGGTGGGCTACGTCTGCGCCATGGCAGGGACTCTGTCGGTGGAAAGGGTTTCCTGACCAGGCAGGTTGCCGTCGTTCAACGTTCTTTATTCTTTGATGAAACCAACGGCCGTCTTTAGCAACCCAAGTGGGCAGGCCAACCAGTCCGGGCTAACCTTAGCAACTTGTGTGTGCTCGTGCCCTTTTCATCATCCATTCTTCAAGAACATTGAACCATATTTCGTGGGTTGCGAAAACGAGGGGAACCAATCCACATTGACGGGCCACATGTAATGTACGGTACGATTTAACCTCCGAGGACGAAAATGGACACCTGACAAAACAATGCTACGAAGTAGTTTACGGCTGATGCCTTGGAAATGTCGTGGAGCCATCCACGCCACATGCGACTTTCTGGTTTGAGCGCAACAGGCGATGACCCTCGATGTAGTTTACGATGCGCCCACGTCTCGTCGTAGGTGAAGATAGAATTAACGAGCGAGCGTTTGAAAGAAAGCTTGAGAATGAGTCGCTGGACGAGAGTAATGTCCGAGGTCCTCTGTTTCACGGCGCATGCCTTTGTACTTGTCGCTGTTCATTTCATTGATCCAATGTGTTGAAATGGTACTCACGTAAGCGCCAGGCCTTTGAAACATTGAAGCATCGATCAATCAACTTCAAGAACCTGTAGATTTCCCACACACACCTCATCTCAAGGGGATGTTTGCGCTCGCTTGCTCGCCTTGGTGAAGCTCTGGCGCACCTCGGACACGCCCGGGAGCTAGCGCGTGTGGAGAGGAAGGAAAGAGCGCATTTACTGACTTGGCCATCCTTCTTGTTGACATTGATTTCTATTGTTTACCTCTTCATTAGATCAAAATCGCCCCAGCTTGTACGAAGGAGGCTAGAAAGGGACGCGCAAAGGGGGCTTGCGACTTCGTAGCGCAACATTCATTGGCCGCGGATTTTACCAAAACAGACTCTGCAGATGTGCCGTGTGTGTTATAGATCTGCCAAGCTGTGTCTTTTTGCGACGGGGAAAAAAAGGCGATTTTATTTTTAAACCCGACCGCCTGCGGATTTTTACCAGGATGAGACGATTACGGTCTGCTCCTGCGTGACCACCCGATGGCACTCACGTCGACGGAAATACGGTGAGGATCAGAAAAAGGTGTAGGCCGGCACCACAGGCCGCGTGGGTGTGTGTGGTAGGCGCAAGGGGGAAAGAAAAACAAAAGGCTGGGGAACAACAAACAAACGTCAACAATGGGATCGAAAGGGGACCATGTCATTAGTTTCCCTTTTCCTTCGTATCTCGTCGCCGTTGGTCAGCGGGGAATTCGCTTCGTGCAGTATGCGTAGTAAAACCTTTCCAATCCGCAGTCGCATACCCGGATAGGGCAGGAGTCGCAGGAAGAGAGGGGCGCGGCAATCGCCAGACTGAAAGGGTCGCATCAGTTTAAATCGGGTGGGACTCGGTGTCTTGATGGTCGCGGATGAAATGTCTCCCCATTTGATCCTGCGGAGTAAACATCCACAGCGGCGAAGTATAAGTATCACAAACCGACACTATCGAAGTGGCGAGAGCGATATTCAGAAGTACGCATAGTTTAATGTCGGGATGGAAACAAGACCCTGCTTAAATGGGGTTCATGACCAGCTCTGTTCTTCCCGGCAGGGGGGTCAGGCCAAGGCTACCAAGAACACCAAGGAAGCAGGGCGGCGATGCGACAGAGCCTTTATCCATGCCAGCCAGTCAGTCCAGTGGAGTATCGTTCTCTGGCCCTTTTGCCATTTCGCAAACCGGGAAAGCACTAGCTCGGGAATAGTTCCTGTCGCATGCATCCATTGACGCCTTTTTAACGGATTTGATGAACTGTGTCACTGTCGGGCTCTATACTGCCCAAGTACTAGGTCATCAGATTAACAGTATGCGCACCAAGATGTATCGAGTCTTTATTCTTTCAATACGACATATTTGAAGTATTGATCTAGTCAAGGTATTCCATGTTGCCAGTTGTCGCAAATAGCTCGGTACCAGAGAAAACGGGCGAGACTTTGGACTTTGGACTTCGGTGCGAACAACCAACCTTTTTGTGATTGTACCTTACGGGTCCCTCGGAACCTGCGAAGGATTCAGCCCTCCATCATGTTTCCAGAAAGAAGCTTCCAAAGCTGGGCAATATGATCGTATGGGCAGACCGTGACTCTGCGCTTCCACCAGGAACTGGCAGGCAGTATCGCGGTCATCTTCTGAACGAAATGGCAATGTCGGGCGTGCTGCGTACAATTGTATTTGCCTCAGATGCCGATTATTACTTCGCCATAGGAAGCGGCAGCGATCTACTTGCAATGCGACAAACAGTCCGAAACCCTGTCCTTCCCATCCTTTATGCGACGAACGCGGCGTTTCTATAAAGTACAACCTGCGGCCAAATTAGCCCGTAAATCGCACATTGATCCCTCGGCCGGTGTCAAATTCATTGGACTGGAGCTTGAGTGGGTTGGATTTGATATCTAGTTTATGAAGGATTTGATGAAAGATTGAGGTGGCCTGGCGCCGACCCTTCATCTTGAACACTGGAGGGTTACCTTGTACCAAGCCTTTATGTCACTGCCAACTGGCTGGCTGGATCTTCAAAGGTGAAAACGGTATTGATTCCCGTAATTCAGTCCAGCCTCCGTTTTGTTAGCTCTTGGACATCATGGGACCTGACATTGGGTCGGGCTAATCATAGCATCTTTCAATCCCACCAAGGCCAATTCACAAGAACGATTTCATCGAAGAAATTATACAGGTTTTGATCCTTTTCCATTGCATTTCAAGCTCGTTCGATTATTCTGTGTTATTTTGGGTTGGTTTTCGACCAACTCCATCTCCAAGTGTGAAGACCAGCCGAGTCTTGGATGGAGGTGTAGGCGGAGGTACCTTCGTAGTGTTTGGTGCTGCTTGGCACTTCAAAACGGAGCAATGACCTGATCGGCCTCTGAGCGCCGCCGCACTGTGTGGCCGGCGACCAGCGGTCAATCACTGCCTCGTTGCTGGCAGTGGGCTCTACCCATGATTGATCAATCACTAAAGCCTCCCTTAGGGCTAACTGTCTCCAGCTGCCGCCAGGCCCGACGGACAATTGTAGTGCTATCATTGCTCAGCTCACACTGGCTCCTCCAGGACCCCCCTTCAGCGGTCTCAACATGCTATTATTGCACGCCTCCCAATGATCGGCCTGCGAAAGGAAAACCCTCGCTGGGCTTGTCCTAGTTGGCGCCGTAAGACCCAGTGCCCGTACTGTCTGTACTGTTCTGTCTGCTGGCTGTGCCCTTGTGGATTGGGACGGATTCCAAACTCGTCGGCCTCTACCAGTTGTACACTACAATTTGTACTCACGTACTTCATAGTCTAGTCCCAGGATCCGTCACTTCTCCAAGAGAAGAGAGACTCCTCATTTTTCCTGGTCCGCACTGCACACAGGTTGCGAATTCAACCCTGGATTCATCCTCCCACGCCAACTTTCGAGCTTTCTGGTAAGTGTCATTGATCCTATCATCCTATGCGATCAAGACTTTGAGTCTATTTTCAACACTCTCCTTGCACACCTTGTTCCCTTGAGAGTGACGACACTCGTCCGTGGCTGGCTCTCCTTCTGGCTGAGCGCCTGCGACGAAGTCGACAGATGAGGTTTTACTCTCTCCTCTCCCCATCCCCGACATTCCCTGGACCTCCCTTTCCCATCGACAACCCCTATGCTTCTTCTCATCAGCGCCTTTTGTCCTAGATATTAACTCTTCACCCAAGAAACACTTTCCATTAGAGTATCCGACCTTGCCCGCGGCCTGCCTTTCTGTTCCCACACCTTCCGACGTCAATATCCTCGCAAGAGGGCGATCGACACCCCGAGCATCCAGGTCCTGGCGCTTTACCGCCCTTCGACAGGACGGTGACGCCCTCTTAACGAATACTTTGGAGAGGCTGATTCGCACCTCCGCAGACTTCATCGTCGTCGTCTATTGTCGACCTCGCCCTTCCCTGGGGCTCCCTGGAATTGGCCGAGTCTTGTGCTAAAGCCGACACCGCCAAAGCACACGCACACACCAGGGCCAATTCGCCCGCCACCCCCATCGCCATATTCATATTTCCCCCTTCATCGACCAACTCCCTGGTCATCCTATTATTTTCTACCTCTCCTATTTCGATCCTACTCTCCTCCTCCATAATATATTCCAGTATGGCATCCGTGTCACCCACAAGCACATCAAATGGCTATGCCGCCCACGGGAGCATGTCACCACGACAGAGCGCCACCCCCAAGAATGTCGCATTCGAACTCCTCTTCACAGAATCGCCCCAATATCGTGCGCGCCTCCCCATGCGTGTGCAAATATATCCTCACGATACCACAGACTCCATTGTCACCACCGTGAAGAATTTTTACGGCTTATACTCCAGCCCAACAAGTTCCAAGGGTGTTAGCTTTGAGGACGAGCAGGGCAACACCCTTATTGCAAGATATGAGAACTTCCGAAATAACATGGTGGTCTATGTGAGGGTCATAGAAGAGCCGACACAGAATCCCGCTGCGTTTGGACCTCATCCCTATCCGCCCGCTGCCACGGGTGCCCAGACCTACTACAACAATGACGGTATACCTCCCCAAGCTGCCCAGCGGCTTGAGCAAGATATTTCGCGGCCCAACTCTAGGACGTCGCGAAGACGAAGTCGTTCTCCTGGCAGTGCACGGGGTCGTCGAAGCGACTCCGCCAGCACGAATCCTGCCACTGGCAAAACCGGTCGTTCTCGCTCGGGAAAATCTAGAAACCCCAGCAGCCAGCACGGAGCCGATGGATATGATAGCCACAATGGCTATAGCAGCGGTGACGGTGCTCCCGGCTCAACATCTGGAAAAGCCAAGGATCAGATTGGGAATACTGAAATCAGTGTCGAGAACATTGTGGAAGGTGGCCGTCGTAAGAGGGCCAAGTTTGAAAGCTCGGTGAGTACTTTTTCGCCCTTCTTTCTTTAGGCTTTCTTTTTCTTCCATTTCTTCATTTCTCTTGCTTTCCTCCTTTCCTCTCCTTGGGTTTTCCTCTCCAATATATTTCCTGTGCTCAATACTCTAGAGGGCCTCTTTTTTTTCCCCCTTCCCATTTCCCTTTTGCTATCTCGATTTCCAATCACTAACTTTGCTTGCCTTGCCCTCTAGGAACTGCCACTCTTCGCCCCCCCTCAGATGCCCGCGGCAACTTCCAACCCGTCTATATCCCCGGCAAGGAGGATGGATCAGCATCGATCCTCTCTTTCCTATGCGCCTGGGGCTCCGAATCCATTCACCAACCCTCGACCGCTTCAGTCCCCTCAAAGTTATTCCAATGGTTTCGGCCATGGGCTGTATACTACACCTGACGGCCATCGCTCGCGCGGCAGCATAGGATATAGTGCTAATGGTATTGGCATTACCAACGGCATGGGCGGCATACTTCCAACACCTGATCCGACCGTTGGAAGTTGCGTTTCTGAAGAAGACAAGGATGTGGCCATACAACTTATGCGTCTTGGAGAGATGTCGAATATATCCCACGGTAGGACATCTGCTTCGACCCTTGACGATACATTTAGCGGCCGCGCCGACGTCGCCTCATCCACGGGAGCCACCAGCGATGGCGAGAGTGACAGCGAGGACGATCTGCCGCCGTCGCGCCGACAGAAACTGAACTCTGGTGTCAGCCGACCCGCCTTTGGGCTTCCGGAGCGCGCCTTTCCTCACGGCCCTGAGGCTGTGCAGCCTGCTGCCAGCGAAATCCAGCCCGGCGAAGTCGCAATCGGAAACGCCATGCTTGCTCCTCCTAGGACACAGAACCTTCAGGGCGCATCGAAGCCAAAGTCCGCTCCGGTCGCCAAAGCCACCAAAACCACCAAGCAGACCAAGGGCGGTAGCCGGACGACTGCCGCTTCCAAGACAAAGAAGGCGTCCGCTCCTTCGACTCTCCCAATGTCGCCTGCTTCTCTGCCCCCTTCGAGGAAACAATCCATCTCCTCGGGCTCCAACATTCCCCAGCCGTCTATTGAGGAGGAGCAGCCCGATCTCTCGACCAAGCCAAGGTGCCAACGCTGTCGCAAGAGCAAGAAGGGATGCGACCGACAACGCCCTTGTGGCAGATGCCGCGACGCCGGTCTTTCCGCGGATCAATGTATTAGTGAAGATGAGGGCAACGGTCGCAAGGGCCGTTACGGACGACACATGGGTGTCCCCATCAAGAAGGAAGATATGCCGGCTCCCCCGCAACCAAGCCTGCTCCCTGCTGCACCTATAATGGCTTCTACTGCTCCTGCGACGGCTGCTGCGCTTGACAAATCCAAGAAGCGCAAGCGGTAGACGTGGTCGCAAACCGATCTTGTTTATTATGTTTGGCGAACCCTCATGATGCTTTGTTGTCATGCAGCGAAGGAGTCTTCCTTTGCGACCAAGGGAAGTCGGACGAGTCACTGTCACTCCAAATTGGCCGTGGCTTGCTCATACACTCCCCGCGACTCTTCGTCTTTTTACTTGGCCCTGGGCCCTCGCTCGCGATGCCCGCGACGCGAGAAACGATGCTGGTGCGCATCTATCCGACTTTCGAATTCGTGCGGCGCGAGTCTGAGTTTGGTTCCCTGCTTTGTGCGATGCTTTCCGCCTTCTATTGTTCACTTCGTCAGCTCATCCTCTTGATATTTAACGTTTTTTATTATCATTATTACTATCTGCCTAGTTCTAACCCCGAAACTTGATCATTGGGACGCACTGTGGGGAGGAGTATAATTGCGATGATCCCTAACAGCGACCATCCTAAACTACGACCTCCCCTCCCCATATTTCCTAATTCTTTCACGGCGTATATTTGGTTCGGGAAGGGTGTCTATGGAGATCAATGCTGCTTTGACCCCCGCGCCAGCAACAGAGAGCGGGGGAGTTCGGTTGTGCTTTTCTTTCCTATCTCTTTTCTGGTTTTCTTTTCTTTCCTTGCTGTCTCTTGGGAGAAGTCTGGGCTTGGCAGTATGTTACCGAAAAACCTGTGCGACATTGGCGGGCGCAGCGGATCACGGGTATATTGGTGGACCTGAAACAAAAAAAAAAGAAGAAAGGGACAAAAAAAGAGCTGGAGAGGAATGGCCCTCGGGACAATGCAAAATTGATTGCGAGGGATGGGTTGATGGTGTTTGGATGTGGTTCTCTGCATGTTTTTATTTCCGTTTTTTTCCTTTTTGTCTCCCCAGTCTTTGTTTTCTCCTTTCCTATCTTGCGTGTGCTCTTATGCTTCTAAAGTACTGCTCTCTAGTTTCTGTCTTGTCAATCTTGAAAGTTTATGTCTATCCGGTGCTGCGTCTGCTGTGTTTACTCTTCCTATATTGTTCGGACGTTAAAATCAGGTGGCGACGCGACGTTTCAGTGGCGTGTGTGAAAATGCCCGTTTTTTTTTTTTTTCGTTTTCTTTTTTTCACTTTCTCTTTTCTTTTCCTTCGGTCTACCTATTGTTTTATTCTGTTTGGATTCTCGATCAATCCGCTCGCTCCTGTCGTCTTACCATTGAGCACGATGCGATGCGCTGCCGCCATGCAAGGGGAAGTGCACGAGCAAAGATGCGCGGGAGGGAAACGAGGGAGATGAGAAAGTAAATGGAGTAGTCATGACACGATATTTTGATTTCCGTTTTATGTTTGGCTCTTGCCCGTGAGATAGAAACTGAGAAACGATAATTGTGAAACAAAATGGCGTCGATGAGCGGGTGACCAGCGCATTGATGTTGGGGCTATCTTTCTGGTCGCAACTTGGATTAGTTCAGTAGGGAGCTGGAAAAGTCAATTCCAAACTCTCCGTGAGCCAAGTCAATTCAATTCCCCCAAGACTCGGAGGGTTTTAAAAAGGACAAAGCATATTTCTCGTTCCATGAATATCGCGCAAGCGCTTTTAAAGAGTGAATTGAATCTGTTAAATTTTTTTTACCCCCTCAATCCTTGCGCATCTTCACGATCCAGGTTGCAATCTCCATCTATCCGTTTTAGGAAATGTCAATAATTAAATCCCAAGTGTTTACATACGACGTCAAAAAAACAAAAACAAACGACACAGCGCTAAAAATAGGCTCAAGCCACTGATGACGCACAAGCCAACCGAAAACGCACAAAATTGTAACGGGTTATTGGTTTTTCCGGGAATTGGGATCGGCTACTTCCGGGGTTTGGACAAGGTTTCTGCCGGCGTGGCGCCCCCCACTTTCTCTTTTTGTGGTTTTCGTTCTTAAGCCGTGGTGCCGTAGCCGGGATAGCGCCGAATGCGGAACCTGGCCCCACTTTAATGGCGAAGGATCGGGACCGAGGTCACGTGTGTCGGTGCGATTGTACGGCAGGCATTTCACAGGAGGGGGGAAAAAGGTCATCATGATTGGCGAATGGGACGGACACGAAAGATTTTCTAGATTTGCCCATCGAATCGCTTTCTATTGGATGCGGAGTGGAGCGGTCAAGAATTGTAAACTAGGGTGCTGCGTTGGTGCTCTATCCTATCCGGGCTAACGAAAAGTTCTGGCGCTGGCGCTGGGACTTGAAAAAGCCTGGAACCAATGAGCAATGGTATAGCGAGGAAAAATCATGACGAAGTCGGAGCGGACAGACAGATCGCGGAAAACGTTGGGTCTCGACACCATCTCGGGCCTTCGGACAATGGCGAGAGAGACCAACTGACATTTTGTGGGTCCTCCGCCGATGCTGGGGTGGTCTTGGCCCCTCTTTTTTGGTTCTCTTTTTTTTCTTATAATTTTTCTCCCCAGTATTTCCTCACGTTCTTTTGCCTTCCGCCTTTTCAACCTATGTGGGGTTATAGAGCTCAATCCTATTTAACGTCAGTACAAGGTTAACTTTGGGGATTTGCTTTGCAGAGAAGGAATTTGAATTACCACATTGCTCCATCCTCTGAAATCATCATGGAGTTGCGAGCGGAGTGTTGGGGCGGCAGACGTGAACTATCGAAATCCGGCTAGAACGGCGCCGAAGACTCGCTTGTACATACCTTCCACTTGCCTCTCCTGCAGTTCATATGCCTCTCCGATGCCATTAAATCTAGTGTAAACGACGTTCGAGTCAGAAAACCACCGGCTGCCATCATCCGATGACTCGGCCCGCGATCTCGGAACCTCAAAAGATGTGACATATGCTCCATCGCAGACATTGCATCAACACCCACCATTGTCAAAGTCAATGATTCTTCCGGTGACCAATCCGCGAAACCGACAGGACCAGGTTCTCGTGACACCCATAGAGGCTAAGAGAGGCTAGCCCCGACTTCCGGGGGCCAAGAAAACGGAACCCTCCTACCCACGCCCTTTGACAAGTCAAGTTTTTTTCCCCGATCTGCGCCCTTGCCCGTAGCCGATGCGTGGTCCCCCTCCTCCCCCGGTCTACACTAATAGTCTTTGCGCAAAAGGATCAATTAATGCGCCTCTAGTGCAGGATTCCCGGCTTGAAAAGGCTTAAAAGATCAAACGATATGGAAGGGCAAAAATGACCAATTAATAATCCGGTATATATGGCTTGTATTTGATGTATGCAAGAGCCGATTCCGAGTCAACTAAACGCTTGCTTGGCCCTCAAATCCCAACTTCCCTCGGTTTCTTAACATCGTTTCCGTCAAGCTCTTTTTTCTACCCCTTGGCGTCATCCCGTCCAATGACCCGGCCAACTTGCTATCCAACCCCCACGTTATCGTCACCTCGCCAATGTCCGCCGTAGAAAGAGAGCTCAACGAGCGCCATGACGACTACCCGGAAAAGAAGGTCGCCGGCGCCGACAACCTCCCCGCCGAAGAGAGCGAAGAATCTCTCCCCGCCACCCCGATCGCCGACGACGATGTGGACTACCCGGACGGCGGCCTCGTAGCCTGGCTCCAGGTGCTCTCGAGCCACCTCATGAACTGCCTCGCATGGGGCTACGCCTCGACGTTTGGTGTCTACCAGCTGTACTACACCGAGACGATGCAGCTCCCCCGCTCGCAAATCTCGTGGATCGGGTCTATCCAAATCGCAATCACTTTTGCCATCTGCACCGTGTCCGGCCGGCTGTCCGATGCGGGGTACGCGAGGACCACTGTCGTGGCCGGGTCGGCACTCGCCGTGTTCGGCACCGCCATGACTAGCCTTGCCAAGACGTACTGGCAGATCCTGCTCGCGCAGGGTGTCTGCACGGGGATCGGCCTGGGTCTGCTGTTCATGCCCGGCATCGCTACCGTGAGCTCGTACTTCTTTAAGAAGCGCGCCTTCGCGCTGGCCGTGGCGGCGACGGGGACCGGGACCGGCAGCGTCATCTTCCCCGCCACGGTGCAATACCTGATTCCTCAGATCGGCTTTCCCTGGGCCGTGAGATGCGCTTCGCTGGTGGCGCTCGTAGTTTGTGCTCTGTCGGTTGTCCTATTAAAGCCGAGGCTTAGACCTAGGAAGTCTGGCCCCCTGGTGGAGTGGGAAGCCTTCAAGGAGCCGCCTTATGTCCTATTTACTTTGGGCACGTTCTTCTTATTTTGGGCCCTTTACTTTGGTTTCTTTTACGTGAGTAACCACTCCCCCCTTCCTCCCTCCCCCGCCCCGGGTGGGCTTGTGGGGGAACCTGAGAGCCCGGCGGTTGCCTCAACCGCTGGCTGGGTTGACAAGTTGCGTTAACTGCTACCCAGATCAATGCTTATGCTCGCGCCGAAATTGGCTTCACTTCAACCAAGGCAGTCGAACTACTTCTCATAACCAACGCCATGAGCATCCCGGCGCGGCCCGTTGTCGGATACGTAGCCGACAACGTCCTAGGACCGATAAACACAGTGATAGTAGCCATGTTCGTACTCAGCTGCATGTTCTTCGCCTGGATAGGAGTCACGACGAAGACCGGCATCTACGTCTTCTGCGTCTTCTTCGGACTCTCCAACGGAGCGGCGCAGGGCGTGTTCGGAGGTGCCTTGACGAGCTTGACGGCCGATCCAAGGAAGATGGGCACTCGGTTCGGCATGGTGGCTACCCTGCTCGGGTTTGCAGCGCTGGCTGGGCCGCCTACTGCCGGGGCGATTATAGATAGGTCGGATGGGAAATACCTTGGGGCGCAGCTCTGGGGCGCAATCGTTATCCTCGCAGGCGCGGCGACGGTTGGTGCATCAAGAATAGCTATTACTGGGTGGAAATTGAAGGCGAAGGTATAGAGGTTCTTTCCTTCCCTTCACCTTTTTTTCTTCTCTTTCCTTTTCTTTTTATGGGGCACCTTGGTATAGCCATTAATAAGGAGCAGGGGGGCGAAAGGGGCGAGCAAGCGGGAACCACAAAAGATTTCTGGGAAAATGGGAAAAGACGGACATGACCTGTTTAAAGGCGAGATTCAATAGATAGATAGGTTAGCGCGAAAATAAATAAACGTTCATCACGACTCTGTGAGCTTCCGGTGCATCTCGGCAATGAGAGTAGCGATCTGTTTCCCATCCTGCCAGGAAAAGTCATGCTCTCCCTTGATGAAGATGACATCGGTATCGATGCCATCGGCGCGGAGGTGGTCGGCCATAGCGGTAGTTTCCCGATCACCATCCACCAGCGAGTCTTCGGGGGAGTAGGCTAGGAGAACCTTTGGTCCGCCAGACTCGAGGCCAGCATAGCTCGCCTTCAGAGGAGCATCATCGTTCCACTTGGAGTGATCAGGTCCGAGGGCACCTTCCACCATGGTTACGTAGGGAGCTGAATGACGGTAGACGAAATCGTAAAATTCGTAGATACCCGCGACGCCGACGATAGCCGCCGGGAGCGGTTCGGCGATCTGAGGGGACGACAAGGCTGTAGTGAGCTGGCCCATCAAGAGCTGGAAAGCCAGAGTGGCGCCGACAGAGTGGCCAATAAGGATATACCTATCACGGATATCGTACTTTGACTGGAGATACTGGAGAGCAAGGCGGACGTCGTTGATGTGATCTGGGTGTTTCGCAGAGCGAAACTTGTCCGGCGGGGTAGCGGGGTCCTGTGGGTGATTGGGATGCGCAGAAAGGCGGTAGTCGATACTCGCAAACCCCCGGATGGCAGCTGGCGGCACAGACTGGGCTGACAAGAGGGCATTGATGGTCGGGAGGAAGTCTTGGTATGTGTTGGTCGGGTCCCGCCATGCGCCTCCGTGGATGAAGCTAGAACTGTGTAAGCCTCTGGGTTGACAATGGAAGGAATACATGATTCTCAGGAGTGATTGATGATAGAACAGAAGGTATCAACGCGTTCAAGTATTTCTTGACGGGTTATGATTGATGCTGCCAGCTTCACTTTGACACTAGACCCGGTGCGACTCATGATGGAGCCTCGGGTTCGTGAAAGAGAGGAACGCTGAATTCTTACATTAACCAGTAGGCGGATGGATCTGCCGTAGGAAGTGGAAACTCCCAGGTGGCCAAGCTCTGGAGCTCATGATCGCTGGCATAGCTGTGACGCTTGAAGATGAGAGATTCGGCCATGGTGTGGGGGTTGGTGTGTTGAACTTATCAATGTTTAATCTTGTCACTGTGGAGCTGGGAACTTCAAGTCTTGAGGCTTCCGTAGGGTCAAGTATTTTTTTTTTTTTTTTTAAGTACAGCAGTCGGCAGAGGGCGATATTAGGGGCGGTAGTAAAGCGGATAGCAACCCGAATCGCCAGTTAAAGTCGCCATGTTGAATTGCAACTCTACTGGAACCTGGAATATCAGGCATCTATGCTACTGGCGGAACTCCAGATGATTGCAGTGCTTCATGGGCGGCTGGAAATAGAGTAATTCCCAACTTCACCTGTACTTCGTACTGAGGTATTGGCATCCCCTTTTACCCATTTCCTGTGACCAAAATGACCCGATATTTTGACATATAGTTCACCATGAATATTCCAGATTTAGAGCCATCTACTCTCAACGTCGTCAATTCGGAGTAAATTGGTAGTTCTAGCCATGTAGTGTCTCGAGGGTCGAGGTGAAAGAAGCTATGTTCGCAGATTGATAGAGCCGATTCTCGAGCGACTCACCTACGCTATAATCATCACTTCGAACACAAGTCTGAATCCACAGACTCCCCTTTCAACATGGGCAAGAAACCCCTCCTCGATTCCTAAGTTTCCCTCCAACGTCAACGATTTCCTAAAGAGTCATGTCCTGCCTGCGAACCGGGACTACCGCCCTCGTTTTAGCTTTGAAGAGGCCGCAAGGCGAGAAATCCAAGTAGTTCCCCTCGACTTTATCACCGGCACGCCTCAAGCTTCCACTGATTTCGGGGGCACCTTCATTCGGCCTCTCCCCTCAGCAGACGTAGATGGCTTACTGGATATAAGACGAAACCCTGGCTATCCAACCCTCGTTTCAACGACGTCATTAATACCTCTCCCGACTGGCGCGCGCACTCGGCGTCAAGAAGCCAGTAGCCTCTGCGGCCTTATTAGCTACTACTTAATGCAGTGCCAAGACGCGGACGGTGGTCCATCAATTATACCAGGCTTTTCGAAGTGGCGGGACTTCGGGTTAGTAGATGCTATAACTCTATAACTCTTAGGAATGGTAATACTAACTTTATACTAGTCACGACATCATCCACCTTTCCCGGGACAGACGTGACGATATTAGTTGCGACTGGCATCTCCTAAATGTATGGCGCTACTGCGCTGAACCGCTGTCGCCGCTTACCTACGATGGATACATGGACCCTTCGAAGCCGCACACGGTCAGCTTTCTCGTCGACCACCAGGAATTGAAGGACAATTTTATCTCTACTAGTGAGCTCACGTCCATCTACTGGCTTGCGTGCCCGAGCGCGTCACCTCACGTATACGCTGAACATACACTTTTCCCTGTAAGCCATACTTCCCCTCAAGTCTATCTAGCCCTATACCACTAACACACATCTAGCAGGTCACTGTTCTGAGTGCGTCGTATCGGACAGTCCGCATCGTGCAGGGTGCGGTCAACATGCGCACTCGCGCAGTTGAGCTCCGGGTGTCGCAGCTTGTCTCCTTTGAGAATGGTATTAGAGCTGATGCCACGAGCTGGCGGAGGATTACGACTCTGCTTGGGTGGATTTTGGGAGAGCCGATTGGGCAAACAAAGCTAGAGTGACCCGGGGGGAGTTTGCCGTGTACTTTACATTGCTTACGCTTGAGATGACCCACGGCGTTTATGGCGCATAGAAACCTGGTTTTTTGGGACCCTCCTCTCGTCGGTCGGATGTAGCGCCTCCTCGGCAATGTGTTTCGTGACCAGTGCCATGGAATCCTCAAGGTCGTAGATAGCCGAGTCTGCAGCCAGCGAGCTGGACTGGGCGAGCATCTTGGAGGGCGACCCGGGAATTGCACCCTTGTACCTTTGTAAGCTTATAAAACCGCAAGTTCATGTCTAGGATGGTAGGAGCAAACTGTACGTACAGCAAGGCGCTCTGGACGGAAGCCGTTGCGCGAGCCATTGTCGACAAAATAGCAGCGTAGGATGCTGTGGAAAGATCGCTCCTCCTTCTAAGCGTCTTACAGGCCAACTCGGTTTGCTACATTCGAATCGGCCAAAGAAGAAGCCAGGCACAGGAAAACTCGCCCCCTTCCGTGCCTTGTCTCCATAGCAGCATCCTCAGAGGGTTTTGTGTGGAGGAAATTGTCGGCAGAGGGCCAGATTAGGGGCGGTAGTGAAGTGAACAGCAGCACTGAGCCCGAACAGACCAGTACAGCCTCCCATATCCGATCCGCCGGTCCAAGTCGAGTCCAAAATTGAGAGAGGCTTGCCTTTGTATTGTTGCAAGCTCTGCGCATCCGTCAAACCCACTAACAATTTTCAATCAAATGAGTAACCTCTGAGCCGTCAATTCTTGACAATGCAATGGGAACAAGACTACGAGGTACCGAGGTACCCCAGATCAGATAAGCCAGTTGCCCATCAACGATCAACGAGGGAATCGCGACTGGCGACCTGCGAACATGACGAAGTACTTTGTACACTACCATGTGCTGGGAGAGTACACAGGTACATACAAAACACCAAATGGTGCTCGATCCCATTGCCCGTCACATCTTCCAACACAGGGACAGGGACAGGGGACAGATTGATGTTCGTAACAACCTCCAACCTCTGCTACCCACCCCCGTTCAGCACAAACTCGAGTTTCTCAGGGTCTTCTTGTCTGACTCAACATTTTGAGCCTTCCATTAATTTCTTGCCAAGCATATTCATGCCATGGCATCGGCGTGGCCTGGCGTGGCCTGGCTGAGCGGTTTCTGGCGACTTGCACAGCCCACCCCTGGTCGTCTTGGCCTGGTATGTGCAAGGATTAATTGCCAGGATTGCAAGGAGCCTCACGGGCAGTGGAGAGCTCTGTCCCCAAGGCACGGTTTCAAGAATTGACGGCACAATGTATGAAGGACGAAGGACTCATCAAGGCGGCGGATCTCCTACGAAGTACTCCGTACCTTTGTACGATTGGGAAAGATGCGTCGAATTGAGGGTTAACAATTCCTAGTAATAATAATACCTGATCCATACATTAATTTTGCTGTCCGGACCAGGGCTCGACAAGCAGCAGAGCGGCACGGTATAGCCTGCCAGTACGGAGTACAGGCTTCGGCTCGACGTTCCTCAGTATATTTCTTTTCTTTACATCATTGTAAGTACGAACACGCAAAAAGGACAGAGTGGTGAAATGATTCAACTTCCACGTCGGGCTTTTTTCACCTCAATTCTACTCTCATGCCACCTGCCCAGTTCGGTACCAACATCCCCATCTCAATGGATCCCAAAACCCAGACCGGTCTCGACAGTCGACGCGCAAACACGCGCAGGAATCTCCGCCCATCCCCACCGAACTAATGCTGCATGAAACGACGACCAGCGCCACGTTCTAAATGCAGGTCTGTTCGCTTCGGGCTGAGCTTGGGTGGGGATGGGGAGAGGGGGGCAGTAGAAGCACAGGAGAAGCACACCACGCAGCAGCATCTCATTGTCCCATCTCGACCGAGGTTTGAAGTTTGCGAAACAGAGAGGGCGACACACCCATTCAATGGATCCCGGTCTGGTACCTGCAGGGCCAAGTGCAAAGTAAGAGATGGACAGACGGACAGACGGACAGACGCAGCAATCCAAGACATGTGAACCGCGTTCGAGGTAGAGACAAGAGAGAAAGAGCCGACTTTGAACACGCGATGAATGAAAAGAGTTTACCGTGGTTGACGACCCGACACAAGCATGCGCCATGCCCCGACGTTGCCAGTGACGAATCAACGAAGGTCCTGCTTGCCCGCCCCTGGTTACTTTCCGCCCACGACGGAACATGTTCCCCCTTGTCTACACTCCCTGTTGGACGTTCTCACGGGCCACTGTCTTGCTGTCTCGCTGGCGATGCCTCGGAAAGTATCGAGGATGGTCAGTCTACTTTCGTAATTAGTTGCAGGAATGGTATGCACAGAAGAAGGCAGAAGAAGCACTCGATAAGCGAAAATGCCATCTATTGGAAGTATATCGTAGAAGCGCTTTGGCCTAGAATTTCCCATTTATCCAGCCCGGGAACTGCAGGCCGCTTTCAACGAGAGACGAGCATTGGGCAGCTCTGGCCTGCCATTTTACACGGCAATCAGTTTTTGGATTGCTTTAGATGCCAACTTGAACTCATCGCATTCCTTCTCGCTCCCTCATCCTTAACAACGGCAGCAACTAACGACGCCAGTCGGCTTGTATATCCCTTCCTCTACCCTCAACTGCCGGGCGTTAGCACAGCTCATATCCCACCAGTTGAGCTTACCGACGACTCGCACCATTACCTCCCTTCATTCAATGTCAGGTTTAGCCAACACATGTGTGCGTCCAGGAGCTCTCCGGAAAATCCTCTTTGTGCAGACACCTCATGTATCATTCTCTGCCGCCCTTCCTCCACCCCGGTCCACCAGTCCCTAGGCTCGATTATTACAGAATAGAACCGAAATTTCAGCCTTAGTAAATATCGGGAGCACGGAACGAACGGGCTGGGACGGACTGCGACAACCACATGGACAAAACTAGCAGTTGGCCCTGTCTGAACGAAACAAAGGCCCCAGCTGCAAGGTACCACCCACGCCTAGCCGTGGGCATCGACGGATCCGGAATCGCGTCCACCTCACCCTCTCTCCTTCATGCATCCCATGTCTTCTGGGGTGGCTGAGAACATCCTGGCACTTACCACCCACCCCGGCGGCCCATTCGTCTCACTTCGTAGAGCCGATATCTTCCCGCTCCTACTACTACCTTGACCTGGTGTCGGATTTGCTTCCGTCTATATTTGAAATGTAATAACGATGCTACTAAATTGTTCTAAGAGATCCACGGAACCCGCCCCTCCCACATAACATGGTTTTCATATTCGACACCAAACAAAGACGAGAACTTCGTTCCTGCTCTGGCACACTATCTCTATCCATAGCCTAGCGACCTCTGGTCTACCTCTGCTGCTTCTCGGGGCTACTCTCTGCTCTACATGCCGACGGCATCAAGGAGATACAAGTTGTTTCGCGCCCATTATAGCATTCCAACACTTTATAGGTCCTCCGTCCCATATCCGCAATCGTCCTTGTGTAGCACTTAATTCTGTCGCCGTCATTCCCGCTTTGAAACTCCGTCTGATGATAGCTTTTCTCCAACTTTAAAAGGCAGGAAGAAGAGAGGAGACAGAGAGCAAGCGACGCACAGCACCTGAAATGGGGCATCCTTAGCCGACTTCGACTTCCATCTCGATGCCAGTCGTCTCTACCTTCTTTCCCCGAAGCAAAGAGCCAATTCCAGTTTTTGCGGGCCTCTTCATTGGCTCTTGTATCCTCCTCGCCCTCCCGTCCGTCTCGAGAGAAAAGTTGCGCTTCGCCGTCGAAGCCACCACCCTCACATGGCCGGGGTGGACGTCAATGAATACAACGGCGGCGTGCTCGTCGCTGTCTCCATAGCCTTTCTTACCCTCAGCTCGGTTTCGGTTCTCTTGCGAATCTATGTCCGGCAGTTTATGACGAATAGCTTCCAGCTGGACGACTGGTTCATGGTCCTTGGCCAGGTATGGTAATGCGATGCGATGTCGCGAGATGGATCTCTAGGATCCCCTTCTTAGGAGAGCGGCACTTTGGATTTCACGGCCAACTTCGATCAATGGCTGGGTATAACGGAGCTAACTTGTATATTTTCGCCGTCTAGATTGTTTTTATTCTTTCATGTGCCTTTATCCTAGTTGGTGTGAGACGTGGCCTTGGTCATCACAACGTCGCTCTTCCACAGGATGCCGAGATCGATTCTCTCATGGTATGTACTCTCACGCTGCCGATCCCACATAGAACCAAATGGTGATATTACGTCCGGGGCTTTGGAACCAGGGCTTCCCAAGCTAACCATTCTATATCCGTGTTTGTAGTGGCAAGCCCTGGCGACGGCAACCTATATCCTCGACATGATGTTCATCAAGCTTAGCATCGCCATCTTCCTAGTGCGACTGGCCGTACAGAAGGTCTACAAGTACATTCTCTGGGTCAGTCTGGTGGTTGTCACGATTTGGAGCATCGTCATCTTCTTCTGGAACATGTTCCAATGCGCTCCCGTCGCCGCGCAATGGGACTACACTATCCCCAATGGCAAGTGCGTCAATGCGGAGCAGATCGTGTCGGCGGCCTATTCGATTAGTGTCATGACTATCCTTACGGATTGGCTCTTCGTGAGTGCTCTTCCTACGCTGCGGTTCTTGATCACTGGTGGCAGGCTAACTGACAATACGCGCTGTCTCTTCCTACACAGGCTCTATTACCGATTCCCATGCTCTGGAAGGTGAAAATGACGAAGCAGACAAAACTCACCGTTATTTTTATCCTTGGACTCGGTATCTTGTATGGTTGCGCTTTTGCTTCTCCAGTTCTCTGTCCGTCATGTTATCCCTAACTAATGCTATGTCTTCTGCCTGCAATAGTGCGAGCATTGCAACTCTTATTCGACTGAAGTTCCTCGCTAATCTCACCGACACCGAGGACATACTATGTTCGTAGCCCGCCCGTCAGCCATAAACGCGTATTCTAACATCTTCTATAGTTGCCGGTACTGATGCTATGATGTGGACCCTCATCGAGCCCGGCGTCGCCATCATCGCCGCCAGTCTCGCCACCACCCGACCCCTCCTCCGCGCCATGCGCCTCAAGGGCTTCGAGTCGACCGGTCGCACAGGCAAGAGCGCCGACGTCCGATCCGGCGTCTCGAACCGCTCGCGTCAGCACACTATAGACGATATAGAAAGCCGCATAGCAAACTCAAAGCACGCGGATCGTATAGAAATGAGGCCTCTACCAGGTCACGACAACTTTAGCCCCACACGCGACCGATTCGGTTCCGCCGTGGACATGCCCAACATGCCGGGGATCGCGATCACGACGGACCAGACCGAGCGGCTCGGGCAGGATTCGAGAACGCGCCGCGCGACTAGCGAAATGTTCGTGATAGAGGGCGAGAGGACGAAATGGACGCATGAGGATTCGCGGCTTAGCACCGCAACGCCATATTCGGACGAGGGGGCCTCGACGAGGACGTCTTCGATGGATATCATTGGGATGAACCCTACGGGCCAGCATGGGCCCCTCAGTCATAGTACTGGTGGGCGATGAGCGTAGTATCCTCTTCGAAAATTATACATTCTTGACTGGCTTTGTTGGGCCTGGGCTTTTTTTTTTTCTTTCCCTTTTCAACCTGGGAGTTTTACGGTGGGCAGTTTTTGAAAAACATTTTACGACTAGCGATAGAACAAAAGCCCTGGGGAAAGTTCCGGCAGCGAATTGGCATGGCTACGACCACATGCCTCTATGTATATTCTTGTTGGAGTGTGGAGGGGACTCCATGTATCACGAAATGCTTGAGGGAGAGAGGGTTGCTTGACATGTTGGGGAGACTTGAAAAGAAGCTAGCTGGCGAGTTGCAGAAAGACTGCGCCTTATGGGCAACGCATGAATTGATACCCTAGATCGATTTAAGAATACTCACACCGCCTCCTCCACATCAAATGTCCTCAACTATTATCAAAAGGGGCACTTCTGATACAGGGCCTCCGCCTCTGCGTAGGCGTCATATCCGTACAAAAACCTCTGCACCCTCGGACAAGTCCACCTCGAAGGAAAGTCCCCCGGCACCACCCCAGTTCTCAACGCCTGCAACATGACTTCATCCCTCATAACCTGCTCCTCCCCATCAGGAAGATGAAAGTCCTCCCGCTGCCTAAACGACTCCTTCTGTATCTCCATGCCCCTATTCCTCCTCAGAGCTTGATACATAGCCGCAACCCGTGGCAATTGCACGCCCATAGACCCCCGCCTCACCTTCCCAAGCAGATATCCGAGCACGGCGCCATCCTCCAACGCGGAGTTAGCCCCCTGCGCAAGGTAAGGAAGCATAGGATGACAGCTATCGCCAAGCATGAAGAACCTCCCGTCCTCGGAGGTCCATTCGTCCAGCGCCTCGACCCAGAGGAGCCGCCACCTCTGTACGGACTCGACCTCGTCGAGAATCTTCAAGAGGAACGGATCCCAGCCCTTGAACAGGTCGCGCATCTCTTCGGGGTTAGCGTCAACTTTGATGACTCCAGGGGGTAAGTCGTCGGGTTTTAAAAGACCGACGTTGAGGATGGAACCGCCGCGCACAGCGTACGAAACAGCGTGACCCCCCGGCCCGATCCAAAAGTTGACGGCCTCAGACTTCGCGAAAGCCGCAATCTCATCCCGCCAGGGTCCCTTCAAATTCTTCGTCTCCAGCGAAATCCGATACGCTAGATCCCCCGTCGGCAAAGGCTCGGACTCCCTCCCCAGGAACTTACTCCTCGTACAGCTCCACAGACCCTCGGCGCAAATGGCGACGTCTCCTTCCACCTTCTCGCCATCCTCAAACTTCACTGCTACCTTAGTTTTGGCTGCGCCTGCGGGGCCGAAATCTACGTCCGCGACCCGCCGGTTGAGCTCGATCCGCACCCCAAGCTCTCGACACCGCCGGACAAGCTCCCGCTGGAGATCCACGCGGTGAAGATCCCAGAAGGGCGAGCCGTAGCGCGAATCCATGACTTCGCGCATCGAGGGCTCGTGCGCGAGGATCTTGGTGCCGTCGTAGCGGCGGACGGTGAGGGTGCGGGGTTCCATTGCGTCCGGGGAGAGGGCGTCGAAGATGTTCCATTTTTGGAGGAGTTTGGTCGCGTTGGGTGTTATCTGGAGGCCGGCGCCGATCTCTTGGAGGACTTTGGCTGCTTCGAAGACGGTGACCTGGTGGGATGGGTTGGCGAGCTTGGTCGAGAGGGATACGGCGAGCCCGGCTAGGCCTGCGCCTATGACAAGGATTTGGATCCCATCTGGGTCCGGTGGTGCTGCGCCGTCTCTTGTCATTTTGAGAGGCGCAATCTGAGGAAGAGATGCAGCGATGTCGCTAGTGCCTCCTAGTCGTGTGAATCCTTGTCTGTGTTAGTATCCTGTCTGGTTCTCACCCAGAACGAGAAAACGGATCGATAGAATTAATTTACTTCTGGACCCTTGGCCCCCGACATTAAAACACCCTTCTCGGCGCTGCAAGTGGGGAAGGCCGAGAGAGATCCCGGATGGCTGCAGATCACCGTGAGCAGGCGCCGTGATCGACACATGAATAAGACAGACAGGAAATAGGGGATCCTCCTACCAGGGTATCAAAACGTTTTATCTTCAATTCCCAATTCTATGGAGGATTCCTATTAAAAACGCCCTATACTCCTTGCACCTTGAGAAGCAGAAATTATCATCCAGCCGGGGTCTTCTCCTTAAAGCTGGAGGTACTTTTATGATACATATTACCCCCTTCCCTTTTCCAATCATCCTAACGAAAGGGAGCAAACAAACCGCATCGGACACCTGGATTCGTGCATTGCGGAGAAGACGAAGGGAAGACGGCTTGGAGAATTCTAGGCGTCATCCTCAGCTGGCGCTTTCAAATCCTCCTCGTCTACGACCCACTCCTCCTGCTCTTCGTAAATCGGTCCAAAGTTGAATTTGCCAAGGAGGGTTCCCATGGCAATGGCGCGACCGGCATACTGGTCCTGTCCGACCTTCTTCGCTTCGTCTTCCTCGATAAGCATGTACGAGGTGACACCGGAAGACTTGATGCCGCGGCTCATTCGGTACTTGATGCCTCCGTAGTCGAGCTCGGCCTTGCCGGACTTGCGAATGATGAGCTTGCCCACGAAGCCGCCGTACTTGAAGGGGTTAGATTCGTCAATATCTGCGTCCGCGTTCGCGTTCTCGTCGCTGGCCTTGGTCGTGTCCCCGGTTAGGTCTACGGAGGGCTGATCGAGCATCACCGTATCCGTGGGTTCATCCTTAATTTGAGGACCAGGACGGACTTTTGGACGTAGGGGAGGCATGATGGGGCCAAACTTGCAGAGGAATGGCTGGGGATCGTTAAGAGCGTTGGCAGCTTCTTCGTCCTCTGCACCATCCTCGGCGTCACTATCACGCAGAGACGCGGCAGCCAGAGTTCGGAGGACATATTGGTAAGACTCTTGTCTCCATTCCTCCTCGTCCGTCAAAGGCGCTCCAGACTTCTTAGTCTTGCGCGAGGGCTTCGCTCCGTCGGAATCGGTCATAGAAATAGGTTTAGACTCGTCGCCTGTAGCTTCCGAGCCAGTGTCCCCAGAATGCTGGGGAAGGGGAACCTTTCTCATCGAATCAAAGTCGATGTCACCGGGGGGTGGGATGATGCTGCGCAATTCGCCGTCCTCGGTCTTAACCTGGACGTGGTCTTCAGGCGCGGCAGACCAGACTTTGTCATCGGCTTGGGGCATAGCGGGAGGACTCTCGGGAGAGTCTCCGACATATAGGTTCTCGTCATCTTCTTCCTTCATCTGGGCCTCGAGCTCGGCGGTTGTGACAACGACGGTCTCGGGTTCCTTTACTTCCCTACGGGCAATGCCAAGGGGCTTCGGTCCGGGCTGCGAGTTGACGGCCATAAAGGTCATTTCCTCCTCCTCAGCGTTTTCTTGATCTTGAGATGAGGGAGTAGATGAGCCGAGCTTGTCGGTATTGATGCGCATCTCCCAGGGCCGTTCGATGCTCTCGAAGTTATAGCCGCGACCACGACCTCGTCCGCCGCCACGGGGGAAGAAACCGGCTTGGCCACCGCCGAAGCCAAATCCTCCACGTGAAGAGCCGGGAACTACATAGAAAAGAAGAAGGCAAGGGTTAGCAAAGTACCAGAAGTAAGTAGAAACTGCGACAGCGAGTGGGTACAGGGCATACGAACCTCCTTGCTGTCCCGCAAATAAGGCTGAGGGCTCCGCTTTGCTGATACGGGGACCGGTGGTATTGAATCGACTACCGCGACCACGTCGACCACGGAAGCGAAGTCGCCCTCTCAGCCTCCGTTCCTCGGCGGCGCGTTCGGAGTCTTTCTTGGCCTCCTGCTGGGCAAGCTTCTCTCGCTCTTCTTCGTTCCTTCGAACAACCTTGGGTCGTAGCCTCAATGAGGAGCCCGCTGTCTTGGATGCTCCGCGCGTATTCGTCGAAGTTGAAGCCTGGGGCTGGGTCTGGATGGTAGAGCTCGAGCTCGATGACTCGGGAAGCGTAGCGGAAGCGGTAGTGGCTGGACGGGGAATGGGCGTCGCGGAAGACGAAGGTGATGCAGAGGTCGGGTCTGGAGCGGTGGGCGTTGAGGTAGAGGCGCGAGTATTGGCACTGGCAGCGGCGGCTCTACCCCGACCGCGAGGCCGCCCTCGACCGCCGGAAGGAGCGCCTCGAACCATTGTTGCGGTGCGACGTCACTAACTTCACACACACGTACTGCAGTGTACTGTTAGTATCTCGCAGGCATTTGTGAAGGTGGTGGTGCAGGATTTAATTGAATAATTGAATAGGTAGGTTGTGCTTCTTGTGCGATAGTGCTTTGTTTAGCTGTCTGGGGTGTTGAGGAGTCCCAAGCTTCGAAGAGAATGTGTATCGTTTAGAAAAAAGATGGGAAAAAAAAAACTATTTTCTATTGATGACTGTAAATCAGAATCACTGGAGCTTGGAGGGGCTGCGGGGTAAAATTATCCCTAGAACAATTGAGCTTGGGGCATTGGAGCACTGATCAAAGTACCTGGGTACCTTGATTTGTACTTGTACAGGGATCAAGACACAAGCCTGTAGGACCAAACCAGGCTTGGGTGGGGGCCAGTTGTCCCCAGATGAGAACTGCAGCAAGGTCAGGATTATGATTCAAGACCTGTGTACCTTTTGTATTGCTTCACAATGTACCAAGTAGCACTCGTGCACACCTCGGTAGACTTGATAACATCAATCCTAACCCAGCTACCGCACACAGAACAAAGCCTCGTCCCCAAAGTTTGCTGCTATGCTCCCTTCCTTGATAATCATCGAACCTATCCACCGTCGTCCTACCTCCACAGTGGCCGCGCCAAACTTGACAATGACACAGCCACGCACACTGGCGGCGCACCATAATATGCCCTCCTCCTTCTCCATTGCTAACCGCCCAGCCCTCCACGATTCCAGTTCCGACTCTGGTGTATTTTCCGAGCCTTTCGCATTTGTCGACTTGAAACCACGGGCTCCTAGGCGAGGGAGCGCGGCGAATTCAGACAGAAAGAAGCCCGCGAGAGATGACACTAGGTCTCCTCGAAGAATGAGCGTGCCAAATACGGCTTGCTGATGCATGACATCCTTGAGCGGCCTGTCCGTGAGCAGCTGATCCCTTCCATTGAGCTTCACTGCGTCTCGTACAAGCAGTCTTCCTTTATCCCCTTCGCTCTTGCTTGCCTGCCATATCTCGTTTCGACCATGCCACTTCACGAAACTCCAGTTCTCTCCTCTGGCAGATCGTCCCTGGGTGACCCAGTCTAATAGGCATACCGATCCCGTCTCAGCAACTGTGAAGGCCTGCACTTGTTCGTAAACGCTGTCCCTGAAGGGCTGGACGGGATCCGGGAGTAGGCATATCGATGCGCCGTCTTGGACGCTGATTGTGAGATTTTGTCTCGTAACAATGTCTGGGCTAGCCGACTTGAACACCTTGGTGTGGCCTTGCGTTACCAGGCTTAGCTTGGCATTTGAGCAGACGTCTATCGTGAGATTCACCTGATCGCCTCCGACCAGTCCTCCACCGTAGGAGAGCAAGAAGACCGAAGCGCTGCGATGGTGAGGCGCGGGTTTCGGCGCGATGAGCTTGAGGGGATACTGATATTCGGTCGTCTCGAGTCCAGTGGCCCCGTCTGGTAAGAGCTTTGCGACAATTCGACCGTGGCCTGGACGTGACGAGGATTTGGGGAAGGGCGATGCCATTGATTGATTGGTATTAGTCGCATCACCACTATGCACAGGGTATGTACGCTCTTAAATTGGTGGATGGGGGAGAATGAGGGATGGTGGAAACGGATGGATCTGCCAAGATCCGGGGTTAATCCCCTCTTCTTCTTTCTTGTTTCTTTGCTCTTTCTTGTTTGCTTTTCCGAGACGTGAACTTCGGGAGGTTGTTTTGGTTCTCGGGGTCGAGATTCGAGATTCAAGATTAGCCCCTTCTAAACTTGTTTGGTAATAAACTAATACGAAGTACACACTACGCAGTTGGGCGGCTTATCGGCTTCCGCAACAGCCCTGGCGCTATCAAATCAATTACGACTCAGCAGCGACTCAATAAGGTGAGCCTCTGAGCCAGTCTGTCTCTGACACAGGCACGGTGGGGTCCGCTCTGGCTATCATTCAGTGCATTGTCTTGGAGAGCACACTGGACGTCGCCAGTACAGTGCGGGTCTGGTAAAAGAGCCACATCTAAACGGTGTACTTGGGCACTCGTACCTTGCAGGGTCTCTTCTGCTGTCTGTTCGCAACCCAGTATTGAGTACCTGCTCGCTGTGCCTCGTGCCTTAGTACCTCCTCACAAGCAGTTGTGCCTGTGTACGAAGTACTTCGTACTTTGTACTCGCATTATCCTTGATTCTTCCCCAAGTCGACAAGTCCCGTTGTACTTTTTAGTGGCCAGAAATAATAAAGTGGAGCGCCTTATTTGGACAAATCACACAACTCCGCCGCCCACAGTTTCTCTCCGTCTCAACGCGACGCAGGAAACATTAAACCTTCCCATTTCCGCCCGCCGCACACCGCACACCACTACACAGACACATACCCCCCCTTCCTCTGTCGCCCTCATCCACCACTGGTGACATCGCCGTCATCGAACCCGCGCGACCCTCGTCGCCTTATTTGGATGCTATCGACACGACTTCCATTGCGTGAAACCATGAACTCTAACGCGAGCCCGAGCCAGTCCCCCGGTCCCGAATCGTCGCGTCGCCGATCCGGACGCGTCGTCAAAGCCCCTCAGAACTTTCTCGCCGACGCTGCCGCCGCGCAATACTCCGCCGCCAAACGCAAGAGGGGAATTGATCAGGAAGGTGATGATGTCGAAAACGAAGCTCCCGTCGCCTCTGACGAGGAAATGTCGGACGACCAGGATGACGACGCGAGTGATGATGTTGATACCGAGAACGATGATGACCATTCTCCCCCTTCTCGTCGGAAGACAGCGAAGAACAAGAAAGCTTCTAAGCCGAGCCGTCCGAGGAAACCTGCAAATAAAAGAGTAAAGACAAACGGCGCGTCAACTACCATCGCGGGACACCCTTCCAGCCTTCCCAGCCGACCCAAGAAGACTGTAAGGATTGAGCGCTTGCCCGAGGATGGAACAGGTCTCTTCGGTTCGTCACCCCAGCTCATTCTTGAAGCCTTCCTCCCCCTTACCAATGATCTGCCTTTTCTTGTTCCTCATTCTTTTCCATTGTGCACTTACTGCTCTGGACTCTGGACACGCCCCGGGTTTGATTGAGACTGAGACTGACCTTATTCCCCTCCCCCACAGCCGAGATATTCGGATCTGGCGATTCGTCCGATTCTGTCGCCGAGCAGTGGCTCACGAGGTACCGCGCCGACGAATGTGCTGCGGTAACCGAGCTGGTGAACTGTGTTCTCCAATGCAGCGGATGCGATCTTTCCGTGACCGAAGATGATATTCGAGACCCTGACAATTGTCAGAATCGCATAGCCGACATCCAGAGTGTCTGGCAAGATGTAAGCCGATCCACCGCCCACCCGCGCTCAATGCTTTCCCCTTCCTGCTCCAGCCCTCCATGTCGCTAGTGTTGTGAAAATTGGAAGAGGGGAGCGAAGAAGTCCTGCGAACTAACCTGGCATTTCATGCAGCAACAAATTACCGACTACCCCTTGATTTCCAAAGCCAAGAGCACGAAATCCTTCCGCGACCTGCTCAACGGCTTCTTCACCTCTCTTGTTAACCTCCTACACACCACCGACGTACTGTACAACGACGAATCCTTGATGGACAACATCCATAGATGGGTAGCCACAATGTCGTCCTCTACTCTCCGCCCCTTCAGACACACTGCCACTACTATTGCCCTCGCCCTTCAAGCCGGCCTCGTCGAAGTCGCCGCGATCCTTGACCACAGAATTACTAGCGTAGAGCAGCAGCTCCAAGCGAGCAAGCGAGGAAAGAACAAGGCCAAGACTCAGGCAATGCAGCAAGCCCTCGACGAAGCTAACAACTATCGCGAGATCTGCGGAAACTATATTAGAGACTTCTTCGATACAGTCTTTGTGCACCGATATCGCGACATCGATCCGAAAATTCGCACCGAATGCGTCGAGGCCCTCGGCTACTGGATCTGGGAGCTCCCAACCGTCTTCATGGAGCCTGAATATCTGCGATACCTCGGCTGGATGCTGACTGATGCCATGCATTCCACCCGCCACGAGGTCTTGAAGCAGTTGACTAGGATGTTCAAACGCGACGCTTCGCAGCTGGGCCATTTCATCGACCGGTTCCGGCCCCGCCTCGTCGAAATTGCCACCAAGGACGCCGACGTGTCCGTGAGAGTTTCCGCCATCTCCGTAATCGAAACGTTAAGAGAGAACGGTATGCTCGAACCGGATGAGATCGACAGCGTTGGAAAGCTCATATTCGACAGCGACCTCCGAGTGCGCAAGGCCGTTGTGGGCTTCTTCACTGCCTGCGTGCAGGATCTTGTTGATGCCAAAGTCGAAGAGGTGGGCGGCAGCGATGCCGTGGAAGAGGCGTTTGGCTCTGTCGAAGTCGACGATTATGAGACGCCGCGCCAGGAATGGATCCATATCAAGTGTCTCGCCGAGAATCTGGCCGCGTACGACGCGCAGATCGAGGCGTCAGGCCAGCAGGATCCACCAGCCCCTCTAGACATCTCCGCCACCTTATTACAAGCCGCAGTGCCCGATACCAGGATTTCACTTGCCGCCCAAGTCCTCTATGAGAAGATGGCCGAGGTGAAGGACTGGGAGGCCGTTGCCGGCTACCTACTATATGATCACACAACCAGCGCCAAGTCTAGATCTAAGAGAGGCAAGGCTAGCGTTGAGGAGGCGGTTAAAGCTGCCGTTGCGCCCACCGAAGAAGAAGAGGCTATTCTCCTCGAAATCATGGCAGCCGCTGCGAAGCTCAGCTTACACCCCACCGGCCACCACGACCATACCAAGAAGCGCACGAAAGCGGATCTTGCCGAGGATGCCGAAGATACCGCTGTTCAGCTGGCGACCACGATACCGCGCCTCTTGAACAAGTTTGGCGCTGATCCGGACACGGCGACCTTGGTACTGAGGCTGGAGCATGTTCTCGATCTCGACTTGTTCCCCTCCCTGCGGCAAGATTCCAACAAATACGAGAAGCTCTTGGACGAGATTAGCACTCAGTTCAACAGGCATCACGACAGGCGAGTCCTCGCAGAAGCGACCAAGGCGCTCCTACATGCTCGCCAGTACGACGAGCTGGAGGAGTTGACGGACGGTCGCTTGGCCGCCCTTTGGGAGAACGTCGTCGAGGCCCTTCGCAACTTTGACAAGTACTGCGAACTCTCTAGCCGGGGCAATCTCGACGTCGATAGGTTAACGGAACTGGGGACCGTCCTGGCCAAGATTTCGAAGCTTGCCAGCATCTCGGACTGCATCGATGTGCTCGAGACCGAAGGGCGATCCGCAGACTCGTCTGCCTCGGTCATCAATTTGCTGGTGGAGATTGTGCACAGGGGCAAGTTCGATCAATCGGACCCGGACTTTGACGAAGCCGAGGACCAAGTCGTCGGGTTTGCGATAGAAGGCTGCCAGTTTTATTTCATGTGGAAGATTCGATCCATCCTGAGGCTCATCGGCAGTGGAAGCCAAGTGCCCACGAAAGACATGGAGGCCCTCTCCTACCTCAAGGAAAAGTACCGACGAAACCTCATCGTATCCTTCACGACGCGCACGGCGGTCGACGAGCTCTGCCGCAGCGCCACGGGCAGCTTCTGCGACTTCCACGTCCTGCTCAGCCAGCTGCGCCCCGTAGTCGAGAACACCACGACCGAAGCGTGGAAGGCCCAGAACCTCGACCGCGTGGCCGGCCTCGTGTCTGACATTGAACCGAGCCTAGTCAAGGAGCTCACGGCCATCTTCGAGAGCGTCGAGAAGCACTACGCCAAGCTGACGAAGCGGGTGCTCAACGAGCCGGCGGAGGACGAGGACCCCATCGACTTTGAGGACGAGGATGAAGATGACGAAGACGATCGGCTCTCGCCCGCCGAGAGGCTGTCGGCGCAGCTTCAGGCTGAGAAGCACCTCTGTGAGCTGACGGGGAAGCTCGTGCTCGCCATCTCGGCAAAGGTGCTTGATCACACGCCCGGTCAGCGGCTCAAGAGGCGTCTTGAGAGGAATGCTACGCGTCTGGGCAACAACTACAAGGAGATCGTGGCGTACCTGGACGAGGCTAAGGTCGCTGCCCTGCTGTCCGGCAAGAAGAAGGGAGGAGACAGGCAGAAGAAGGCGGCGCCGGCGACGAACGCCACGAATGCGGCGGCCCCTCGCGGAAAACCCTCTCCGAAGAGTGCCGAGATGGTCGTTGACGATGACGATGACGACGAGGAGGAGAATGAGGAGGATATCCTCGCCGCACCCGAAGATGATGAGGAAGAGGAGGCCGAGCAAGAAGAGAGTGAGCCCGAGGCCCCTCCTCAGGATGATGCTGATGACGAGTCGATCCTGGGTGATTAGGCGCTCATCCGTTGAAACGTCTCTTTGTCCTTTTATCTGTTTCCTCTTTCTCTCTCTCTCTCTGTGTCTCTTTTGTACTTCTGAGCCGAAACAAAACTCATGATTGGATGGAGGGTTTAAAAGAAGAAAAAAGGGGTTTGAACTATGTTCCTGGTTTGCTTTCCTGTCCGACTTCGATGGGTTTCTACCCATCTGGGATATTCGATTTTCATGCGATTATTTCTTTTCCTTCTTCATGTTTATTTTTTTTTTGTTCCCCTTCTTTTGTTTTTGTTACGTTGAATCCTTTCTTGTCTCGGGTATAATGTCTGGTCTAGTCGAACGGCGGCAGCAGTGGTTGGCAGTTTCTTCTTTCCCCTTCTTTCCTTTTCCTTTCTTTTTTTTTTTCTTGTTGGACGAGAATGGGTTTGGTTTTCGTCTTTTGACGTCCTTGTTTCTTTTTTACTCGCCCTTCTTTTCTTTTCTCTTTCGTCAGACTCTCTATTTCTTATTGGGGATCAAGAAGGGATGAGGAACAAAAAAAAAAAAAAAAAAGGAAAAAAGAAGATGGCGATCCTTTGTATAGCTGGTTGATCGGAACTGTATTCCCCAATCTTCTACAGAGGCCATTGTTCTCTTCCTCGATAAGAAAAACGGGAGCTTGACGGAACGAGGGAGCAGGGTGGGCCGAATGGAGTTCATAGGAGTCTGAAGGTGTTTGATGTATTTTACTATTTTACAGTCTTTTTATGTCTGCTTGAATGAAACGATAGCGTTCGCCCTTCGTTCGTGTCAACTCTCATGTCTTCCACCTCTGCCTTGGTTGAAGAAGCACCCTGAAGCACCCCTGATCAAAACTGTTTCTCTAGATAGGATATCAAATACATTTCAGGGAAAGACAAATGAACATGATCCCATCACCCTGCGCCTCCCCAGAACCTTTTAAACGCCGGTAAGAAAACAAAAAGGACACTTGTCGAGCTTTCTGCAGTTCAAATCAAAGGGGAGATCCTAGTTCCGAAAAGTCCGAAACATCTCTCCCAACGAAACCCCTCTCCAGCATCTGCCTTGTCAGCATCCGCTTCGGCCACCTTGATGCCAAATTGACGGATGCAGCAGGGGAAGGGTTTGTTCACCAGCGGATTAATTGCTTCAGAAAGTCTTTTAGACGATTGACTGCCGCGTCCATGATCCTGAGATAGTTCACCGTCTGAGCTATCGGGTGGCAAGCCGTCCTGATCCTTATTCTTCCCTGTCCTGGCTGTTTCCTTCTCGGATGATTTCGCCAACTGCAGCTTGCGCTCTTCTAGGTTACCCCATAGTCTGGCGAGCCGTGTTCGCAAGTTGGCTAGACCTTGGTTGTCCGAACGAAGACTACTTTTCGTTAACACTTATTCCTAGGTAGGGTTTTCTGGATGGGGTAGTTTCCACCTACTTCGATGCGTTAAGATCCGTCAGGCATTCAGCGTCGGCGTTGCTCACGTAGACCCAGGCTCGTTCCGGCTTCGATCGCGCCTGAGGAGACGCGTCCTCCAGTTGAAGGGCGAACCGCCACTCCCACCTTCTCTTGCCATCCGGAGTCCCATGTGCATCGGAATCTTCGTCGTCATCATTGCTAGAAATGCCCGACAGAGCATCGTATTCCGTGACCTTGCGGGAATATGAAAAGTCTTCAAGCTTTTGGGGAAAAAAGTCCGTGACTCGGGCTATAACCCGATACTTGGCATTATTGAAAGGGATCGGTATCCTCATGGGGCTATCAACGCCGTCTAGAGACAGGTTATAATACACGGTCTTGACCATGGATAAAATAGTCGATATGGGGACGTCGACGTTTTCGCAAGACACTGATGAGCAATGAGAATCGCGATTTTGAAGAGAAAGTAAGATTCCACGAAACGGTGGCAGAAACGGAAAGCTGGCCTACTTACCATCAGGGTTTAGGTCGAGCACTTCCTGACTCTCCCGTTCTTTTACCATCTTGTTGGCGCGTTCCATTACACGCCGCACCTTACAGCTCAACCGCGCCGTTGATTCGTCGTCCTCTGCACGGCGCTTTTTAAACTTCTGGTTCGCAGCATTTTTCCCAGGCTGGCGGTTCTTGTTGCGTTCGTAGACATACTTTCGACGGATAGCATTCTTTAGGCGCTGGTCCATAGTATCGCCATCAGCTAGATGGTCGAGCACTTCGGCGCCGACCTTGGAATGACTTCTCCGATCCTCTCTTAAGTAGCCCTCTAGATTCGCATTGTTCCTCCCGTATTTGACTTGCACATTCCGCAAGGAGACCCAAGAGCCAGCCTTGGCTTTGGTCCGCAATACGGTGGCATGAGGCTCCCAGCAAGTTATCTGCATCGACATCTTGCCTACAGGACCTGCGCCGGCACTCTCCTGAGTTGCCGGATATGCAGTGTTAGCATATCCCATAGGTTCGCCATAGACAGACCCCTCCGAGCCTTCTTCTGAAAAATGGTAGAAGGCCGGGTTTTCGGTGTAGTCGGTCACCCAGATCGTGATTGAATCACCAAGGTCATACGGCCGTCGGACGACTCGAACAATGAGGTCGTAGAAGTTTCCCGGGCGTAGGTCTTTTAGCTGCTCGTACTTTCGTTTAACGTTGACGGCCTGTTTAGCCATCTCCTGGAAGCTTGCTACGTCCGGTACTCGCCCTTTGTCGATTGTATAGTACAAGGCGGAGACATAATTGAGGACGTCCTGGCTGGGCAGGGTATTGTTAGATGTCCTAAGGGCGCGGGAGGGACAGCCAGGGGGTTTGGGGATTAGGGATGCGCGAAAGACGTGGATACGGGTAGAACGATTAGTTAATATCGACAATGAATTCATGCCGTGGCGTTGAACCTGTTTGCCATGATTAGCTACGTGGAGTCGCAGAACAGACGGACAACGTTAATCCCACATACTCTAGCGCTTTGCACGTAAACGACATCACCAGCGCCAACGTCTGGCATTAGATCTCTTGGTCTGAAAATGGTGAAGATGAAGTCATCATCGCCATGTTGCGTCGATAGGTCAAAGAGGAGAATTGACGCCTTCCAGTCTATGTGAAAATTAAGCGACAGCATGTCGATATTAGTTCGCCGGAAATGCAATCTCAAGGAATATTCGTATCTTCATCAAGTTGAGCGGACTTACCAGCACCGCGGGTTTCGACGGGGGGACGAAAGTCCCTGACAAGTCCGATCACATTGACGAGCTGCTGCGGATCTACTTTCTCGTCAAGTATGTCACATATCGGGATGATTTGCCGCGGAAGGACAAGTGTCGATGAGGATGGCAAGCCCGAGGATGAAGTCATGATGGGTGGTTCAGCTCTTTGATTGTAGGATAGGCACTTCAACATAGCATCGGGACCGTGTCAAGATTCCGGCATGCCTTGCCGAAAGTCTAAAGAGAATGGGAAGAATGACAAGCACCCGTCGAAGGAGTGGTGGTGAATTAATCGCCGAGTGTGAACGATGGGGCTTGGGACGCGAAGTGCAGACTGCAGGCGCAAACGATGAGTGAAAGATAAGATTGAGACGCGACAGAGGTTCAGGCGATGCGACAGCTAAGCCGTGCGTGTCAATTACAGGATATCGTGGATAAGGCGGTGAGATACTAGAGCTACGAGGAGCGAGGCTCGTACGATCTCAGAAGAGTTTGGGAGGGAGGTGCCATAGGTGCCATATCAATCCTGCCTTGCAAGACGACGACACTCGATACGCGATCCAGCCTTGCTTTGTATTACACGGAAGTCGCGATGGCTGCTGGAGTGCTCTGCGCGAAAGCACGTGCTGGACAGGCCTAAAAGCCAAGCAAAGGGAAGGGGGAAATAAAACGGCCTGGAAAGTCCAGCCCTGATGTGGGCACACAGTACGAAGTATGAAGAGCGTGCAGCTTAACAGCTGCCAGCCCCTCATTGCTGGGCTCGAGCTCAGAACCCTCAATGGACAAAGGTAGTGTACGTACCACAAAGACAATCAAAGCGCGGGGTCCTCAAGTTCTAACTTAGCGAAGTACCTCTCCCGCCAGTGATGTCAGAACTTGGTGGAGATTGCACTCTCCCACTTTTCTCTCTTTTACTTCGTCCCTACTATAACAATGCAGTAGAGCCATCAATAGTGTTAAGAAATACTATCCTAGATCTACCGAGACTGAGCTCGAAGGAATCTTCTTGGCTGATTGGTCGTATGTAGTCGAATGACAATTCACCACTACTTGATGTTAGACTGGACAGCCAAGATTCCCCTCAAGCGCTGTGACAAACACATGCCAAACTGTTTAGTGTGTGAAGCACGTGCTTCATTAATTCAGCGAGTGCGAAACTGAGTCTTCCAGTGGATTCGTCAGACTGGCGGGGGACTGGAATCTCATATGATGGAGACTTCGGAGATATCAATCCATAGGATTCGTGGATCCAGACTCTGTCAAATGGGAGCCTCCAGTGTCAAAGGTGGTCCCAATGTCACTTTCCAGCATCAGGGTTGAGTCCGAAGTCTGAATGGTGTCTTCCACACTGTCTCGCGGATTGTTCTCACAGTCAAATGGTTTGGAAGGTCTGACCGCTCTTCCTCGAAGCTTCCTTCCAGGCGTGGCAGCAAAGACAGTAAGTGAAGTGTCCGGGCAGTACTTATAATTGTACTTCGTACTTCAATGTTGTTTCATACTTAGTAAACGCTGGGGAGAATACACAGGTAATAGACGAGACGGTGGTAGACTCGACGTACAGCGAAACGAGAAGAAAGAGCGCTGCATGATCAATTTCTGCTTGGGATACTCTGATACCTGGGAAGGAGTGTTCCAACACACCAACCCAAACACCAAAGCCAGCAGGATACAATTGTACAATATTTATGGGTCCTACCGTTCGAGCCTAGTATTGATTTTCGTAGATTCTAATTATTGTCAAAGTCCCTCAAGATCAATTGGTCTTGGACTCTTGGTCATATGTTGGCTCCTCACTCCTCAGGCAAGAATACCCCGCCAACGCCCCCCAAACCGGCATAAAAAAACCTTCACCAACGGTGGACCACCAAATCTCCCCAGTAACAAAAACAGTACAATTGTACTTTGCAACAAAATATCCTGCCCATTTTGTAGTGTTGAAATTTGGGGTCCCTCCTTCTCTCCCCACTCGACTCAACTTCTCTCTTCTCTCTCCTTCCTTTACTTCCTTCCTCGTCTCATCGACGTTTTTCTTTTCTCCATCTCTCTCCCGACTTCATTCCCATTCTGCCTTGATCTGTGACCCGAGGAGCATCTTTTTCTACTCTTCTTAATTACATCTTGTTTCCTACTTTCCGCGGAATAATCTTCGCCCCAAAACGAGCCTCCTGAACAGCCCGCCCGCTCTAGGACACACCTCGCCAAACTCCCACCAAGTCGCCGCCGTCCAATCAGCACGATTCTTTCAACTCCCCCCCTTTCCTTTCCCAAGGAAAATACCAAGAAAAACCTTGAACCGGCGCTCCGCGACATCCACTTCTCCTTTCCCACCAACAAACCTCTGAATTAATTTTCCTTCAACGATATCCCGCTCAGCAACAACCATGGCTGATCGATACATTCCCGAACATCGTCGGACTCAGTTCAAGGCGAAGGGCGCCTTCAAGCCTGAAGAGCTCCGCCGCCGACGTGAAGAGCAACAAGTCGAGATCCGAAAGTCCAAGCGTGAAGAGAACTTGGCCAAGAGAAGAGGCATCGGAACTGGCGAGCGTCTCGGTGCCTCGCTTGGTGCCGCGCCAGATAGCGATGATGAGACTGCGCCCACCGAGTCCCAGGTAAGCTCTCGCATTTCTGTTGATTCTCTGATTCCTCGCACATGCCTATGGCCTGTCGCCAGCCGTCGACCGAGTCTCGGTGACGCCCCTCTATTTTTATCCCAAAATCCATCATCCCTTTGCACTGCACCACGTACCCTCATCCTGGCTTTTGCGGGAATCGATGCGTGAAAGCGGGGGAAGCTTTATTCTCTGGTGGGATGCGTTCTTGATCCCCGCCAAGGCCGCTTCACCAAAAACAACCCCACCATACATTTGAGACCCTCGAAAGACAACCCCCCGTTGAAACCACCTCCACTTGATGGCAACCCCCTGGGGGCCCCATGCATCTTCAATCTGTCCTCCCCCAGCGTTGTGCTCCACCTCGCATCCAACAGGGCTCTGTGTAGCCTTCTCGGAGACCAGTCTTCTCCCTTCCCCCTCTTTACCCTGCTCTCCGGTCATAGGCCACAAGCCTATAGCCTTTGCCCATTCTTCCCCTTCCTTGATTTGCATCTGTATCTTCTTTTCCTTTTTCACTCGAAATGCTAACATGGCCAAATCTTTAGCTCAATGAGGACCTCCCGCAGATGGTCGCTGGCGTTTTCTCCAACGAGATCGACCAACAGATCAAGGCCACCACGAAATTCCGAAAGCTACTTTCCAAAGAGCGCAATCCCCCGATCGAGGAGGTTATCAAGACTGGCGTCGTCTCCCGCTTCGTCGAATTCCTTCGCTCGCCTCACACCCTCGTCCAGTTCGAGGCTGCCTGGGCCTTGACCAATATCGCCTCCGGCTCGGCGACCCAGACCCAAGTCGTTATCGAAGCCGGTGCCGTTCCCATCTTCGTCGAGCTCCTTTCGAGCCCCGAGCCCGACGTCCGCGAGCAAGCCGTCTGGGCTCTGGGCAACATTGCTGGTGACAGCCCCCACTGTCGCGACTATGTCTTGACCTGTGGCGCTCTCAAGCCTCTTCTGGCCCTCCTTGGAGATAGCCGCAAGCTTAGCATGCTGCGAAACGCTACATGGACTTTGAGTAACTTCTGCCGTGGCAAGGCTCCCCAGCCTGACTGGGCTACTGTTCGTTCTATCCCTTTCCTACCTTTCATCTTAGGCCCATATTAACTAACATTCGTGCTTTAGATCTCTCCTGCCCTCCCTGTCCTCGCCAAGCTTGTCTACTCCCTCGATGATGAGGTTCTTATTGACGCCTGCTGGGCGATCAGCTATCTTTCTGACGGTTCCAACGATAAGATCCAGGCTGTTATCGAGGCTGGCATCCCCCGCCGCCTCGTCGAGCTGTTGATGCACGCGTCCACATCGGTTCAGACCCCTGCCCTTCGATCGGTTGGTAACATCGTTACTGGCGATGATGTCCAGACTCAGGTCATCATTAACTGCGGAGCCCTTCCCTGTCTTCTTGCCCTTCTGAGCTCCAACAAGGATGGCATCCGCAAGGAGGCGTGCTGGACTATCTCGAACATTACCGCCGGTAACTCGAGCCAGATTCAGGCCGTCATCGAGGCTAACATTGTGCCGCCCCTCATCCACCTCCTTCAGAATGGTGACCTAAAGACCCGCAAGGAAGCCTGCTGGGCCATTAGCAACGCGACCTCTGGTGGCCTTCAGAAGCCTGAGCAGATCCGCTACCTCGTGTCTCAGGGATGCATCCGCCCTCTTTGCGACCTTCTCGCCTGCCCCGATAATAAGATCATCCAAGTCGCTCTCGATGGTCTCGAGAACATCCTCAAGGTTGGAGATCTCGACAAGCAAGCCTCGGGTGGACCAGAAGCCATCAACCGCTACGCTCTCTTCATCGAAGAGTGCGGAGGAATGGAGAAGATCCACGAGTGCCAGAACAACGCCAACGAGGAAATTTACATGAAGGCGTACAACATTATCGAGAAGTACTTCTCCGACGAGGACGAGGGTGCCGACGAGATGGGTCAGGCCGGCCAGAATGGTGGAACCTTTGGCTTCGGCACAAACGGAGGTGCTGCCGGCGGACAGACTGGTGCTTTCAACTTCGCCAACGGCGCCGACTCTATGGATATGTAAAAAGGCTGTCCAGAACGGGCATTTTTCTACTGTGCACGGGATGACGACGGAGGACAGCTCTCTACTTGGCACCTTGTCTTTCTGCGGAGCACTCGTTATTCGGGTACCGGCAGTACTTTGATATCCTTTTCGTCGCGACTGCAGACCTCACACTGCCTGGAGAGCCCCCCCTTATCCCGACTCTTACATCTCTCTCTGTCACTCCGTGTTGTCCCGCTCACAGTCGATCGGCCGCATCGACGCCACGCATCGCACCTCTTGTTGTTTAATACCATTTACCCCATCCCTCCACCTCCCATCACCGAAACACACTACCCCCCAAACGACATTACACTGGATAACCCCCGTTTAGCCCCACTCTTCCCCTACCCCCATTATCCCCCAACTTTACATGCTCTTGGTCCTGTTTCTTTTGCGATAATGAATGAGGAGGTTGCAGGGGAAGAAAGAAATCCGCACTTTTATAAGCGGAGATAGACAGGCCCTATGGTAGCTTGAAAGCTCCAGCCTGAATTATGAATGAATGACGAGAGAGAGTGGACGACGAGTTTTGGTCCCTAAGCCGTGTTTCAGCTTGAGGAGAGGTGTTGTGGCCACGCCAGGATGGGGGCTCCGAAGCCTCTTTTCGGCCGAGTCACTATGGTTGTTTGTTTCTGGCTAGGGAGGTCGCTTGGACTCGAACACACAAAGATCCTCTCTAGAACCAAAAGTTTCTCTGTCGGAAAGGGACATCCAGCATTGTTGGAATGAAAAGCCTGCAATCTTCAACTCACGAAATTGAGACACCACAAGACAGCAGGCAGCCACCTTATCGAAGGAATCTTTTGGCCAGCGATAATGCTAGTGCATTCGCTGCTCCCAGACACTGCAGAACCCTGTGCTAGCTGGGTTGAACACCGACAACCAAGTGGTATGTTGATGGTCTTTCTCCCTAGAGAGAGCGCCTTGTTAGCCTTTGTTCGACATGAGTAGGGAAGAAAACAAACATGATGTTGAAATCAAAAAACTGTGCCACCTAAACAAAAGCAATTCTTAAGTGAAAGAGCTTGCTGTGGGCTGTGAGTGATTTGTATCCTGTGAAGCTTGTAATGTCTATGATCGATGGCAAAGAGCATCTTCTGTTTGTCTAGACAAACAAGTACAAGGAAGTGGTGTTCTGTCCGTCCGTACATACACTTAAAGATAGATCCCTACAAGGTAAACATGATTTTTGTAGCACCAGAACTCACACATCCAGCTGCAAGGTTATAGAGCCTAAGGCCTGTTGATATCTACTCCTTTATATAAGAAGAGTATTGGGTCCTGTATGCAGGTAAAGTACGACAAGCTAGCAAAAGCATTCTCAAGTATTGTCCCCTCCCAAACCAGCCATCCCTCCTTTTGCACCAGAAGGAAAATCAGTAAGTATCATGACCCTGCAGCCCATCATCTAGTTATATATAGATATATGTGTGTGTGTGTGTGTGTGTGTGTGTGTGTGTTTTAAATCAAAAGGGAGAAAGGGAAAAAGAGCGAAAGCAAAAAGGAGAAGAAACGAAAAATAACCAAAAACTTTTTTCCTCTTCATTTCCCACCCTTCTCCCACTCCTGAAACCGCTTCTGCTTCTGCCTCGTATTCCACCCCAACTTCCCACTAATACTCTTAATCCAATCCTCGCTTCTCCTTCCTTCGGACTGCACCGTAGCAAAGGGGTACCGGCTCGCGCTAATGGTAACGTAGTCGCCGGGATGGAGCTCGACGCGCTCGCGGCCGTCGAAGCTGGCCCAGGAGCTCGTGCGGGAGTCGTAGGGGACGCCGATGCGCAGGACGATGGTGTCGGGGAGGATGATGGGGCGGAAGGAGAGGGTGTGGGGACAGATGGAAGTGACGAGCATGATTGGGTTTTCGGGGTGGCAGAGGGAGCCGCCGGCGGCGAGGTTGTAGGCGGTTGAGCCGGTGGGGGTGGAGACGCAGATGCCGTCGGCGAGGATGGATGTGAAGTGTTCGTCGTCGCCGAAGAGGTCGAGGCTGGAGAGAGCTGTTGGGAGTGAGGGGTGGGTTAGAACAAAACTACTTTTTTTATGAAAATATGACAAAAGGGCATGCAATTGCAGTTCGGTATACTCACTTGGATTCGGACCGCGATCTACGACGATTTCATTGAGGACCTCAAAAGTCTTGCCGTCAGGGCGATGTGTATGCTCGTCGTCATTCTCTTCACCAATGAGTTCCTCAATAAGATCTCTCCTCCTGTTGAATTCTTCCTCAGTCTCGTCCGGATGGTCAGGGTCGTCGGTGATTGGCTTCCTCTTGATGCTGCGCATAACGGTGCTCTCGAATCGTAGCCTTAAGCTCACGCTGACACCCTTCACGAAGGCTGTTGTGAGGATGTCATCGTAGTGGGCGAAGTCGAACTTGGTAAGGAAGCCGAGGCTCCCAAGGGAGAAGCTGATGACGGGAGGTACAATGCTCTGGAAAAGCCAGCTGGCGTACAGGACGGTTCCGTCGCCGCCCAGGGTAATGATGAAATCGATCGAGTGGGGTTTGAAAAGGCAAAGGTTCGTGTTCCAATATCGTAGCTGCTTGCTGACTTTTTCGATGCAGGTTGCTTCGTCCATTCCCGTCTTTGCGGCGTACTCCTTGGCAACCGAGCGTATGAGACCGTCGGCGTCGAATCGTTTGCTGTCCTTTAGCTTATCCTCCACATATACTGCATACCGCCGTTCCCTCTCCGGCGAGAGAAGCCACAGGGTGAGCTCCCTCGTCTTGGGAATCAGGTCCTTGTCGTGGATTTTGGTGAGAATAAACAGGCTCCTAACCTTGGGCTTCAGGCGAAGGGTGCTCAGGCGTCGACTGAGCTCTCGAACACCCCAGGCCATGTCACTCAGCTGTCTCTTAGTCAGGAGGCGGCTATTTAGGGCCGCTTGATCGGGAGGTGTGGCAACGGAAGGTATGTTATTAGTATCAATGTCGTCGCAGGATATAACGGTGTGGCCGGTCTGGTTCGCCCATGCCATCTCATCTGGTTGGCCTATATTACCAGTGGAAAGAGCTCGCGGCTTGACTCGTCCATAGCGAGTCATCTGCGGAGTCAAAGTAGCGGCCTCCTCGCTCTCGGGTGGGCTAGGGACTTCTTGAACAGGGGCAAGGTGGTGGTCAAAGGCGGATTGTGATGCAGTGGACGATGACGGCTGGCGGATAGAGGGCTCGGCTTCTTCGTCGAGCAAAGAGCTCGCGGACATTAGATCCCGCTGCTGGCCCTGGAGGAGGTGATGCACGATGCAGCTTGTCTGCTGCTTGGGCTGTTTCCAGGCGGGCATGGCGACGTGGAGGACGTCTATGGAGCTCTTTCGGCGATGGGTTTTTCCGGCATCGAAGGTGACCTATATAAGCAGATTTGCCACTAGTAAGTCTCAGAGACTCTTCCATGGGGTGGAGGTAGCTCAATTAAAAGATATTCGGTGGAGGTGCAGGCCACAGCCGTATATCGAGTTATGTACATACCTCAAGCTCGCCGTGCTCATGATCCTCGCTCGAGATAGAGCTCAAGCTCTGGTTGTCATCATCGTCATCGTCAAAGGTGACATGCTTTTCGGTATCTGCGACCTCTACCATGGCTTCGGTGGACGTGGTATCACTGCGGACATGTATATGGAATGACTGACTGGTGAGATTCGAATCCATATGGTGCAGGTGCAAGTGTTGTCTGGAGGCTTTGGCTGTTGAAGTGGGCGGAGGGGTTTTAATGGAGAATTGGCTGATGACGTCGGTGGGAATTGATAGTGGAACAGTGGAACAGTCAAAGTGGGACTGTCCCAGTCCAAGTCAAGCTGAACAATTGAGGCTGGCCTAAGGCAAGCAATGATAGCAATGATAGCAATGATACATTGCAAAGATCATCCAATGCTCGTACAAAGTCGGAAGGAGGGTCCCAGATCGATCGAACTACTTCGTGCCGTTGCTAACCTTGCCAACCTTGCCAACCTCGCCGTGCTGTTCCGTTCCGTCTTCGTGGGGTCCAAATGGTCTCTGTTAGTCAAGTATGACAGATGAGGGACGCAGTACAAAGGTCCCCCACAGCACCAGAGTTCATGAAGCTGCAGCACTGGTTGATAAGGTTTAGCTCGGATTTTATGCTCCCTAGTGTCGGAATGTCGGCAGCATCATGAAGTTTTATAGACGAATATTTGTTCAGAGAAAATCCAGAAATCCAGCGAGGGTGCTGCTGTTTCTTGTGCCCGTGGATAGATTGTGAGATGATGGCTCAATCTGCTTGGCAGGTTGCATCAAACGAATCGACTTCTTAATCTATGAAGGGTCGATGACTCGATGCTGCAAATGTTTGTCGTTCTGCGAAGTGCATGAATGACCTCATCCAGATATGAGTGGTACTTCGTACCTTTTGTACACAAGTTGTACAGTAAATCGTAGAGTACTGACGCGTTGGTCTACTCCGTACTTTACGGCAGGCCATCGATAGAACGGTTGGACGCTATCAATAATTCCAATTATAGGACCCCAAAACTGGGCTGGATTCTGTCTTTGTCCTCCGGCTAGGGGGGCGAGAAAACGAGAAAGGAACATTCCTGGATCTGGGACGACTTGAGTTGATGGCAAGCTCAGTGCTCGCATCTCTGAGCCCGAGGATTTAAGCTTCAATTCCCACCAGGACCCCTGCCTTACAGTCGGTCAGTCACCTTGGTCAGTGCCCAGCGCCTTGTAAACTTGCACCGACAATTACAGCTAAGCACCTGATCGCCCCTCCATGTCAGAGCATTTGAGAGCTCCGAGCTCTGAAGTGGGGTTCGTCAGGGGCCCGCACAAGCTCTGAGCTGCATCGACGCCGCCTAAACCGCACCGCCCGCTCGTGCTTCGCGATGCGTCAAGTTTGATCTGGATGTCTTGTCGACGCAGCCTAGCCGCAGGATACAGGAGAGCCACCGCAGCACGCTATTCCACCATGGCTCCTAGAAAACCGGGCGAACCAGAACCGGAACTGGAACCACCGGCCGAGGACGCACCCAAGCCGGCAGCTAATGCATGTATGGACTACTACCCCCCCTAAATTGAGAGCTACAACCTCCGACCAAAACTGACCACAGTCTACAACACAGTCGAGGAGTTGATGGCCCCAAAACCAAAACGTCCTCCCCCACCCTCTCCATCCCCGACCGCTGCCATCGCTAGACGCTGGGGCGGCATCAGCCGGGACGGTCTCGGCGCCTACCTCCAACACCCCGAGACATTCCCCTCCACCCGCGTCATCTACTACACCGACGACTTCGTCGCCGTACACGACCTCTACCCGAAAGCCAGTGTCCACACTCTCCTCCTCCCCCGAAAAGCCACCTTCAGCGACCAGCATCCCTTTGACGCATTCCTCGACCCGGCCTTCCTAACGGCTGTGAAAGTCGAGGCCGCCAAGCTCAAGGGTTTCGTGGCCAAGGAGCTCCAGAGACGCTTCGGCGCCGAGAGCGCGGCCGAGGCGCGGCGCCAGGCTGTTCTGGATGGCGAGGTGGAGCTGGAGGGGGACGATGAGGAGCTACCTCCCGGGCGCGACTGGGAGGCCGAAGTCAAGGTTGGCATTCATGCGCATCCGAGCATGAACCACTTACACGTCCACGTGCTCTCGAGGGACATGTTCTCGCCATGTCTGAAGCATCGGAGACATTACAACTCGTTTAACACGCCTTTCTTCGTTGAGCTCGCCGATTTCCCTCTGGCTGATGACGATCCGAGGTTACATCCCGGGAGAGAGCAGTATCTGCGTCGGGATATGGTGTGTTGGAGGTGTGGCAGGAACTTCAAAAACCACTTCAAGAGCTTGAGAGAGCACTTGGAAACAGAATTCGAGGAGTGGAAGCGCGAGTAATCTATCATGCGGTATTTGATGATGTTCGTGTCCCCAGAGAACAGTGGAAGCGGGAGCTCTCAGTTTTTGGCCGTCACTTACGCGGAGAAAACGCTTTTATAACGATGATGATGATAATGGCAATGACGATATGATGGTCGAACTCGGACGTGGAATCCCGCACAACGCGTAGTTACCCTCTGGGGCTGTCACATTAGAGCATACTATCAGTAATAGGAATCAATGTACCTTGATTGTTAAATGTTAAAACATCAAAAAAAAAAAAGAAAAAAAGCGAGATAGTAACGAGGAACACCAGACTGGCACTGCCTTCCCCAATGCCGAGCCCCCAACTTAAAGACGTCGAGACCCTGACGTCCCCAAACTCGCCCTGCCCGAATTTCTCCCAACCCATCCCAAAAAGTAGTTCCAGCCGAGCAAAACACCTTGAATTGTTACAACCCGAAAAAGCCACTGATTGCCAAGTAAAGAAAAAAACAGGGAATAACCCGTCTGAAATCGTCCCGGATTTTTTTTCCTTCATTTTTTCTCCCATTTTTTTTAAAAAAAAAAAAAAAAAAAAGAAACAACTCCTAGAAAAACTCGAGGTACGTAAACAGTCGCGAGAGGAAAGAGGATCCGCCGTCTGTTATTGCGCTTTTCTCGACGATCCGAGTGAAAAGGGGAACCACCTTCTCGGTGTCGCAGTCGGCGGCGTTTCTCTCGCTATGGCATCATCCTTTTCCGCGTTATCAGCGAGCTTGCTCTCTTCCTTTTCTGTAATATAGTGCATTGTCTGAGCGTAGTGTTCTTCTTCTTGTTCCTTGGAGGGGGAACCAAAAGGTAGTGAGGCGCAACGCATTCGACATTGAAACAAGAGCCACTCTAGCTCTACAGCCCCATGCTCGGGGAAAAGAGTTCCAAGATGCGGGAGGTAAGAGTAGGTGAAGAACCGCGACACAAAAGAAGAGTATACGCACACAAAAGGGGGGAAGAGACGCGGGACACGGGAACAGAGAGATAAAGAACCAAGGGGTTAGGAAAACTAACCAGAGTCATCCTCGTTCTCGCCATCACTACCCTCAACCTCCTCCTCAGCCTCAGCCTCCTCCTCCTCTTCCTCCTCTTCCACGGGCTTACCGCGCGTCGCACTCCTCCCGCCGGCCCTCGCGCCGGCCCTAGCTGCGCGCGACCCGTCGTTGGCCGCCTTCTTCGCCTTCACCGCCGCAGCCTCCTCAGCAGCCTCGAGCGCAGCAGCAGCGGCGGCAGTCGCCTTCGCACTAGTCGCCGTGGTGGTGGTGGTGGTCGTCTTCTTCTTGCCGCTGCCCTTGGGTCGGCCGCGCGGCCTGCCCGTGGGCACGTACGTGGGCTTCGTCACACTGCCGCCGCCGCTTCCCTTGGGTCGACCCCTGGGCCGGCCGGTGGGGACGTAGGCCTTCTTGACGGCCGCGACGCCGTTCTTGGGCGGACGGCCCCTTCCTCTCTTCTTGGGCTCTTCGGTGGTTGGGGCCATTGGGTGGTTTAGGCTTCGATCTTTATGTGTGTTTCAAGACAGGGGGATTTGCGACCGTGTCTTATTGTTCGGATGTTTCTTGGCTTGGTCAGAATGGGGGGAGGGGCGAAGGAGGAATATTTCTCGGTACGCGCCGCTCCTTTTTTGATACGTTTCGAGATGTTGCGAAGTGTGGAGATGCTTCTCCTCTTTTGCGCGCACTTGAGAGGGAGGAGGTATTCGATGCGAAAAGAATTTCAACCGATAAATAAGAGACAAAAAAAAAAGAAGGAAAAAAAAAGGAAAAAGGAAATGAGAAAAATTAAAAGGCGACGTTTGATAAAATGACGTTTCCCGCTTTGAGCTGTGCCGGTGCAGGTGCTGTGCTGGGATTGGGATGGGATGGATCGGTTGTCAACTTTAATGCGGAAGAAAACAACGCGTTGCAGGTCGCGTCTCAAATCGGCAGCTGCCAGCTGGATAATTCCGATATGATCATTTTATTGGATTTTTATTTTGAGAATTAATTTCATGACAAATTTCTCATTCAAATATTGCATCAAAAAAAAAAATGAGGAGAGGAGAAATTTCCGGACGCTGACTAACATGATTCTCCAGCCGCTAACAGCTGTTGACAGCTTTAGCATTCTTTAGCCAATTAAATCCCTCCAAATCTTGACCAGCTTGCGGTCAATTCTCCGATCGCCGTGCCAACTGCCAACCACAGCTTCCCACGCAATCAAAATGCTCTCGCCCCGCTAATGTAAACAGATTCGACCTAGATCGTTCCAGGGTAGGCTCGCTCTCGCCGCAATGGGATCCACAAGGCCCAGAGTACCTTTCAATATAAGCGTCACCCAGGCCCCCCGTTTTATTGTTCGCAGCGGATGTGGAGTCTTCACAGGCTTCGCTTTCGGCATTCCATCGAAGAGATCAGCGAGGCTCTAGTTGACATGTCCATTGATGCACGACTCATGCCAGCAGCAGCGGTCAGCCGGGAATCACCACGAATGATACGGTCGTCGGCCTCGACTCCCTCGCTGAGGTCGAGGGATGGAATTGTCCCGATGCATGCGAGGATGGATGGAGGTGGGAATGTGAGGGTGGTTGTCCGTGTTCGAGCTTTTCTCCCAAGGGGTAGGTGTCTCTTTTATTGACAAGGGAATATAGGGGTGAGCTTTGGACGATACTGACGATCAACACAGAGATTCAACGTAGGGCAGAATGTCTAATCAGGATGAACCCAATCACTCAAGCGACGACCCTTCTCGTCCCCGCAGACGATGATACGACGCCGGCCAAGGCTAGGTCTCGCAGGGTCGTCGAAGAGAAGACATTTACTTTTGACAACTCGTTCTGGAGCCACGACAACAAGCAGCAAGAATACGCAACCCAAGAAGACATCTACAACAGCCTCGGCGAAGAGTTCCTCGACCACAACTTCGAAGGCTACCACACCTGCATCTTCGCCTACGGCCAAACGGGTTCGGGAAAGAGTTACACCATGATGGGGACCCCCGATCAGCCCGGCCTGATCCCTCGCACCTGCGAGGACCTCTTCGAGAGGATCGAACAAGCGCACGACGAGACACCCAACATCTCTTATAACGTAAGAGTGTCGTACTTTGAGGTCTACAACGAGCACGTCCGCGACCTGCTGGTGCCCGTAGTGCCTAACCAACCCCCTTACTACCTCAAGATCCGCGAGTCGCCGACCGAGGGTCCCTACGTCAAGGACCTGACCGAAGTCCCCGTGAGGAACATCAACGAAATTCTCCGGTACATGAAGATGGGCGACGCGTCGAGGACGACGGCAAGCACCAAGATGAATGATACCAGTAGTCGAAGTCACGCGGTCTTCACCATTATGCTCAAGCAGATTCACCACGACATGGAGACGGACGAGACGACCGAACGGAGCTCACGCATCAGGCTGGTGGATCTCGCCGGCAGTGAGCGCGCAAAGTCGACGGAAGCGACGGGTGTCCGACTCCGAGAAGGTAGCAACATCAACAAGTCACTCACGACGCTGGGGAGAGTCATCGCCGCCCTCGCCGACCCAAAGCAGCATCGTGGAGGAAAGCGCCGCGACGTGGTCCCCTACCGTGACTCGATCCTCACCTGGCTGCTCAAGGATTCGCTGGGCGGAAACAGCAAGACGGCCATGATTGCCTGCATCGCGCCCTCGGACTACGACGAGACGCTCTCGACGCTACGGTACGCTGACCAGGCCAAGAGGATCCGCACCCGCGCCGTCGTCAACCAGGATCACATCACCACGGCTGAGCGTGACGCGCAGATCGCCGCCATGGCGGAGGAGATCCGCACGTTGCAGCTGGCTGTTTCGGATTCCAGGCGGCGCGAGAAGGACGTCAAGGATCAGGAGGAGAGGCTCGAGGAGTACCAGAACCGCGTGGCCGTGATGCAGCGCATGATGGAGGAGAAGACGCTGGTGGCCGAGGGCAAGATCAGGAGCTTGCAGACGGAGAACGAGGCCTTGAGGTTGCACCTCAAGCTTGCGCTCGAGAGCATCAAGAACCCCATCCCACCCGTGACTGTTACTTCGCCAGACCCCGATGACGAGAAGGCCGCCGGCCTTGTTGACACGGAAGACAAGGAGAATGCGCGGAATGCGCCGGGCCAAGGGGACGAACACGACGACGATGACTACGATGATGATGGATACTCGTCTGGGACACTCCATGAAAGCGATGAGGATGAGGATATGGGTGAGGATATGAAGGCGCTGCTGAAGGACCTTGATATGTTTAGGCGGAAGATTGGGGACGACAAGTCAAGGTTTCTGGTTGATGCGGTGAAGCGAGAGCCGCTTGGTGTGAGGATGAATGTTTGAGAGACTACGCTTTTCAACGGCCATTCTGATTCGACTTTCTCATCATTTGTTATCTTTTTTTAGGGGGAGGCGTATAGGACATGACGGGATTAGGCATAGCAACTGTTAGATATGAGATTCCTTTTGTAGACTATTTTATGGATGAGCGAGTATTCGAGTTCTGTTTGAAACTGGCCTTTAAGGGGTGTTTTGTTTCTTGACTTTGTGCGGGCATGGTGAGGCTGAAGCTGATGTTGATTCATCCAGCTCCATGGCTTCTAACTTCTGGCATGGTACAAGAAGAGGGAGAGGCAGCAACCCTGCTCCGGCTCAATGCATCTGGGGCCTTCGACAGCACGTTGTGCAATCGACTGTTACCCCCCGTGGACTACGGCAGAGGAGAAATCGTGAGAAAACAGTAGTGGATTGGCAAACCTCTGAAGGACTAGCACTGGAAAATTTCCAGTATCAACTTCGTCAAAATTCGATTTTCTCCGAAGCACCGCTCGTGATAGGAGGCCAACTCTGCGTCTTAGCATGACTAATTGTCGTAACGTCAATGCATGTTGCTGCCAGCACGTCGATGGCCAAGTGTAAGTGATTTGACCAATGGATATATTCCTCCCCCAACGTTATCCACTATACCGCTGTATGGCCCGACATCCGTCCTCCTGCTCACGATTATCCACGCCGGCCATTCTCAGCAACCCCACAATAGTCCCAAACCCACACTCATAAGTAGCAGATCAATGCGCTCCTTGGATACTCCTTGGATAGGAAGCCCCATATCAGTCATCACCAATCATTCATTTGCCTTTATAGGCATTCCGAGACGGAAATTCCTTCCACGTGCTATCCTCGTGGGCATGGATCGACGTGACACGCGTGCCCGACTGTGTGTGGTAGCTGACGGTGACGACATCTTGTTCGTCGCTTGGATCCATGGTCGACTTATGTGGCCACGAACCCCTATACGTTGAAGAATTAGCCGATTTGAGATTCTTTGACCTTCTACGACGGTATATATCATGCGCTATGGGACCTACTGGATCCTTGCCTCTTTGACTTTGGGGTACTGTTCCCTAGAAGTTAGCGGAAGTCTTACAAGTGCAAACAGGGAAGGGTATTTTCATTAACCTTTTCCTCTATAGCCGTACTAGCGACTTGAACAGAGGTAAGGAATCCGCCCGGGAGACTGGACAACGGAGTGCTACCGCCGTACTTGATAAGGCGGGCCGCAGTGCGCTGCATGGTAGAATAATGATAAAAATAGCAAAAAGGACAAGAGGCTAAGTGAGATGAGGAACGAGGATCAAGTCGGATTGGGAGTTTGTGAGGGTGGAAATACCGGAGGGGGAAGGGCAATGGTAGGACATCGAGAGGGTCTTTATAGACGATGTATTTGCCCTTCCCATCCGTCCTCGAAGTTCCATGACAACCCACACCCTTTGGAGTTGGGACTCGTTAAGCGCCAGGAAGACGCGATGTCGTACGAGAAGTGTCTCGGCTTCGGGCACAAGTTCACAGCCATTGGCGCCGGGGCCTAGCGCTGGCTACTGAGATGGTGATATCTCAGGATAGGCCAGTTCCGGCGACCTGGAGGCCCACCGTCGGCGCTAGGATGTACAACGGATTGATGCGGTGCGTCGGTTCTCATTCGGCACGAGAAGCTCTTCGAACTCCGCCATCGAGAGATTCTTCCGGAATCACTTCGTAGGCGCCAATATTGATCTTAGAATCGGGATTCGGGATTACACCCTCCTCCAAAGGATTCAACAATACTAGAGATCTACATCATTCGCTTGTTTGACTGAATTCCAGAACATCTCGAGGCGATGAGTGGTCGTTGCCAATTGGTCGTCTCTCAAACGCCAGGACGGGGCTGATTCTCGGATAATTCTCACACTGTCATCAATGTTACTGGTCACCGCCAGGCTCTATTAGCAGCAACAGGTCGCACCCGGCGCCTACAGAGTAGAGAGAACCCTAAATTTAGCTCGACTAATAATAGGTACAGTCTCGTCTCTGGACTCTAGGCTCTAGACTCTAAGCTCTAGGCTCTCAAGGCTCTCTCGGCCCATCTACTTCGTTCACTTCAGTCACCCATTCCACCTGCCACAATTATGATGAGAACTGCACGGTTGCCTCTCCAGCTCTTCACTAAAGTGTCAAGCTGCTGCGTTCACCAGTCTCCAGTGCTGCCTCCAAATCCAAGGTTTTATAGACCAAATCGCAGTCTTGCCACGATGGGCCGGGACCCTCCTCCGGTTGCTGATGCCTTCGAGAGGCTACCAATAAACGAAAGGATCGAGGAAGAGGATGTCCCCAACTACAAAGCAGAGAGGTTCTACCCTGTTCAACTAGGGAACGTATTCCAGTCGCGATATAAAGTCGTCTCAAAACTCGGATTCGGCACGGCATCTACGATCTGGCTTTGCCGTGATCTCGAGTATGTACTTGGTCACGCATTGGGTTTGAGGTTACTCGCCAACTCGCCTGGATCCTGGCTCTGACCTTCGCGGTGCCTAGAAAAAATGATTTCATCGCCCTTAAAATATGCATCACTGGGAAGGATACCAGTGACATCGATAACGAAGTGGCTATCTCCGAGTATCTTCAATCCGTCGATCCTGCCGGACACCCTGGAAAGGACCGTCTGCGTCTAGTGCAGGATCACTTTCGGATAACTGGTCCCCATGGCACGCATCAATGCTTGGTCTTCGCGCCTCTGGGCCTAAGTTATACCAAATTTCGGAACATTTTCCCTGAAAAGGCCCTCAACAAACTACTACTACAGCAGTCCTTGCAGCTAGTTCTTCTGGGCCTCGATTTCCTCCACCAGGCCGGCGTCGTGCACACAGGTACGTTCGTTTGTTGCGTAAAACGACTTGAAAAGTGAGCCACACTTTAGGAAACTAAAACTCTCCTCAGACATATCACCAAACAACATCCTCCTGGGCGTTCCGGACCCTTCTGTATTCTCAGAAATTGAAAAGGCCGAGCAGGAACACCCAGCAGCTCGCAAAGTTCTCCCAGATCGAACAATTTATCGCACCAGTGTGATGCCCCTCACATATGGGGCTCCGGTAATTTGCGACTTCGGTGCGGCGAGGATGGGCGACGGGAAGCACCACGGGGACGTCATGCCCGGCGTTTATAGAGCGCCTGAGATAATTATGGGCATGGAATGGGATTCGAAGATAGATATATGGTCGGTTGGAGTAATGGTCTGTCTCGCATACATCTCACACACCCCCCTTTTCCACTCGCCAGTCCCTTCTAACTCTTGCAATAGATCTGGGATCTGTTTGAACGCGGTCGTCTGTTTCGCGCCGTGAAAGACGGACATCTCAACGATGAGCTACATCTTGCAGAGATGGTCTCTCTGATGGGGCCGCCTCCGAAGCAATTCTTGGAGCGAAGCGAGAAGTGCCGCCAGTACTGGGATGGCGAAGGTAAGACGGCCCTCTCCGTGGCTTATCTCGCGGTTCTTGAGTTAACAGAAGATGTCCCCCCCCCCCCCAAAAAAAAAAGGGAATTGGATTGCGGCCACGCCTATTCCCGACCAGACCCTCGAGTCACGCGAAATACGACTGGAAGGGAAAGATAAGGAGTTACTCCTTACCTTTGTGCGCAAGATCTTGCGCTGGCTCCCAGAAGAGAGGCCCTCTGCGGAAGGGATTTTTGAGCATGAGTTTTTAACTCAACACTACGAGAAAAGTTGAGAAACCCGAGCCAGGAGAGCTTGGTTATACGGCGTGGAACTCGAGGCGGTTGTGAATATCATATGTAACGAAACTGCCAATTGGCAACCTTGAGTGTAGCGGTTTTTATTGTTTCTAGTGTCTTGTACTTGGGCGGAATAATACCATCACCATCACAATCAGTGTGGATTAGGAGGCGTAATATTAGAATATCAGAACATCAGAACACCGGCAAGGGATGTCTGTAGAATATAGAGGAAAGAATGTAATTAGATAACTATATATTTTGTGACAAGCTCTAGCTGAATATATCGTCGAGCTCAATTGACTGCAGCTTGATGTATGCGAATATCGAGCAAATAGCAAATCAAAGGAGGAAAAGGTTAGATTTTGAGAATAACCTCCTTCACTGCTTTACTACTTTGTGTCTTTCTCTCCCAAGGTAGCTTATGTAAAGGCCTACCAAGACGGCGCCCTGGTTCGAAAAGGTGGTCGCCTTTTTTTTTTTTTTTTTTTTTTTTTTTTTTTTGGTTTTCGTCAGGGTCATGTTCGAACCGGCATCATATCATCGATGCTGGTATCACCGGCGAGCCAACGCTTTCTCGACTAGCCATAGATCATCATCAACCCGGCCGAGGCCGATTTGCCGAAGAAGCTCGAAGCACACGAGTGTCCTTTCAAGCTCCGCAAAACGCCGGATATTTCGTTGAAAAATTCCTCAGATACAAGCAACGATGAAACACATCTTCCTGGTCGGCGCCTGCTACGTCGACACGATTCTTAGGTAGAAAAGAGAGATGGGAAAGAAGAAGAAATCACCTTCTAATATATACTAAGGATTTAACTTTCGCACAGCGTCCCCTACTTCCCCGAAGAAGACTCCAAACTCCGCGCCCAATCCCTCGCCGTCCGCCGCGGAGGCAACTGCCCCAACTCCCTCGAAGTCCTCCACCAACTCCTCCTCCACTCGTCCCTCAAGAACGGGGCGGCCTTATCAGATGTGAGGACCCATCTTGTCAGCTGTCTCCCCGATATATCTTCCACCGCTACGGCGAGGATCAAGGCGTCATTCAGGACAAGAGGAACGCCGCAGGGCAAGGAGGAGAAAGAGGCTGAAGGGTATGAGGAGCTTGTGGAGGGGTGCTTCTTGACTTGTATTTACAGGGATGGTGTCGAGGAGCCCGCTAGTAGTTTTATTGTGAGGAGTTTGGCGACGGGGAGTAGGACTATTGTGAATTATAATGGGTTGGAGGAGATGACTTTGGAGGAGTTTAGGGGCGTTGTCGCGGAGTTCGAGGGTGCGGAGAGTTCATGGTGGCACTTCGAGGTGAGATGAACTACTTTTCTTCTGTTTCCTTCTCCCTCTGAGCGAAAGGATATAAGTCTATGGCGTGTAGGGGTGGGATGGACCTAACATATCTCTACTCCATGACGACGAAGACCGTGTCTCCCTGGAGCCTCTGCAAGGGGCTTTTTTCCAGAGTCCAGCTCAATGACACAAACACATACTAACCTGTTGAAAAAGGGCCGGATCCCCGAAACCACCCTCCAATGCATCCAACACCTCCGGTCCGTCCTACCCAACGCCAAAATCAGCGTCGAGGTAGAAAAGCCAGGAAGGGAAGGGCTTACGAGCCTAGCCGAGGCAGCCGATGTCATCTTTTACTCTCGGAGCTGGGCAGAGGTAAAAGCATTTCCCCTTTTGTCGAGAAATGGTACCGCGCTGTTTTCTCCCTGGGCCTCCCTCTCTCCCTTCCTCTCCCCCGAGCACCTGAAAAGGGGACAGAAGTAAGGGAATAGGAGACTAGAGCATCCATGAGGGGGAACGTCTGGCCAAGGGAAATGGCATGCTGACCGGCGATGGTGCTTATATGATCTGTTCTAGGCCCGGGGACATGGCAATGCGGCAGCTTGTCTTGAGAATGAGACACCGCGAACAGCGTACGCAGAGACTACCCCTTCCCTAAAATGAGTTGTCGTCTTTGTTTTCTTTCCCGCAAGGCTTCATTTACCTCTACAACCCGTACAGAGGGCCTTGGCCTTAGATGGAGAAGATCGGTTGGTTGGCAAACGCCGGCCTTTTCTAGCCATCGCACCCATTTCGTGGGACGCTGGACAAAGCAGCGTCTGAGGATGCCTACAAAGTTTTCTTTTCTTTCTTCGCCTTCTGCTCCTCATTCTGACGAACGGCGTTTAGGTCGCTGGCTTTGTGCACTTGGGGATCTCAGGGAGCGACGGCATTCACCCCGTCTGACGGGCTACTTGCCGAATGCCCGGTTGGGACGCCCGCTGATGGAAGTCATATCGAAGTCGTCGAGTACGTATAAGTCATCCCGGCGAAGCGCAAGCCGCTTCTCCTTCCCATATCTCCCCAAGTACGAAGAGAGAAAGGCAGTGGGAGTTGCATGGAAAGCCACCCCCGATTCACAAGTCACATATATATCTCTGCCTTGACCCTGCTAGAGAAAACAAAGCGATCCCACCTCAGTTTTCTGTTGACAGATGGCGTCCCTTCTCATTCCCTCGCTTTCCCCGTCGACATACCACGGCTTAGTAGCCACAGTTCAAGGAAACGGCTGACACGCGAGAACCGCAATCCTACAGCACAGTTGGGGCGGGAGACACGTTCATCGCCGGGTTTCTTTACGGCCTGACATGCCACTCCACCGACTGGGACACCGAAGCCAAGCTAAAATTCGCCGTCGAATTGGCCACGCTCAAGGTGCAGCGAGAAGGGTTTGGCGGGCTAGGCCGGGATGCACGGGGATGCCTGTGATGTCCAGACCTCGAAAGGTGCGGGTATCCGGGGAGTAGGAGATGTCCACCTGTTACGCTTTCTCACCTGTCTCTCTCTCTCTACGTAATCATCTTGATGAATCCGAAATACGTGGCTCATGCAACGGGACCTACCCAGTCACCTTGGGTAATACAATCTTCCGCATGATATCCCCCTTTTAACGCACTTCATGGAGAACTCGCCTTTTGCGATAGCACCCAGAGCCTCGGCATCGCATCGCGATATTAAGTGATGACAGGACCCCCTTTCTGTGTCTCGGCTCGATTCTGTGTTCTTTTCATTGGGGTCAATCTATGGATCTAACCCTGAAGCGGCCCAAAATCTTCTCATCAGCGTTTTGAGTTCCTATCCTATATTCGTCCTATATTGGTCACTCTCATTCACGAGATGCCAACTCCCAGTTCGTATAATTGATGCCGTGGTCGGCGGGATATCCAACACCTGTCAAAATACCGGGCTCCTTTGGGGTGGCAAATCGGTCGAAATGCGGATGTGTGTCGATGTCAGTGTTATTGAGGAAGTTAACAAGTCCCCCATTTCCAGCCCCTTATGTCGGGTTCTACTAGAGCTACAGTTCAACAACGCCGGGCTTGTGAGCGCCGGGATCCGAGAGGAGGCGATCGAATTCGAGAGCATTCGAATGTAGAGACCATTCAGCTTATGTTAAGCGCCGGCCTCTCTATGTTTATTCACTTGATATGATGAGGAGAGGATTAAGCCATATCAGTGATCGATCCTCGGCGAAGCGGCCAGGATGTTCAAGCTGATTAGGCTCCATGATTGGCAATGGGTCTCGACGTATTAGAGAGAGATAGGTGGTTGCAGAGTCCTAGCATAGGTCGGTCTCACACATCTATACAGGTCCTCATATGGGCGCGTTAAGAGAATAATAATCAGGGAAACTGAGTAACTCTAGACATTGCGGGCCGTGGGTGTGGGAGATGCGAGGTCGGGTGCCATTTCAGTCCGTATACGGACTGAAATGACGTGACCGCTCTAACAGTGGCACCTCACTACGTCCTACAGCGCCACAGAACATTACATCCCTTCAGTTTTCGGTGGCTTCGCACACGACCGCATCAAGGTAGAACAAGGCCCGCGGACAGTCGCTAAGAAAGGGAAGGGGCGAGGATGTGAGAAGATGATCGGCAGGTCACGATCGCGAAAGGGCACCTGACTGAAGCGGGGACACGGCCGATATAATAGCGTCGTCATCATAGACGACCGGCATTGGGGCCTTCTCGATGTCGATAATCCAACAGATGGTCGAAGGGAAGCATGTTTGGGGAGGATGCTGATACAAGCGGCAACTTGCGGTGGGTAGAATGGGACCTCAGGCACCATAGATTTCACAATGCTCAAGGCATTCCTGTATGACTAATACTATTAGAACAGCCTAGGGCGCAATTATGTCGCTTAAGTGGAAATACTCAAGATACCTATTCCTAAGTCACTTCAGGTACGACTCCGTACTACATAACCATGAAAACAGCTTCACGAGTATGAATTTCCTCAGTTAATAATACCAAAGAATAAAAGCTACTTCTCTTTTTCTAAAGACTACTGTATTAATAGAGAATATGCTGCTGGGGCCGCGCAGATTCTGCCACCAATTTCGGAGGCAAAAAGCAGCGGATCTATGCTCCGAGGCACATCGACTTCGGGTCTGCCCAGCTCCTCTTGAAACTTGAAAGGCTTTCATCGGACAAGAGAGTAATCGTTTTCGTAGCAATGTTTAAGGATATAGAAATGTCATTCTTTATGTAAAACGAAACAGAGACCTACTAACGCGGTCCGCGGTAATCCAGCTTAACAACATATCTCCGTCCAGCTCGGTTCGAGGAACACAGAATCAAGCCAACCTCGTCTTCCAAAAGAGGAAAATGCCAAATCAAGACGTAAACGGAGCAGTGACAATAGAGACCACATAGCCAGCCATTTGCTTGATCTTGTCCCAAACCCAGGTAAGCGCATCGCGGGCGTACTCCCAGATGGCCCGCAGCTTCTTCTGTACGTAGCTGAAGACCTTGTCCCACGGAATGAGATACACGATGGCTGCGGCCGCGATGCCAGTCGCGAGTCCGGCGGTGCAAGCAGCCCCAGCAGCCCCAGCAGCCCCGGCCTTAAAGGAGCCAGCCATAAGGGTGAACTTTGAGCTCGAGATGAAAATACCCTTAGCGCTACACCAAAATACACCCCCGGCAGCAGCACCCCCGGCCCCCGCACCTATGATGACGGCGAGGAGCGACTTCCACCTGTTAAACCAGTCCGTTTCTGTCTCATTAGCACGTGGAGGAGGCTGCGGCTGGCCTTGACTCACTGGCGATGGACTCGCCTCTGGCTTTACGTCTGATGGCCCGGCTGCAACGGCGTCGTGGAAGTCGGCGATCTTCTCGCGCAGCTCGGTTAGCTCCTGATCGGACATGTCGGATCCTATGGTTGTTGACCGACTGCATAAGCTACCGGCATATTCTTCTGGAAGGTCAAAATAGCACCCATCTTCGTGAGTGATCTTGTAATTGGCTTTGCGAAACTGTTGACCTAGGAGGTCCCAGCTATTCGTCCTCACGCCGCAGTAGGTCGACGAAGCGCCGATACGCAAATTGTCAGCACGCTGAGAGCTGCAACTAACGTAGACCTTCTTCACAACATCGGGGATGTAGTAGGTGATGGAATCCACCCCGGAGGCAACCAATAGCTGGAGCGTGTGGAACACGCCGCTGAGCTTCTCCTCGATGATTTGCTGAAGGTTGGCCGGCGTGGTTATGACGACTTTGGAACCTACGGTAGTCGGAAGTGTTAGTGTCAGCTCTTTTTCCAAAACCAGTCCCGACTGGATGAGGTCACAACCACTTGGAACTTGCAAGTGGGAGGGAGGGCGACGAGGCGTGACTTACTGAGCTTATCTTCGTCCTTGGCCTTTCGATTCTTTTCTTTGACAACCCTCTTCACCTCCTTCGCTTGATCGGGTCTCACAACGGCAACAATCATGCTCCCCTTGTTATCTTTCTCCCTAAGTTCTTGCCATAGGGATTCGACATCCGAATCACTCATGTAATCTCCCCCCTTGGCAGAGGGATCGGTCGAGAGGGGAGACGCGAGGGCCTTGTCATGCTTGGGGGATCTGGGCGCATGTCGCGCTGAGGAAGATGAAGAAGGCGACGATGGCGATGACGATGACACGATGGGGCCAAGGAGTTGACTGGAGGATTTAGAAGGGTTTGTAGACCTAGAGGTAGAAGATCCGGAGGACTTGGATGATTTGGAAGAAGTGGATGATGACCTGGATGATCGAGAGGATTTGGATGATCTTGATGAACTGGCCATCATTTTCTTCAAAGAGAATAGGAGCGGCTTGATGAGGTATTGAACACTGGGGCAGAACCGCCAGAACCAGATGCAGATATGAACTTGAGATTGATCTGGGTAGATCCTCACTGGTGAGCCAGGCTGGAAAATGGCGGTGTCTCAAGCGGGGAGCCGGGCTTTAATACTCGAAAAATCTGCTCTAATTGTCCAATATTCCGGATTAACAGTATCTACTCGACACGGCCCAATTAAACGGGGGGCGTCGAGTGAGGGCCTCTGGTTGTTTGTGATGATGGACGCGTCTCGATCCTCACCAACCTGCACCACTTAGACACCAGGGTCAAAACGCGAAGCTTCCTCCTGCGTCATGCCTCCGCATATCGTGCGCGAGATGGTTGGCTGCAAAGCCACTTACACAACATTGAAGCAGTTCAGTTCAGCCAACCCTGCGACGAGTCCTCATCTTATATTCCATGGCAGGCAAATCAGATGGTTGACAGGGCCACCATCAGTCGAAGCAGGGAGAGCGCGCTTGAATGGCCAGGCCACGAAGTCATGCAGTCTGCAAGAAATCGAGACATGCTATTGACCAGGCCGGAAACGTGTGCATTAACCCCACCGACACTTTAGTCGTTTCGGCCACTCACGAACGACCCGAGTCCTGCGCCTCCGTAGCCTTACCATCCCAATTATTATGAGGGTTGTGGTCCGCGTCAGTCGTCAGTAGCACCAAATCGCGACACGGACACGGTCACGGTCACGACTCTCGTTCTTCCTGCATCGCGAGTGCGTTCCGCCCAATGTTCATTAACGCAGCTATCGCGATATGCATTTTGACGTGGCCTGCAACTTATCTACAGCTTCTCTGTGTTGGCATCATGAACAGACAGACTCTTATGGCCGATCACGTCAACCGGCGAGGTTGTTTTGGGGGGAGCGTGGTAGGTGATGGAAGGAGCTTCTATCGTCGTACCCGAGACTGAGAACCGAGCTTACCTCTCGCAGCCTTTCTCTTGAGGCGTGCCACACCTAACGTCTTGTTCACTTATCAGAGACTTCCGTAGAATGGACTCCCCTTACTCGTCGGCAACCCCGGGTAACAGCTTCGGAATCTCCGCTAAACCGTGATATAAGTCCAACTCCCACCACTTTAAAGGCTTCTATCTGGATTTCTTCTTTTTTTAAATACTTATTTTCTTAAAGAAGGTATATAGGTACCCGCCGAAGAAACCTCGCCCTTTACACAAGGCATCGACTGCGGTGTAACAATCTCTATTCGGTGGTCAAAGGTTCCCCTCCTACGGAAACCCACACTTCATCTCTTCCTTCATCTACAACATCTATTCCACGGCCGATCGTATAGATCGCCTTTCCCAATTCTCTATCCCGCCATCTGAAACGCACTAAACCATGTCTCCCCCACATTCCTCGACGGCGAACGACGACCTTCCATCTCAACTCAAGCCGAGGCCACCGAAGCCGAATAGGGGGGTAGCCACTTACCCTCCAGAACTTTGGCAAAGAATAAGACCAGTAGTTCAAAATCTGTACATATGCCGAGCCTGCACTTTGGAAGAAGCCTCACTAGTTCTCCATGCTTCCTACGGCTTTCAGGCGACGTGCGTCTTCTCTCTTGCAACGAGTTTCCCCGACGTAGAGTCGAGAACCAGACTAACATAGATTGAGGCCGTAGGAGGGATGAAATCAAAAATAGGCTACGTGATTGGCCCGAATGCAGAAAGAATAGAACTGGCGGAACGAGCTCCAGGCCAACGACGGGGAATCCACCGGACGGCCGGAACCGGTCGAGGCCCAAGAAGGCCCTGGCTAACCACCCCCCATGCCCCGGGTACATTGCTATCCGACCTTGGAGTGCGATACCACCTTCCCTTAACCACCGCCTCTACGAGACACACATATCTCTCCTTCTCTCAATCGACAAGTACGTCAAAGGCTTCTTCGATTCAACCGGCGGTACAGGTACGGCATTGCGGGAACAGCAGCCTGAGCGCGATGGGCGGCTCGTTTCGGTCGAGTTGGATTGGCAGGCTCTCTCGGCTCGTTGTGACGGAGTATCCGCCATTATTCGAAAGTACAAGTCCCCTAATGTCGATATGGAATTGCCCACGGCCCGGGCGCGAAGACAGGCAGCCACAATGACGATGAGGAATATTACCAAGAAGCAGCTAAGCGAGATAGTTCTAGGAGACCTTCCACGCATAGCTGCGCAAAGTACTCCGCACATCCTGCCCTACTTCTGGAACGTATGTAGGATCCTCAGAGGTTTCGGACCTCAGCTGGGATATTCCATGGGCGATACTTCCGCTCACGTTACGACCTTCGTCCGTGCTCTACAAAATCCCTTACCGGAAGAGAACGACGGGAGAATTGCCGGGCTGATTCGACTTCTAGAGGCATTCCTCAATGTCCCGCTTGCCGATCTTCAGAACATCATCCGGATCAGTGCTCTGTGTACTGCCCGTGCTTACTCCACCAGACTCGGTCATGCTCATCCGGTTGTCCTCAACGCGTGGGCAAGCTATTACCGTTACTGGGACACCGACGGCTTAGACAAGCAGGAGTTTCTGAGTTACTATGCGGAGGCTCGTCAGGAGGCCGAGGGTGAGCACGGCCCTTCTTCCGATCACACAATCAACGTCCTGTGTAACTACGCCGTCGCCGCTCACTACATCTGTCACGACGATACTCTTGCCGGAACACTGGCGACCGAGCTCTGGAACCGTACTCATCACGACCTAGCAAGAGGCGATGGCGCAAGCACAACAACCTGGAATGCGCGGACCCGCGGCATGGCAGAAGCAGCCAAGATACTTGCACTGCTCGCCTGTATCAGAAACGAGAACCAGCGCAAAAAAAGAGCCGAACTCAAGGAAATCCGCAAGAAACTGGGCCTGAGACGTCGGGCTGCCCGCAGACGATGGCGGCAAACTCTAGATCCTCCACCGCCGGTCGACGAGGCTTCACAAGGCGTCGCCATGCTGGATGAGGTAGTAGGGGGGCTTGAAGATGCTGTGGATGATTGGACTTGCTTGATTACGGCGGCCTCTTTACGTGACGTCTTGTCGCGTCTAACCAGGTTTCGGGGGGAGGATGCCGCTCGTTATAGTGAGATTGCCGGTCGTGACCGGTTGCGAGCAGAATGTATTCGCGAGTATATTGTCGACTGGCGTGAACTAGTCCATCTCGAACCTCTGTATATATTGGAGCGATTTTAATCGGGTTGAAGAAAAAAGAGCACTTTCTTGTACATGTACACCATTGGAGCGCTCAGTTGCTAGAAGCTGATCCTCATCTATGTGACCGAGATTTCGACTTTGAATCCTTCTTTGAGCGTCTCCATCGTCTTCGTATCGACCTCGTCCTCGCCCGGACACGGGCAGATGGGCGTACGATGTCCTGAGCTTGGTAGGGAGGAGATGAAGGCGGCGAAGCGGCTTGGGCCAATCAGGCGGTGCCGCAGGATCCTGCGCAATGAGCAGCGTGTTCTCCTTTACTATATAAAGGTGACTGTGCGTAGAGCTGTTAGCCTGACTCGTAGCAATAACAAGCAGCACCATGGTCGTTACCTGGCTCCGTTGCGTTCTTATCGTCCCTCCGTTTCGTGAACGTTCGATATCTCCCTTGTCAACGCGATCAGCCGCCAGAGGCTTGACAACATAGTTGTGATGATTCGTGGACGTGACGCGACTGGGCTGGTGTTGTAGGTGCTGTGTTGCATGTGTTCAGAGCGGTTTCATCAATTACGTCTATCGTGCCGCTTGCTGCGCGTTGTGGTCAGAAAATGAGCCCAGCGCAGCCACGGTCGCGGCCAGAGCGTGGAGGTGGACATGATTGGTTGTTGATGCGCCGTGAACCGCGGGCTTGCTTGCGCGGTACCCAGCCTTTATCGAGGCTCGATTCCCAGGACTTGTTTCCGTGTCGCAAACCCACCGAATGCTCTTGACTCAGAGTCTCTTGGATCCTGCTCTTCTCTTGCTTGACGCAGCTTGCACCGTAAGGATGGCTCCGCTGACACTGTCTCATAGCACAGGACCCTCAATATTCTGCGAGCTATGGTCGTATGTACTGGTGACGGGAAGGAAACCGTCCTATAAAGGCTAAGCCGGTGTTGTGGAGTCTCAGGAGTGGAGGCATCGTGGGCCCAGTTGTGGCAACCATGGACAACCGGGCACGTCGACGTATTTCCTGAATAGAACGGCGAGATAGGCCACAGAGGAGTGGATTGGGTTTCACCTTCAACATCCTAATATTGGCGACACTTCTGGCTTCGCTTCGCTCCGGGAGTTGCTTCGGGGGCGATCCCATCAGAGAGACCATCTCGGCCAAATGTAGTCCATCGTTACGGGCCATCTCCCACTTCCTGAAACAGACGACCGCGTTCGAACAGGCCCCAAATCTATTGTATGAGTCAGAATAAGCCTCTGAATGAAGAGGGATCTATGTATATGCATGTATATGACAGACTCTACAACTTCTAAGACTTGCATATCACTAGCCAGAGAGACATCATCTTTGTCCTTGAGCGCTAAAATCGCTCGTGGATGAGCATTCGCGACCGTTTATAAGAAAACAAAAATGACTTGATCGTGCTGTTATATTTTTGTCCACAGACGCAATAGGTATATGCGAGGAATCCTCTCCAGGTTATATACCTTGATAATCGTAGCACTTTTACATCTTTGATGCTTGCATGGAGGGACTGGAGGCCATCATCAGCCTCGGCAGTTCTGACATCTCGATGCTTCCCATCCCCTATCAAAGACCAATGTCCTCACCCGCTTACTTCTACTTACTTGAAGTTATTCTTCAACTCCCTGAGCTTGGTCATCACGTCGATGGGGTCGGAGAGACCGACTGCTTTTTGTACCTCGGGATCCTATTTGACTGGGGTGTTAGCGTTTTCGGTGCCCAAGCTCCGTGGCTGGGTATATATATATATATATATATCTGTGAGATCGACCACTGCTAACATACCTCTACTCGCATGAACACGTTGTGCTTCTACACGTGGAACAAGAGTCAGCTTTTGCCCGCTACTTGACTTCGCAACGGGTGAAAAGCATTATTTCCATGGTCTCCTACCTTTTCGTCACCAATCGTGAACTTGCCCTGCGACTCTTTGTTCTCATCCATAAACGTCGAGAGCTTCTGAACAGGGCTATCTTGGACAACGGAAAGAGCAAACTTTACGTTGGACTTGGTGTATTCGTGGCCGGGCTAGATGAAATATCAGTATAAGGAGTCTTGAAAGTGGGAGGACTGAACGTGTGTGTTGAGCGGCACTAACATAGATGGCAGTATCGTCGGGAAGCGCCGCAAGGACCCCGTTGAGTGCCTTGTGCATTTCGGAGGGTGTTCCCTCGAAAAACCTTCCACAGCCTAAGAAAGGAAATCAGAACAAAATCGCTCTAGATCCAGTACATGCTCAACTGCTTCTCCTTACCGCCAATAAACAGGGTATCCCCCGAGAAGACAACCCGACGGTCGCCATCCTCTAAAAACCAGCAGATGCTGTCCTGGGTGTGGCACGGCGTGTGAAGGCTCGTGGCGGAGATGTTACCAATCTTGAGCTTCTCGTTGTGACCCGGCGTCAACGTCACGCCTTCGCAATTCCTTCCTCCCCAGATTGGAAGATTGGGCTTGCCGAGTCCCTCACGCTGGAGGTTGGGAGAAAAGTGATATATCGGTTAGCCGAGGTACAGACTTTATGAGAAGGGGGATAAAAATTTGAGAGCCAAGGGTGAAACTAACTATTCTCATGTTTCCCCCCGCATGGTCGTGATGGCTGGGTTATCATGAGTTAGTATCTGCCCGTTACACTCATCGCAAGGTCCACTAATGAGAGAGACGTACTGGTGGGTGTTGACGATAGAGATGAGGTTGAGACCATCGGATTCAAGAGCCTTCTTGAGCGTCGGCAAGACCCTTTCTAAACGGTAAGTTCCAAATCCAGCAGAAAAGCATCCCGAGACATTGAAGAAGAGAGAGAGAGAGCTCACTCTGGTGGATGTGCCGGGTCAATGATCACAGCATCCTTCGTCTTCTTATCAACAACGAGGTACGCATAGTTGTCATTCCCTTTAAAACCAATATCAGACACTTCAAATTTCTCAACCAACTTGCGAGATGGGAAAACTCACACATGGGAATACTTTGGATATGCATCTTGCGTTTCGGCAGCGGCGTAAGCTATTTACGCAAAGGTTAGCTCACCCATTCCGAGCTTGTGCCATAGAACCGCGAGCTTCGCTTACGCCGGCGCACTTCGCTGCGAACCTGGTTTGCTGGGAATAAATTCGAGGTGTAAAACGGAGCAGGGAGCTCACTACAGGTCTGGGCATTGGCAAAATAGCAACTGAAGATCAATTGCGAGTAAAGTATGGATTGTTGTTGGCTGCACTCGTCGAGATGCCGTCATGTACAGTTGTATCATGGCATCACAATGAGCTCTTGCTTTGTAAGAGGAGCTTCAATGACGCGGGGTTCAATATTACAATGTTACCGCGCATTTCGATGCAATTGGAGAGACTGAAGCAAAGGTGTCTGGATGACTAATTGCCGTGATCCATCCAGACAACACACAATTGTAAGCATCGGAACAGCTCCGTCGGCAGTCGCAATGCATCATGAGCAAATCCTACACTTGACTTCTCGGCTCGGTGCAAAACACGCCGAACCAGGAAAAACGGGGTATCTAAAGAAAAGCCAACATTGAAGAAAAAGACGGTGACGCAAGATCGGGGCTCCTCACACCACCCCAATCGGCTTCGGCTCCCACCTCTCATATCGGGACCATCCGATATCTTCTCCCGACCCCGGGTCAAGAGACTCCGTTTGCCCTCCGGGGCCGGCGCCCGATACGCGAGCGTCCTCTGTAGATAGTTGGTCTTGTGCCCTCGTAATCTCGTCCCTCACAGTATCCACGTCCTTCAGCTCCGACGGTCGCGAGGTCGAATTTCCTCCATCAGAACCATCAATTTCTATCAGCTGTCGCAAAGCCTGCAGACATCTTAGAAGGACCCGGCCATTCTCCATCTTATCAGAAATGGCCATCAGCGTCCTCAGAACCCGAGCCTTCCCCCATCGCCGAAGCAACTCCTGAAATCCATCGCTTTCCACCAGGGGCGACGCGTCCTTAGTCTCGACGTGGCTCAGATAATCGACGAGAGACTCGTAGCACGGATCGGTTGGTGGTTCCTGGGTCGAGCTCTGATCCTCTAGGTGTTTCCAGTAGTATTCCCATATCCATGCCAACGCTTTCTCGGCCGCCGATCGTAGTCTTGCGAGGGAGGGGAGCTGCTCGTGTGTCGCTTGGTGCCGTAGTTCGACAAAGGTTGCGGGGAGACCTATCGTCTTTGCGATCGAAAACATGCTCATCTTCCGTTGCTTGTCCTGTTGCATATCCATGAGACCCGTAACGAATCTACAACGATGATTCCACCGTCAGTAAGCTGCCATGACGAATGCTGGTCTCCGCAAAACGGTGCCAAAAATACAAGGCAACGCGCAAATAGTTCCGTCATCTTATCTGGTTTTTCTTTTCTTTTCTTTTTTTTTTTTTTTTTTTTTTTTTTTTTTTTTTTACACCGGCACCTCTGGCGTAAGAGAGGCAGAGAGGTTTCACATTTACTAAGAAGCCATTGACGGTGGTAAACAGGCACAGCATCTTCACGGCAATGGTGGTAGAAGCTTCAGCCAAGAGAGCCTGAGTCACGAGCAGTCCTACGATGATCTCTTTCTCAAATGACGCCGAAAAATGGTCCCCGAAAGCTACGCCTACTGCCTCCCGCCCCTCCGTGCCTACCAGAAGGCGGAGGTAGAAAAAAGCCGTCCAGAGCTCGGCATACACAGGAAAAAAAGAAACAAAAAAAGCATGCAAAAAGAAACCAGGGGAATGAGATGAAAAACCGAGCCATACCGACTAAAGGCCGTCGAATACGCCGCTCGCACCGCATACGCCGACGAGCCTTGACGATCCGGACCACCCAGGAGCTCCTCGTCGCTGAGGATCGCCGCAGTGAGGAGCGCCGTCGATTCCACCAGATGCGGGCAGTTCCCTCGCTGCACCCACATCGACACTCTCGCCACGGCACGGTGCTGAAGCTTTTGCCGCGCTTGCCGTTGGTCTTCGGCGGCGTCGTGATCATCGGTCAACCCTAGCTCGGGGGCGTCATCGCCTGAAATGTCTGGCGCCTGGGGGTAGAACTGCCCCCGCACAGTCAGGAGTTCTTGGCGATCACGCCAGGGAGTGAAGATGAATTGGACCATTTTTTGTCTTCTCCCTGTTTTTTAGCGTGCGAGGGCGAGTCTGCCGTTCCAATGTCTGGAATTGAAAATTTCGCTTGTGGTTAATTTTTGGCAAAAGGAAAAAAGAAAATGTATGGAGCATCAAGGGTGTTGGCTTTTTGAGAGTTCGCCAAGTAAAAATTCAAATCTGACATAATCCATCCATCGCGATTGATCGAGCGCACAAGGTTGGACGAGGTAAACTACGAAGTAATTACTCGGCAGGATTTTGGAGTGGAGGACCAAATTCATCCCTGCGGGTCACCTTGAGAGACATCGGCCAATATCGATATTCTTTACCGACGTTGCTGTCAGGGGAAACGGAGGCCGACCGTGATAGGAGAGTCATTTCTGAAGTAAACCGCGCTAGTGTGGTCCACCCTTGTTTGCCGGGGAGTACAGATTCGGGATTCCTTCCAGAGAGATGGGCGTTCTTTCCATGGCATGGCCCAGTTCTTATGGTACTTCCTCACTCGTAGGACGAAGTACTTCGTACCGTGCAACAAGCCCGGAGGTATTCTCAAGCAGCAGAGCACAGCACCAGCCATGGGTCTCGTCTCATCCCTCCCCTCCCCAATGCATCATGTACAAGCATCGCTGCTACCACAAGGTACCACACGACCACTATCACACGTCTGTGTTCCCACGATATGTGTGCTGATCACAACATCCATCGCAAGCCCGACCGGGGGGCGGGACCAGGGCCGATGAGAGAAATACAGCACCCCCTCTTTACCCTGCGGTCCACACACCCCCAACCGAGATCAAAGACAAACACATTCTCAGCCCACCGAACTCAACTCTGGGTTGGTTGGGGTGCAGTTTATCTCCGCCTACTCACACACCCACCCCTTCCCCCCCCGGTCCCCACCATCACTTTCTCCATCCCCATTTTTTGACCTCGAGAACCATGGAGTCATAGCCTCCACCCTTCCTCACGTCTCTTTGGCCCCGGCCCGCATCCAAATCCACCCAGCTCACCAAAAAAAAAAAAAAAAAAAAAAAAAAAAAAAAGGGCCCTTTTCCACACCCCTTCCAAAAATCTCCCACGCCTCCGCCCCACCCTTCGCAACACCAAATCTCCACGCCCCCTCCCTTCAACATGCCAACCACTCAGAACGCCCCCAAAAAGACTCTTTCCAGAAACAGCTCGAGGGAAGCACAGGCCCACTGCCGCCCACATGTCCGACAGGGGTCCGCGTCTCCCCTCAATGAGGCTCTGTCTCGCTTTCTACCCTCCCCCGTTCCGATCAAGGCGGTAGTGGGAGAGGAAGGAGCAAAGCCGAGCTAAAAATGTACCAAGTATACCTCATACTTGATAATATTGTTGCTTTTTTGTTTTTCGTCTCCGTGCGCGATTTGCTCACCACTTCTGAAGATCTCGTCCCTTTCAAGATCTTACTTGCTTCGTAGAGGAGCGGGTTTCGGGGCGTTCGAGAAGGCTCGTCCTCCGTTTCCCCTTATTTCTTTCTCCCATCTTTCGGCATCGTAGGATAATCTTTTGTCTGCCTTCTACCATCACATGTCTCAAGACGCGAACACGTCACGGGTCATGGCAAAACCCGACTTACACACGAGATGCTCTCCATCAAAAGACACGAACACCTAAGAGGAGTAACTCTTCATTCTCACTCACACCTGCTCAAAGAAAAAAAAAAAAAAAAAAGAGTAATGGGAGAAATGTTCCCTTCACAGTAAATTTCCACTTGACCAGGTGCTCGAGGCTACCCATTATCTAAATGAACTCCTTGTAATCCTGGTTCCTAAAATGCCAAAAACTCCCATTGCTTTCCCAACCTAGTCCTGGGACCTGACCTTTCCAGTCCAGAGTTCTATCGTATCCGTAACAGTAAAATAGTACATAATAATAAATTGGATCATAAAAAGTCATTGCGCATGGCGGTTCCAGACGGTAGGTTCCGTCTTTAGTTTTCCGACTTTTCCTTCTCACCTTCATTTTCGTCATCTTCTTCCTCGTCTTCGTCCTCCTCATCGTCGCTCTCTGGGGGTTGCCAGGTCTCCTCTAGCTTTAGGCCTTTTCCGGGGGAATCCTGAAGCTTCGGTGCACCGCCCAATAGGGAGGATAGGCTCGACCGGTAATTGTTAAGACCAAGGTCGGCTTCGTACTTGTCGGGCGCGTCATAAAGGCCCATGCCGACAAGAATCTCGCCCTCATCCTCTGATTCTTGCAAAGGCTCGTATGGCACCGTCTCCTCCGACTTGACTGCGGTCTTGATATGTTGGACTTGCGGTACGTTCTCGGGAGTGGGCGGTGAAGTTCGGTCAACCCCGTGCTCGGCAAACGACCTCCAGTCCGATATGCTCGAGGGGTGCGAGCTTTCGGTGGTGCTGCTCATAATGGCGGGCGAGGGCGACGTAGTGTTGGTGAAGAGAGAAGGGAATGACTCGGGATAGTCCAGGCTATTGCCCATGGCCGGGGATATGTTGCATGGCTCTAGGGGCGGCGAGACGTAGCTTGGGATCTGATGCTGTGGGAGGGCCCAGCTCTGGTTGTCGACGGGAAGATTTGGTGGTTGGACACTGAAATCGTTTCCAGGGAGTGATAGTGGAGAGAACGTCACCGGTGAGGTGTGGCAGGAGTAGGATGAGGGTATGGGTGACATGTGTTGGTAGTTTGTTGTTGAGATATCCTGGCTGTGGTAGTAATACGCGGGAAGTTGCTGAGAGTTGTCTTGTTGGACTTGGGTCGTGGTTGGTTGTAGTTGGAGATGTGAGGAAGCCGGATGCCAGCTTACTGGACGAGAGGCTCGCTTGACGGGTTCTGAAGAATATTCTACGCTGGGGACGGAGAGAACAACTTGTTCCATCATCTGCTGTTTTCTCCAGGCAAGGTTGTTGGCATCGTTCACCAAGGTCCTCCTCCTGCTCAGCATCATGGACGACCTGGGACTGTTGCTTGCACTGCTGGGCTTCGTGATTCGCATCGTGGTTCCTGATCGTTGGCCGTTCGATCCAGGGGAAAGCCTCCTCATAAGTTGCGAGGAAGTCATCTGTCTCGCCCAAGAGTCATGGACGGTGTCGGGATGTGCGTACTGGTGGGTTGCCATGTCGGCGCAGGCCGACGGGTAGCCGAGGGTTGATGGCATCATGTTTTGCCTGTTGTAAGATGCTCAAGTCGGTTGAGCCAGGTTGGCTATAACTGCATGGGAGAAGAGTTGAAGACAGGGAAGAAGAAGTGTAAGAGGGGAGAGAGCTGGTGCGTGAAGAAGCCGATGGTGAGTTGGGATGAGTTGGCGACCTCAGGGTTATATCATCATGTCAAGAGACTAAGAGAAGAAGAGAAGTGAAGGAGGGTATGGAGTATAAACGTGGATGACGAGTTAGAGGGCAGCTCCAGATATGAGGTGGGATGGTGGATGGAGTGTGGTGTGGGTTCAAAGGAGACGGAGGCGTAAAGTGATATTTGATGAGACTGAGTGCATCCTGACCAGGGGGACCAGAGCAATCAAAAGGCCATTGGAACCACTCTTAGCGTCCAAGTTTGAAGTAGGTGTAGACAGACTCGGCTGGCTTGGGACATGGAAGGAAGAGAGGGATCAAGTGACAAGACCAGCTCACTTTGAATATAGTTCCATGGTGTGGGAGAATAATAAGTTCTTAGTGTGTGTCTGCGCGCTATGTTACGTTTGAGCCAGACCGGCTAGAAAGCAATATTTGGCAGGGACGGGTTTGGCATGTGTACATATCTGAGTACACGGGCTCCATTGATATCATGGGGTCGTCTGGACATGGGGGAAACCATCGGGATGGATAGACTGGACATGGACCCAGAGCGGCAGTGTGTGACATTGGGGAGGGTCAACGGAAGAAAAGGTACAGTTGGACATGCCGTTAGGCTAGGAGACAACATTGAAAGTCGGAGGGAGCCGCGCTTCGAAGTACGAAGTAGGTATGGATCAATTGATGTATCAAATTATATTTGTTATGAAGTACACTACACTCCACACACTAGGACCTGGGTTGGAAGAAGGGGCTGTGGTAGCTTTTTTGCTGATGCCTGTATGTATAACTTACTAGGACCGACGGAGAGGGTCCCATAAAGGTTAGGCTTGTCAAGCCTGACGGTCCATACATCGGCTTGAAGGTCCAAGGCAACCTGAGAGTCTGGGTGGTCTTATGTCCCACGGCCTTGCATCCCGGGTCCCTTGGTCCCCTTGTCTTTTGGTGGCCAAGTGGGTGGCGGTACCGGAGGGGGACAGCGTAACGGTGTGGGAGAATGTACACTGCTCCCTTGTGTAATGGTACTAAATTGTATTGTCGACCTTTTCTTAGAGGCCTTGATCTTGGAGACCGCCGCTTGCAAATGTTTGGAGCAGCCAAAGAGGCAAGGCGAAGGTACACAGCAAAGTACAAAACATGGAGATGGGAGGAACAAAGGCGACGGGGGGTGTGTGGGAAAGAGGCCAACTGGGGGGCAGCTGAGCTGCAGCAAGAGCAGTCTGGTTCGTGGGGCTAATATTTAGGAGTAAAACCGAAGAAGAAGAAAAAAAGTTCAATGTTGGCTGCGTCATATGGGATGTGCAAAAGGGGGGGGGGTGTATGTGGAAAGCTCTGACATGCGGAAGAAGGGGTGAGACAAGCCAGAGGAAGGGTAGTGTATTTTAAGCTCGAGACCTGCTCCTTCCATTGATGGAGCAGGACCCAGAATTGATCAATTGAGACTTTGATTATGGTGCTTGGGTAGGTACTCCGTAGTTGTACAAGTATACATCAAATGTCCCAATGCTTCTTTCTGGTTCACGGATAGGGCAGATCGGTGACAATGCACTAAAACGGTCACTCCAATCCTGCTCCCTCTGTGGACTTGGGATCCAAGTACTTCGTACTAGTGGCTATGCTACGTTTGCTTCGAACTGATAAAGCTGGGATACGCTACTTCGTGCTGACTTCGTACACCGACACAGTTTTCAGTCAGGAGGGGGGTACACTAGACCCTTCTCCATACGGTGGAAATTTGGAAA